AATGGAAAGTCGGTGAAAACCCGCCTCCATATGTACCGATTCGTCTATTATTCGAATGAATAAATGTGAGCGATTTTTCCCGTTAGCAAATACGATTTTTTGAATAAAGATAGAATTATAATTTTTTTTAAAGAAAAACCAATACATTATGTGGATAAACAACAACAAAAGCTAGCAAAGTGCCAGGTTTGGCAGTGATATCGACCCATGGAGACAAGTGTGGAAAACTCCAAGGGAGAGAAGGAGAGAGGCGCCTAAGAGTTGACCGCCCACAGCGTCGCGGCGCCACGACTTGTTGGATTCCGACACACTTCTCATGTCGCACCGGATTATTACTGTTTGTAGAAGCTGCATTTATTGGAGCGCAGAGATGTTCTCTTAGTTGCTCCAAAGACGATCAAAGAATAAAATTTCAGAAAAGATATATACCTACATAGGTAGATAAAAAGAAAAAAAATATTTATTTTAACATTGTCAGTTTTATTAAGTTATTGCACATTTATTGCAAGTTTAACATAACAAAATGAGTTATTTTCTTACGTTTTACCCTTTCGTATTATATTTTGTTACATTGTTATATTTAAGTCTTTGATGAGTGTTGGCATTCTATTTCTCCTTCTCAACAAATTATTATCATTCGATTTCTTATGTTGCGCAAAATGTCCAGTGTCAAACCGAAATAGAAACAAAAAGCTCTTATGCTTTTTTATCCGCTTTCCCATAATTATGAATTTTTCACTTGTTTGTTCTTAAGTTCTTTCTCTTTCTTATTATACTTTGCGTTCATATTTGCTCTTATGCGCTCTCTCTCTCTCTCTATCTCTCTTATTATATCTACTTATTAGAACATGTGCACATGCACACTTAAGTGGAACGTTATGCCGCTACGTCACCACGCCGCCGACAAGCTTTTACACTTTTTTTTTAAATTAATTTTTCAAAATTTATTTGTTGTATTTTTACAACATTTTTGTACTTTTCGAAATCTTTTAAACCCTTAAAAGACCATGCAAATGGTTCAATTTTTAAGTTTTAAATTTTTTCGATATATTCATAAAAAATATTAAATAAACATGCATAAAAACATTATAACAGTATTGCCGCAATTTACAAAATAAAAAAAGAAAAACTTGCAAATCTTCTGAAGTTATTTTATTACCATTACAAAATAATTTTGCCTGATTTTGTTCCGGGGGGAAGATTATAACCTCAATCCCCACCCCCTCGCTGCGCCACTGTATAAATACATATACACTGTTATGTTTACATAGGTACTTTACCTTTGGTTACATTGCTTGCTTTTTTCTTATGTCACTTTTTTTTAAAATAAAAGCAGAAATAGAAAGAAAAAAAATGATAGAACAAATGTTTTTTCCACTAGACAATCAAGTCCTAACAAAGTGGCTGTGCTCTAGGTGAAACGACTCTTGTAAAAGATAAAAAAATTCCGATTTCAATTTTTATTATTTGAGGTTTGCTTGGTTAAAGACTAATTTCTAACACAATTTTAGTTTTGAAATATCAAGTATGCCTTGGAAATTTTTGAAAAACCTATATTTTTGTTAGATTAATGTTTTTTTATGTGACAAATAAAAAATAAAATTAACATCTGGGCCCGTATAGCAAATAATTTTAAAATTATCGGCCTATGATTTTTCATTTTTTTATCCAAAATAGTTACTTTTTAGTAACAGATACCTTGAACAGTTATTTAGAAAAATTGTTTAGAATTAACATTTAGGTCCGTATATCAAATTTTAAAAAAACATCGGCCAACTTTGATCTTTTATATTTTTGTTAATTTCAATGAAATCAAAGAATTTTATTTTTAAAAGTTCTTTTATTATTAATATAAAAAATTCAGAAAATTTACAAAAAGAAAATTAAACACATTTTTTACAAATTTCTACAATTTTTTACAAAAAAATAAAAAATTATAGTTAGCCGATAATGGTATAAGAACTTAGATGTTGATTCTAAACAATTTTTCTTAATAATTTTTGGATGTATTTGCCACATAAAAGACACTACCCGGCAGAAAAATAAGTTTTTTGCAAGTTTCCAAGACATACTTGAATTTTCAAACTAAAATTATGTTAGAAATTAGTCTTTAACCATCAAGCAGAGCTAAACAATATTTAATTCATCTATCCGGGGACACACTGAATTATGAAAACCTAAATATAGCAAAAATTGTCTTATGCGTTCATAATTTGCAAAAGTTATTTGCATTTTGTTCTTTCGAAATAAGTTGGAAGTAAACAATTTTTGCTTAAAATATTTATTTTTGAAAAAAAAACAAAACTAATTGATCAATACTAAAGAAGTATAAAATTGTAAACGTTTCTCAAAAATAAAATGTTTTCAAATGTTTTTAAGTTTTGCAAAATTTTTAATTTTTTTTCAAATGCCAACCCACTATAAAACTTTTTTTTTAGAAGAGATTATGATCTAAGAATTAGATCTACATTTTATTTAATTTTTAACGAAAAAGTATTTTACATAAGTTGCTATTTTGAGAAAAAAATTAGTCTATAAAAACTTTTTCCTTATTTTCACCTAGGGAGCCATCCTCCGAAATCTTTCAATGTTTTTTCAGAACACTTGTATAAATTAAAGTAAAAGAATCGTTATGCAGCCAATAATACACCTGAAAACGCCGACAGATAGCTGGGAATTGTAAACAGTGTAAACGCCCCAATTAGCTATAGATCTTATTTCGAAGAGCGACCCCCTTTACTTTTCGCTGTTCTATTCAGATTCGTAAAGCTCCTGTTCTCTGAAAGTGGTTTCGGGCAACGCCAGATGGTGTATAAAGCAAAACTGAAGTCTGGGATTCCGGATAGGGTGCGGGAGTTGAACTCCGGAGCGATACATCACCACTCCCCCACCTACATTCACTCTGCACTCACGGAAAATTGAGTTCGCTGTATTTATTACCGCAGCTATCTAGTTTATATTATACGAAGATGTAACTGCCAACGTTCCTTGCTTATTTGCTTACGCAGTGATAAATATTTCGCACTAGAAAAATTTATACACGCACATTCTCTCAAATTAAAACTATAAGCAAAAAAAAGCATAAAAATACACTTTTAAACCTACTCTAAATTAATATTTTTGCAAAACTTAGCCGATACAAGTTATACATTATCTCAAAATTGTTATAACCACTAGAACACTGTCAAAATAAAAAATAACAATGTTGTGTGAGCGCCATCTACCGGCAATCTTAATTATAAATTTACGCCTTAACTATCAGGAATTTTTTCTTCTTTGTTAACGTCTAGACTGAGTAATTGATAAGCGATAATCCCGTAGGCTGCCAGACGCCTGTCTGTTTATTTCGGGTTGATTAATCAACGCGTAAAAGTGTTTAATTTGACCTAGTCGGGCTTATTTAATAAAAGTCCGCCTACGTCGCCCCATCTAATTCACTCCAAGGATGTGCTGCATGTGGGTTATCCTGTTTGTTTCCCACGTAGCGTCGAGATTTTGAGGCAAAACAATTTGGGAAAGCGTCACGTTTTGTACGTACTTTTCTGTAGTCCTGTTACCGTTGGCGCCGCCTCGGTGTTATCCCTGGGGAACACGAGAGGTTAGCGAGAGTCTGCGTCGTAGCAATTCGGCATATCCTGTAGGATGAGTCCCTTCCTTCCACACGAAGAATATTGCTACTAGCAGCCGGGGAAAAGATAATGGAATTGGATAGGGAGTGAACTTTATTTTGTGGTGTCTTAAATAGAAACTGAGGTGTCTTTCCTTCACTAGTTACGGACGGGGGCAGAGGGCAAAAAGTCGCAATTAGAGTACTGATACGAGTTTTACAAGTAATTAACGAGTAAAATGCAAGTTTTATTACAAAAGAAACTATAAAAAAAATTACCTACAAATTAGAAATAATTTATGATACAATTTATGCCAGGTAATTTCGAGCTAAGTACAATCATAAATGTGTTGGTACATTTTAACTCATTTTGAAATTACTTTGAAAAAAAATAGATAAAACAATAAAAAAAAAGGATTGTCAGAAGTGGGATTCGAACCCACGCCCACAGAGTGGACTGCGACCTGAACGCAGCGCCTTAGACCGCTCGGCCATCCTGACATTGCCGCAAAATTTCATAAAGTATAATATAAACGTATACTTTATTTAATAAAAATTTTAAGAATATTTTTAATTATTTTTGAGTATTTAATTAAGTAATTCAACAAATATTTTAAGTATATTACTTATTTATACAATTCTGAAAAGCAAAAGTACTCACTTGTCGCTATAATAAACCTTTTACATCATACATTTGCACACAATTGGAAAAATAGTAAGTATTTTTCATTATGATTTTCTTGCAAAAACAAAAAATATTATACAATGACGCAAATGCAAAACTGTAAATTTTTATAAACTGTTAAGTTTACATATTTTCAAAAACATTATCTGGAACTTTAGTAATTATAAGTAGGTAAATAGGTACTAAATTTTTGCATTATTGTACGAACTAAAACCTTCAATCCTAAATAAATGTATAATCCAATTACTTTCTGACCTTGTGAAAAAATAATTAATATGATATTCTCATGATGAACATATGTAGATTATATAGTGTCTTAAAGAAAGTCCGAATCGTAAAGTAGAAATAACTAACTGTACGAGTAGAAACTCATTACATTGTTCACCTATATTGAACTCTTAAGTATTTCTGTGCATCAAGGTTAGCATTAAAATATTTCAGTATAAGAGCAGACGATTAAGAAATCATCAATGAAGGTCACGGTGTTCCACATAGTAAGTCTTTTCATTAATTTCACTTTCAAATTTGCCAAAAATTATCTTTACGGTAAACTTGTTTTGGTTATATATTTTTTATCAGTAAAAATGTTACAAACAATTTTGCTTATCACAAACACTACTCGACTCGTCTTTATTTTCATAGTTTGAATGTGGCAGACTTCGACCCGAAATTATTAACAATTTGGATTGTGTAGAAGAGATATAAATGTTGTTGCGCGCAAGTCTGACTTAATTTACAGGTGGTGGTGGCTGTTTATCGATAAGTTTAAAGTTTTTCAATTTAAAAGCGTGATAGTGCCTTTTAAGTCCTATCCTTATTGATTGGTTAATAGTGATTATAAACTCTAATGAAAGTAATTAAAATGTAAGTAACAATATTTTGAATTAGATTAACTGAATTGCATCAGTTATGTAAAATTTAATTATGCTTATGAATGAAGATATTCCTAGGTCTTCTCATAACTATTTATTAAAGTACTACAATTATAATTTTGGAATACGAATGCATGCTCGTTATCTAATAAAATGCAAAATAATAATTTGCTTATAATTACAAGATTTTCAAATAAATACGATTTTAAATTAAAAGTGCTTTTAATTGTACTTTAGACGCACAATAAGTCAAACTAGATTCAGTTAAAATAATTATAAAAGTTTTCAGGTAAAAAGGTATTGTGTAAGATTCCGTCACCAAATAAAAATTTTCAAAAACAACTTTACAACTCTCCACAAGGTCAACCGCCATTTCAAAAACAATCAAAAACGAAATATATTTTTTTCAGATGTATTCCATGTCTGTAAAACTCGTAATATGGACCGTTAAAGCGTTCCTCGAGGTAATCTATACCCCTATTTTTCTCATTCGTCTCTTCAAAAAGCCACGAAAATGTCCCCTCATCAGCAACAAACTTCTCCTTTTGCCGGCAACCGAATTAGCCAAACGCATCCGTAAAAAACAGGTGATTAACCCTCAACCAAATTTTCATGCTTTAAAAATCAATGTTCAAGATTCCCAGCACGGAAGTTGTCAAAGCTTACATCTCTCGAATCGAAGAAGTCAACCCTATCATCAACGCCGTTCTGGAAGCCCGATTTGAAAAAGCACTCGAAGAGGCAAAGCAAGTCGATAAACTGTTGCAAGAGACCGACCTCAGCGAGGAGCAATTGGAAGAGAAATATCCCCTGTTAGGAGTCCCGATCACTATTAAGGGGAGCATCGCTGTTGCAGGAATGGTACATAGTGCAGGGAGAGTCGATCATAATGTGGTAGCGCCAATCGATGGAATCCCTGTTAGGCATGTCAAAGGAGCGGGGGCTATACCTCTCCTCACATCCAACGTCCCGGAGCTTTGCATGAACTGGGAGACCAAAAATAAGCTCATCGGGAGGACGGCAAACCCTTATAACAGCGTCAGGACTTGTGGAGGCTCCTCCGGAGGAGAAGTAAGGGCTATACAACCAAAAATACAACACCGTATTTTTGGTCGTCAACCGTACTAATATTATTAACAACATAACAGTCGTTAACTCCAATAAAATTATATAAAAAAAAAACAAAATTAGATTATCTTTGCGTAATCATCTAAAATATAAAATTTTATTTTTTTATATTTATTTTTGTCTATAATTTATTTATCTATAATGCCTTAAAATAAACTGCTCCATAAAAGTTAAGGAAGTCGTATTATTTTTACAACAAATTTTATTCTTACAAGCATTGTGGAACCCAGCAAAAACAAAAAATGTAAGAAGATATCTGCCTTTATCTCTTTTAATTAATTATTAATTTATATTTTTAATAATTTATTAATTTAATTAATTATTGTAATTATTGCACACTTCCTTAACATTTGAGGAGCAGTTTAGTTGAGACAAAAAAGTAAAACACACAAACATTTTTGTTAAATCATTTGCACAATATTTTTCCATTAAAATGTGCAGCAAAAAATATAAAAAAATAACAGCATAAATATTTAATATCACTCTTTATTCAAGTCGTTTTCGCCTAATATAAAATTATAATTTTAGGCGAGCCTTATCGGCTGTGGGGCCTCTCTCCTAGGCCTGGGTTCTGACATAGCCGGCTCATTGCGATTACCAGCGCATTATTGCGGTGTCTGGGGGCACAAACCTAGCCCTCACGTCGTTTCCTCCGAGGGCCATTACCCCGATTGTAAAAACAAAGAAGAATGGAATAAAGTTTTCACGATAGGACCTATGGCAAGATACGTCTCTGATTTAAAAATTCTTTTGAACATCATAGCAGAACCTGAAGCTCGAAACTTGCTGAGATTAAATGAAACGGTTTGAGAGTCTGAATAGGGTTTCTTTTTCTGAAAATGTGTGTTTCAGGTAGATGTTAAGAAAATTAAAATCTATTATATTTATGCTGTGGCGTCTCCATTGCCAAATCACGTTAATACCGATGTGGTTAGTACTATTGAGAAAGTTCGAACGCATTTTGATATTCTCTGTGATTCAAATTGTACAAAAGTTGATTTTCCACGTATGAGGCATTGTATAGAGGCGTCTTACATGCGATTGTTGTGTCTCGAAGACGTTGATAATATTTTTGAGGGTAGTAGAGGCGATGGAGCTTATTTGGAATTACTCCGCTATTTAGTCTGTCAATCCAAACACGAATTCACTTCAATTGGCTACGGTTTGGTCCGCCGCAACTTCCACTTAATTCCCCCAAAAATAATAAATAAAGTTCACAAATATTTAGACGATTTGCGTAACGACTTTCTCAGAATTTTGAAAGACAACGCAGTTATGATCCTACCAACAAGTCCCTGCGAAGCCACTCATCACGGCGACGTATTTCGAAAAATGTTCAATCCGGGCTATTTATCGATTTTTAACACGTTGGGGTTTCCAGTGACGAATTGTCCAGTCGGGTTTAATAAAAATGGATTACCGATTGGGATACAAGTAAGTTAGTTTTTTTAGCAATTTTTCGGATTTTTTATGCAAGATTGTAGGTCGTGGCAGCTCCAAATTGTGATAGATTAACTCTGGCTGTGGCAGAAGAGTTAGAAAAAGCCTTCGGTGGATGGAAATTTAATTAATTGTTTGTAAAGAGAATAAGACTTGAAATAAATTATTATCTTGTAAACCATTTGTTTTTCATGGCTAGAGGTGACCCACGAAACCATTAAGACGCTCGTAAAAAATATTATGTAACGAAATTTTCCGCTAATTAAGAATTAGCCGGACATTAGGGTGCGTTTCGAGTTGTTTAATCAAAATTAATTCTAGTGAATCCTCGTGATTTAAACAAAACAAAAAAAAATTGTAAGGTAAAATAATGTCCATCAAATGTAGTTTTATAATTAACCTTTGCATTTTTATACACTACTTATGTAACCTTGTCATAAGTAACTCAAATTGAGGCACAAACATTGTTATTAAAGGACGACTGACAAATTGTATGTACTGTGATTTCACTACTTTGAAAAAAATCATTCTATTCCAGAATTGGTAATTTCTAATTAGCATAAACCGAATTAAACAAAACAAAGCATTAAGTCTTGAGTAAATTTGCATTCATTGTAGCATTATTACAGTTAAATATTGGTAAATGTTATTTGTTTTGTTATTAGTTCCAAATAAAGCAGAGTAAAATGGCATTGTATCACAAAAAAATTTAGTTAACATTGAATTTGGTAATTATTATTTTATAAAAATTCAATCCCACCTTGCCACTCACACGCAACTGGATAAAATGATAAGCTCGCTCTAGAGCTAGTGTTTTCTACTCAGTCTTCCTGAGGAGACTTTCTTTAAGCGGGAGAGAGCAGAGAATCGTGAAAATCACAGTTTATTTTTAGCAAAATGAGATAGTTATAATGAAATGAAAGTGAAATTATTTAGCAAGTGTTGGAACTTAACAAAAACTAAACGGTAAGCAAAATTTATTTTTGTTTCTTATATTTTATCAATAATTGATAAAGTTTCTTTCGAAGTAAACTTCTTTTATCTAATCTAAATTGTGACTTTTGTATTTTTTAATTTAAGAAATACCAGTTCTTAATTAAATTCATTAGCTTTTCCAAAACATCGAGTCAAGGTAACCCCGCTCGGTCAATGTAAAGGCATTGATCTTGAAAAATCCCGGTTTAAAACCTTCCAAATTTCAAACGCGATGAATTTTCTCATCCGTTTCTTGTGTGTAATCCTGCGGGTGATCGACGCATTGGCAACCCCCATCTATTGGTTGAAATCTCGCGGGAAAAAACGAGCAGTGCCAACGATTAAAGACGGTCTTTTGAAAATCAGTGCGACCGAGTTGGCTGAAAAAATCCGTAACCGGGAGGTGAGTCCAAAAGTGAGAGGTAGTCAAGGGCATTTTTCCAAAAAAATTTCAGTTGAGCAGCGAGCAGATTTGTGCGGCTTATATCAAGCGGATCAAGGAAGTAAATCCTTTGCTAAACGCCGTTGTTGAGGAACGGTTCGAAAGTGCATTGCAAGATGCACGCAATGTCGATATCTATCTGCAATCGTTGTCAGAACACGAAGAGTTAGCCAAGACGAAGCCTTTATTAGGAGTACCGTTGACCGTAAAGGAAAGTTGCTCACTTGCAGGTAAAAAAGGAAATTTTGGTCGAAAAATTTGCTTCGGATTGTTTCAAGTTGATGCAATTGTGGTTGCAATCCACTTATTGCTCAGCAAATTACTCACGACTTCTATTCTTCTTCAAATGCCAAGCATGACGGATGAAACCTTTTATCACTTACGGTGACTAATTGCAATTAATTAATTCGTAATTATTCCTGATTTTTTTGAACACTTGATTGGGTTTTTAATTTTACAAGGAAATCATTTTGCAAATTACACCACATTTTTAATTATGTGGGATCAGGAAGTCTTAAATTTTTATTTTACAAAAATATTAAATACACGCGATGTTTTGTTATAAAGAAATAGCGAAAGTGCAATAATACTTGTGTAAACACTTGCTTCCTACAGTTTCGCTTTTCCTTATTAGAGCTATCCCATTATTACGTTTTAATTTTTACGATTATAATTAATTTTGGATGGAAATATAACTGACGCAATTACATTTCTTGGAAAAAACTTGTTCAACTCAAACTAGTTTTAAGCTAAAAAAACTATTTTTATTAATTTGCATTTTTAAGATAATTTCCAGAAATTAACTAAATAAAAAATTTAGAATGGCTTCAGGGCCACAAATAAAAAGAAATGTTTTCTTTATTATTTTATTGAACTTTTTGTCTGGAAAATAACCTCATTAGAAATAATTTGATTGACTCACTTCCTAATTATGAATTAATTATTTGTTTAGTATATTGTGTACTTTCCATAAATCAGTTCAAATATTTTCGGAAAGTCAAAAAATGTTTTTGGAGTTATTATTCGCATCATTAACATCACACGTGTCTATAAAGATTTAAAACGAGTTTAATAAAATAAAGCGACATTTGATGTTATTCACAATGAACTTGTGACTAATTTAATAGTAATTAACTTTGGAAAAAACTTATTTGCATTTGTTAAAGGTCTAGCACGATTTTACCTTGTACGTATACTTTGACGCTTTTGAACAATTCAAAAATTGTAATAATTTTTGTTATTGTAAAGGCTTTAGCCTTTGTGGAGGGACTGTCTCCAGGGCCGGAATCAAAGCAGATCAAGACGGAGAAGTTGTTTCAAAATTAAAATCTAGTGGTGCCATTCCCCTCCTCGTCTCTAATACTCCTGAAATTTGTTTGAGTTGGGAAAGCAGCAATTTCGTGACGGGTCAAACAAACAACCCTTATGATGTGACTCGGACTAGTAGTGGGTCTTCAGGGGGCGAAGTACTACCTATTTTTTAAAAATTCATAACGATGTATAAAAATATTTCAGGGGGCACTTCTTGGAGCTGGTGCTTCGCTGATTGGAATCGGATCGGATGTTGCCGGATCGATTCGATTGCCGGCAATGTTTAATTGTGTGTTTGGACACAAACCGACAGCAAGTAACAATTTTACATTTGTAGATTTAGACAAGTTGCAAAAAGTGTTTTTAAGGAACTATACCAATAAAAGGTCACTTTCCTTATTGCACAGATGAGAGATACGCCGACTTTTTCGCAATAGGGCCGATGACCCGATATTCAAAAGATTTAAAATTGATGATGAAGGTTATGGCGAATGAATCACTTTTGCCCGTTTTGAGATTGGAAGACAAGGTTGATTTAAGCAAAATTCGTGTGTTTTTCATGGAGGAGGAAAGCAAATCGTTTGTGTCACCGAAAGTGCAAGACGAGATTAGTCAAGCGATTCGACAAAGTGTTGAATATTTGAAAGTTAGATGTAATTGTGAAATTATCAGCGATTTTAAATTTACAGAATTAAAAAATAGTTGTGAAATTGCGGGATCGGCGCTTTACAGCTTGGATGACATTCCTAATTTATTAAAGGCTGTATGTAAAATAACATGTTTTTTTTTAATATATTAAAAACGCATTTGTTTTATAGGATAATCAAAATTTGGCTCTTGAATTACTCAAGAGTGTCATCGGACAATCAAATTACACATTTAATTTGCTTTTTTTCTATACATTGCAATACATGTTTAAAACATTTGTTACAAATGAGGGTTACTTGAAAAAGAACGAATATTTAAAACAGCTTTTTACAGTATGTCAATGACGATGTAACAAATTATTTGTTTTACTTATGTATTTTAGGAAAAATTGGGTCAAGATGGAGTTTTTCTTTACCCAACATTTACAACATCTGCGTTTTACCATGATTCATTCTTATTTAAATCAATGGGAGTGTCTTATTTAATGATTTTTAATTCGCTTGGGTTGCCAGCAACAAATATCCCTTGTGGACTTGACAAAAATGGATTGCCAGTAGGAATACAAGTTGTAGCAGCCCCTTATCAGGATAGATTATGTTTTGCTGTGGCGGAAGAATTAGAAAAATGTTTCAATGGGTGGATATCACCAAATTAATTTCTTATAAACTTTGTAGTGTTATTTTAAATAAAAAGACGAAAAAGAAAATATTGATTTTTACTAACCGCATCCCTTTAGCCCTGTTGTTGTCTACACCCCTGTCTAGTTACGTTACTCCACTTGGTGATTTTATTTTTACTAGATTGGTAGTTATCAAGATATTAAAATTGAATCGATATTTTTTTAATTATGTGGACTTCTATGACACAGAAGTATTTTTGTGTTTTGAAATTCAAAGTAAATTTACTATTTGTCTTTTGATTCCACCCAGATTAGTATCTCTTCGAAGGTATCCCTCTTGTTCTAGTGATTTTTGTAATTTCTGTTGGCAACAATATTAGCTGTCTTATCGCTTGTGATTTTTGTGTTCAGTAACCTTCAATTTCAAGTTTGTTTTTTATAATAAAAAATCCAATTTAAAGTTTGCCATTATAACATAAGATTTGTAAATAAAAAAATAGTTGTTTAATAATGGGTCGTCAAAAAAACCAGCCTGTAAAATTAAAAAACTCTGGTGAAAATTTTGGCTTTCAAAAGCCAATAGATTACATTCCAATCAAAAAACGAAGAAATAAGAAAGGAAAAAGATCATCAGGACCTTGTTATAAAGTAATCTTACCTTCTGAACAGAATGAAGAGTTTTATTTAGGGGACATCCTTGTTGGAAGTTCAAATAATGAACTTCCGGAAAGTTGGAAGTGTTGCAGTATGAGTTTTACGACTTCTGAAGAAAACGAAGATTTGCACTTGGTTATTAACTTAGATTCCACGTCTGTTGTAGTTGAAGTAATACCTGAAAATGAGATAATTAAAGGTAAATTATAACCATTGTTAATGTTTGTTTAGTCAACACTTTTTTTATAGAAGTTATAATCACTAAAATCTTTGCGATTAATGTGAGTCTTGTTGAGGGTAGCATATTTTTTAAGCTTTACTTCTGTGATTTACCACTGCCCAAATTCAATAAAAAAGTAGGATCTTGTGTTCAAACAGTATTAGCACTTTTAGGGTATACCCTAGAATTTCCCGAAGAAGGTAGAAATAACGTTTTTTAATATATTTGATGATTAATAATTTATTTGTTAGATCTTGATGATGTAGAGATCTCTAGTGATTGCACACTTACTCAATTATATAGAAACATAAGAAAAACAAGAGAAAAATACTTGCATCTTGGTTGTGACGACGTCCAAGATTCAAGACTTAAACCTCAGCTCAGACCCTACCAAGCAGATGCAGTTAGATGGATGTTAAACAGAGAAAAAAAATTGGATGAGACTCAAGGTAAATTCATTGAGGTAATTTTTTTTAGTCATTTTTAATGTTGTAGATGAGCTTCATCCGTTGTATTCTGTGATAAAATTAAAATCTGGTCGAGAAATTTATTTTGATAAATATTCGGGCTACGTAGATATCAAAAAACCGATCATTGATCCTTCAAGTAGGGGCGGTATTTTGGCTGACGAGATGGGTTTAGGAAAAACGGTTGAAGTTCTGGCTTGCATTCTCCTCCATCCAAAACCAGACGAAGCCCCCAAACCCCCCGATTTACAGAAATCCCCAACTGTTGATCTTATAAATCGAAAGCGAAGAATCGTAGACCCAAAACCACCCCAATCTGACTCTGACTACGTCGATAAACCCAAAAAATTAAAAATCCCGGATAATTGGGTGAAATCCAGTAGCAAAAAATCAGAAAAATACATCGCCCTTCAAATGTGGTACAACTCGGTTCTCCAAAGCGCCATCCCCAAACCTTCCCCAAGCTCCCAAGAACCATCTCTCCAATGCATTTGTGGTGGCTCAAACGACGAAGGCAGTGTTGCTTGTACAGAGTGTGGCAAAATCCAACACGAGGCTTGTCTGGGGTTCAGAAAAGAGTTCGGGCCCTACATATGCCCCCAGTGTTGGTTGAACCAACCCCAAATCGAATGCAAAGGCACTTTGATTGTCTCTCCTGTGTCTTTACGAACCCAATGGTGTAAGGAGATTTGTAGACATATTAGGGGCGACTTCAAAGTTTTGCAATATGGGGGCTCGTCCGTCACACCAGTGTATCCAACTGCGTTGACTAAATATGATATTGTCATAACAACATACAATGTTTTGCAGTCTGAATTAAAATTAACTGAGACTGAGAAAGTAGGTAAGGATATTGTTTTGGTTTAATGTAAGTGAGGTTTTCAGGCTTTGTCGTTGAGACATCATCGCCGGTATTCAGCCCCGGGGAGTCCCCTGACTACAGTCAAGTGGTGGCGGCTGTGTTTGGATGAAGCACAAACAGTTGAAACGCCAACAAGCATGGTTTCAGCAATGGCGAAGAAAATAAACGCTTATTTCAGGTGGGCCGTCACCGGAACCCCCATTTCAAAAGATATTTCAGGTATTTTTGGTTGGTTATGTAACCAACAATACAACGTAATTTTGTTTTTTTAATTTTTAGATTTGCACGGTCTTATTGATTATTTACAAATAGAGCCGTACAATGACAAGTTTACTTGGGAACAGTTATTATTTAAGTCGTACATTCGGGGAAACCATGAGCCGATGCTCAAATTTTTATCAGAAGTGTTATGGCGTTCTTCTAAGGACGAAATTATAGATCAGGTAACTCTTTACCCAATTTCTATAAAAGTATAATTTTCCAAACTTTAGATAAACATTCCCAAACAAACGATAATAGAGCACTGGTTGAGTTTTTCCGCTGTTGAGCAATATTTCTATAGGTGTGAGCACAAAACAAGCCGTGAGGCATTTTCTAATAAAGTCAGGGCTTACGAACCGGATTTGCCTCTGCAATCTTTGGATAAAAGTTCACTGAAAAGTGTAAGATACATAGTTGTTATTTGAATAGAGTAATTCTTTTATTTAGGTTCTTGCACCTTTATTGTCACTTCGTCAAGTTTGTACGTACCCGAATTCGCCACACACCAAGTATTTAATTACTAAGAAGCCAGTCAAATCGATGCGGGATCTTCTTGATGCTCTTATTGCAAGAAATATAAACGAATGTGAAGAGTATCTACGAGTTGTCTTAAGTTCATTAAACGGTAGTAGAAAAAACACTATAAAGTTAAACATCTAAATTTTTTTATTAGGTCTCGCTGGTATTTATTTACTCCTTGAAGCTCCTGAACAAACAATTGAAGAGTATCGCGAAGTCCTCCAATTATACACTCGGTTTACTGAAGAAGAAAAAATTTCTAAATTACAAGTTGATAAGTTGCAAGTTATCCACACGATGTACAATTTAGCGGAAATTCTCGATGCGAATACGGGGAAATTCGCTAGGACTTTAAGAGATGAAAATTTACGCAAAGATTGCGCTGATTTAGAGCAAAAATACATTGAGAGGTTTATCAATCAGGCAAGAATTTCCCTGAAGAAGTATAGACTTTACTAATTTTTTGTTTAGAGTATGGCGGTTCTTCAAGATGCTTTAATGATTTCTGCGAACATTGAAAAATTACGTAATAGTTTTATTCTATCTCCAGGAAAATGGTACAGCGATTTGTTGGATTGGATTTACATACACAGTTACGAGCAAGAATTGCACACCAAAATCGTGAATTTGCATAGTGATGCTAATGTGAAATGTACCGTCGAGTGAGTTTATTTGTGAGTAAGTGGCCAACCGTTAATGATAATTTTAAGGTATCAAAATCCCCGAACTTTGATTTACTGCATTGCAATTTGGGATGAAAACATATCAGAATTGCGTGAAACTACAATCGATGTCGTCAATAATTTGTACACCCACTGCCCCGACGACGAATTTAAAATAATTATATCTCAGGAATTGGTACAAAAAGCTACCGACTGCCACCTCCGCCCACAGAAAAAGTCCAAAAGCAAGAAAAAATGCCCGGTTTGTGTGGCCAACGATCATTTAAAAGCCTACGAACTTAAATTATTCGCCATGTCTAAACGAACCCAAAACTTTGAAGACATGTCGCTTAAGGGAAGTTGGAAACCGACTCCAGAAGAACTCATTTTTAAATGTAATTCACTTAACTTGATTTTCATCCTTTCAATTTCGGTTTTTAGCAATTCTGATGGTAGGACGAGCCAAAAACGCCGATAGTAATTTGTTGAAAGACGGTGAAATTCACATAAATATTTTAGAAACTCTCAAAAAAGAGTTTAAAGAAGTGAGGAAGCTGTGGACTTACTTGGAGCAACAAATATGCGCACAGGACGAGGTAGACATGTGTAAAATTCGCTTGAGACTGAAAGAACCAAACGAGGAAGAGAAACAAAACAAAATTTTGAAAAACCTGAATTATAATATAGACAATAAGTTGGAAACTATTCATGTTTTGGATGTGCACGAAGTTGAGTACCAAAGAACAGTTTTACATTCTGAGGAGAACCGGAATAAGGCCCTCTTAGAGAAAAATTTAGGTACGAGGAGTTATTTAGAGACGTTGCGGAAGCAGCAGTATGAAGACCAACCACCTGACCCTTGCCCCATCTGCAAAAATGCCCTAGAGAATCAGTGGTCCATTTTATCATGTGGCCATTGCTACTGTTTGGAGTGCATCCAACTTTTAATTGATCAGGTAATTGTTTAATTTATTTTGACAAAAAAATTATTTTTATGTAGACCAGGAGTCATCATGTGCAATGCTCTGTTTGCCGTTCATATCACCTAATAAGTGAGATTTCCTATATAAAACCTGGGGAACAACAAACAGCCCCTGAGAGTGAAAAAATCGCCGGGAATTACTCAACAAAAGTCGAAAGTATTGTTCGTTTAATTTTAAAATTGAAACTTGAAGATGAGGACGTCAAAATTTTGCTTTTTTCGAGTTGGATCCCTGTGTTATCATACATTAGAGAAGCTTTGACTAAGAATAGTGTCACGTCGGAGTTAATTACTTCCGGAAATTTGGAAAAACAGATTGAAAAATTTAAGGTAATTTGTATGTTATAAAGAATTTTTTTAATACGAATTTGCAGGACGTTAATCAAAATATTACCGTTTTACTTTTACCCATAAATCTCGGTGCTAAAGGACTGAATTTGATTGAAGCCACTCATGTAATACTGACCGAGCCTTTGCTCAATTCAGGCGAAGAACTTCAAGCCATTGGACGAGTTCACAGGATTGGTCAGACAAGGTCTGTTTAGTTTTTGAAAAAAATAGGTTGGTATATGTGTTTTAATAGGCCTACCGTTGTCCACAAATTCTTCATAAAACATACAATTGAGGAAAGTATTCAGAAAGCAGTAAGCACCAATGTGAAAAATTGGGAGAAAAACAAAATCACTCTTGGGCAGTTGGTAGAGTTGTTTGTCACTGATGATGCTTCCGAAGAAGAACATAATGAAATTTCCGATTTGTAACTTTTGTACTTATTTCGTTGTCATTCAGAAAATAAAGTTTTTATTATTTTTAATAAGTCTATTATTTACACAAAACCAGAAATCTAAGATTTGATTCAGTACCAAATAGAGGTAATCTCGGAAATAGAAAGAGCTTTAGAAAGCTTCGTATACATAAACCATTTCGGTTAGGTATTCGTAAATGTAATTGAAGACAACATAAGCACCGCTCATTGAAAACTATGATTGAACCAACTCCGTCTACTTTTGAATAAAATGTAAATGTTACAATGCAAATTACAAATTGTGCTTACTTCGATTTTTTTTTAATTTATTCTACTTAAAACTTCCGTCATTATCTATAGTCATTAAAACGTAAGTACCTCGAAGCGGTATATTCAGTTTTGTTGTTTACACACTACTGAGGTGTTCTTCAGGTCACTGTCCCTGTAAGATATGTGCACAGTAACCATAACCTGCTGAGTAGTTGCTTAAGAACATTCGTATTTTATATAGAAATATCGTAAGTAAATTTGGAATATCATAGGTAAATAAATAATTTTATTTTTAATTCTCATTATCATTTTCTTTTTAAATAAAAGTAATTTATTTCAAGGCAGTTAAGAAACAACATTATTATTACTCTAACTTATTATTTGACCCTTAGGTCAATTCGATAGATCTACCCCTAATCTAAAACTTTCCAAATAAATTACCCATTTTTGCTAACAAAACCTATTCACTTTCATTGTGTGTAAATGTGACCTCGACCTTCTGTTCAGGACCATGACTCAACTCTTCGAATTAATCGCCGCCACATTATGGTTCTGGACCTTTTCAATCGGCTTCTTAGTCTCAATTATCACTTCCATTTTAATTCTATTCTGTCCACCCCTGCGATGGGTGCTCGTTCTGTACCTTCTCTGGATTTGGTACGACCGCAAGACCAGCGAACGTGGCGGCAGACCCATCTCATGGGTCCGAACCTTTCTTTGGTGGCGCCTCATGAAGAACTACTTCAGCCACAAACTAATATCAAACGAAGATGACGAATTCGACCCTAAGAAAAATTACTTATTCGCATGTTACCCCCATGGCATGCTCCCAGTGGGCACGTTTGCCTCTTTCGTGGATGGGTGCAGGAGTATTTTTCCCAAACACGAAGCCTACACTACGGTACTAAACATTCAGTTTTGGATGCCGGTGATAAGGGAACTCTTCTTATCAATCGGGGCTGTTTCGGTATCAGGACCCTCAATCAAATATTTACTAAGTAATGAAAAGGGGGGCAATATTGTATCAATTCTAATCGGGGGTGCAGACGAATCTAAATACAGCAAACCGGGAAAGTACAAAATCATTTTAAATAAAAGAAAAGGTTTCGTTAAGATGGCACTCCAAACAGGGGCGCCTTTAGTCCCCGTGTTTTCGTTCGGAGAAACGGATGTTTTTGATCAAGTGGACTTCCCCGGATTTGGATGTATAAGAGACTTGGTTAAAAATACATTGCAGATTGGTTTAGTTATTCCGAAAGGGAAGTATTTCATTTGTCCACAACGAGTCCCTGTTGTGACAGTTGGTAAGTTAAGGTTTATTTTCCACCGGTTGAAAAATAACACATTTTTGTAGTTGGGTCCCCGATTAATGTCACAAAAACCCCAAATCCCACCAATGAACAAATCGATGAGCTGCACCGACAATTTGTTGATAGTATTAATAGACTTTTCGACCAGTATAAATACAGATACGCCAAAAATCCGGAAGACACTGTTTTGGAAATTGTTTAAATTTGAATAAAGGGGGTTTAGGGGAGGATTTTCTGTGGCTTAAAAAGATTTTGTTAATTTATTTTGTATTAAAAATGTGATGGTGTATCGTTTTTTTGCTTTATTTTATAAACAAAACCTATAATGTGTTGTAAAAAGAGCCTATTGTATAAGTATTGTTTAAATATTGCATCGTTTAACACAGACAAATAGTAGAAAAAAATGAGAAGTCTTAAAATACATTAGTGAAGACCCGCATATAAGACTTCCTGTCTGAATTTATATTGTTGCCGATATATTTTAGTCTCGATTTCAGTGTTAACATATTTTTTGGTAAGTTTGCTACTTTGTACTTGCTACAAATGTCAACAAAAGTGAAGTATCCGTACCGACACAGTCCGCATTTATTAATTAAATTAAATTTTAAACTTGACGTAAATATCTCCAAATCGAGTAACATCAAGGGGACACGAAGCACATGACGGCACAGAGGAATAGTCTACTCATGGATGACCAAATTCCAGTCGATTGATCTATCACAAAAGGTTTCACTTTGCTCAATTACACCAGCCATGCTTTTTCCTAGAGAACCGCATTTTTCCACGGTTATCTACAGATAAACTGAAGAAACTGATTTAGGTGTGACGAGAGTGGGGTCCTCCTTAATTTGAAAACTTGTAGAGAAACCACATTGGATCAGTTTGTAAACATTCATGTCTGTAGATTGATCTCTGTGAAATGGTTGTGCGTCTAAATAAAAAGTAATAAATAATTGTATTCATAAATTGTCAATTAAGGTAGGAGTGTTTGCTTTGAATAACTTTTATCTCACCGATAAGTGTTATTAATTTGGTGTTTTTCGCGAAGCGTTTCAATTTTGCTTTTTGGATGATAATACCGGCATTAAAGTTTGTTCCCAAATAATTAACATGCAATATCAAAATTTAATCGTAATAAGTGGCTAATACGTAAGTACTATTTTTGCAAAATCTTCTATTTCCTGGAATTTCTGAAAAACGGTTATCTTTGCATGTAGGTAATAACAAGTCTTGTGAAGTAAACAGTAATAATAGCTTTTATTTAAATAAATAAACTTTTGGTATACAATGTCATTTGTTTACGTATTGTGTAAATAATTGATTATATATTTTTTACATCTTGAACAAGAATCAATTAGAAATACAGCTACTTAAAGCAAGTTATTGCATCACTGAGTTACGTAATTGTATTTAAGGACAATAATTATGAAGTACTTATAACAAAAAGCAATCAAAATGACCATACTATAGGCAATGTTTTTGAACAAGTAGGTCGTATAAATTATATAGTATATTATCGTAGCTTTTCTAAGGACAACCAATATGAAACAATATAAATGTGTTTCATTTCTTAATTTTAGCAAGTAATTTTTTATTTTCGTAACCCTCATTTTGGACTTCATTCTATCTTATCTCACCGATAAAACGTATAATAAAAGTAACACTTGAAGTTTAGTTCAAACAGTACTTTTGTACATATTAAACTTTCATTTTCTTAAAGATGAATATTTTGGGGATCAAGTTTGCCCCTTTAAACATCCCTCTCGAACGCCGCTTGCAAACCCTCGCCGCTGGATGCTGGTTCACAACCTTGGCTTTTGGCACCTTCATCGGTACCTTCATCTGGGTATACTTCTTTTTCACCCGTTTCTGGTACCTCTCCGTCCTTTACGCAACTATAATTTACCTTGAGAAAGATAGATGTGAAACCGGAGGTCGACCCATCGAATGGATCAGACACTGGAAATGGTGGTGGTATTTGAAAAATTACTTCCCGTGTAAACTAGACTTCGTCCCAGGCTTGACCTTTGACCCAAAGAGGAATTATTTATTTGCCTGTTACCCTCACGGAATTCTTCCTGCAGGCCCGTTTAACACTATTGGTAGCCCTTACAGCGAATTTAGCAAATTGTTTCCGAAATTTCAAGTGAGGTTGGTGACTCTGCGTCAACATTTCTTCATTCCGTTTCTCCGGGAGATCGCTTATGGGACTGGAGGGATTTCAGCCTCGGCCAAATCAATGAACTATGTTTTGGGGAATCCTGAAGGAGGGAATATTGCTGTGTTGATGCCAGGGGGCGCAGTTGAGGCCTATCATAGTCGGCCTGGACAATATAGAATCGTCCTAAAGAATAGGAAAGGCTTTGTGAAATTGGCCTTGAAGAATGGCTCACCCCTTGTACCTGTTATTTCTTTCGGAGAGCCGGAATTGTTTGATCAAATTGAGGGAAAAACATTGAGGAGGATTCAGGAGTCTATTAGGAAGTATTTAGGGCTGGCTCCCGTAATTTTTTCTGGGAGAGGATTCTTCCAGTACTCATTTGGGGTTATTCCACAAAGGAGTCCAATTACGACCGTTGGTAAGCCTTTCGACTTGTTTTAGGCTTTATTTTAATTGTTTTGTTTAGTTGGGAACCCAATTGAAGTTACCAAAACTGAAAAACCAACAAATGAAGAAGTAGATGAGTTACACAAAAAGTATATGCAAGAACTGGAGAATTTGTTTGAAGTGTACAAATACAAATATCTGGAGAATCCGAACGACATACATTTAAAATTTGAATAAAGACTGTTTTAAATTTTGTTATATATTTTTATAAAATAGGTATTGTTATTAAATAAATATATTTTTTTGCATTCGCTCTCTAAAATGTTTATTTTGCGAACTCCAAACACTTTGTAAAATACGTCTTTAAAGGATTAGTCCTCTAAAATATTGTTATAGCAACTTTAACAGACTTGGTCCTTAAAAATTCATTTTATGACGTGTTTTTGGTCTTGCCCTAACAACTATTTCTAAACTGACTATAATGTTCATAAATGTTCTGTAGATAATTACAAATTTATAACTCAATTTGGTGAAATCGTGCAAAAAATCTTATACACAGGAGGCCCATTTTATCTATTCCTGCCTAAAATTTCATAAATAGTCAACTAATTTAACTTTCCATATGAGACTTTGCTTTGAAATGTTATTTTTTATAATAAACGAATAGACAGCTGCTGATTATGTCCGTGAATTTTGTTAGTTTTTATCGCAAAAATTCGAGTTGTAATTAATCTTAAAAGTGAACTATGTACAATAACTCTGAAAAACGAATATGAAATTAATTTTGGAAAAGTGCCGCGAGAATTATGATGCCGCAGTTCATCTGTACGCCATAAGATAAATAATTACATTAAATCATGTTTTTTGGAAAATTGTGAGCAATTTACGGCAAACTGGGCAATTTAAAAAAGTTAAAGTGAGAAGACGTACAATAATTTGTTAATTAATTAATTTGTCAATTAATTGTTAATTATACATTTGAGTTTTGAATTTAATTTTTTTTAAGATTTCAATAGTTAAACACAGACTATGATTATTCGATTTGAAATAGTTAATATTTTACACAAATAAAATGTATAATATGTTGCCTATTTTTCCTCCTTCAGGCGGGAACAAAAAAAATGGGCACCTGTAGGTACACAAACTAGCTGATGTGGTCAAATCCTATCGGATTTGATTAAGAGTTTCATTTTTATTTAGTAAGTGTCTTTTAGATTTAAAAAAAATAATGTTTGGGTCAGTTCGAGTAGTTTCAGATCACTTTAGGCTACTTCGGGTTACTTCGGATTACTTTGGCTTGAAGTAAAGAGAAAGTGTTAAATGTACTGACTAATTATTTTCAAAAAAAGAAAAATTCTTAAGGAAATGTTTAAATTTAGTTGTAAAAATGCCAATCGAGACGTTTCAAAACATCGGGTTACAAAAGATAGTTGGGGAGACTAAAAAAGTGTCAGATGTACTGGATTAAAAAATTTCTAGAGTTTCAAAAAACATTTAAAAATTTCTTAAAGAAATGCTTAAATTTAAAAAAAATGACATTCGTCGGCTCGTCACTATTTGTCCTCTAAAACTCTATTTTGCGTACTTGACACATAAATATCTATTAAACTGCATTAGTACAAACAAAAAATTATTCCTTCTAACAAGTAATAATTACGCATAAAATAGATTATTATACAAACATGACAATTAAAGCAATGTTTAAAATTCATTAAAATCAAAGCTTAGTAATTCTCCTGTCGCATATCAATGAGTATGGACATAAGCACTAAAATTGGAGCAAACGTAAAAATTTAAAATCGCTTTTTATGGAAAAAATAAAATAAAAGTCATGTTTTAGATGGTGGTTTGTGCTCCACAATTGAGATTCTTCCTACAGTTATTAGCCGCCGCGGGGTGCTACCTAAACTTCATTTACGGTGGCATTTTCGGCCTCCTCCTCTGCCTGTACCTCCTCCAAACTTCTTTCTGGTACCTCACGCCACTTTACATAGTCTGGATTTATCTCGACCGGACCACTTGCGAAACTGGAGGCCGGCCCATCAAATGGGTTCGTAACTGGGCTTGGTGGTATTATGTGACACAGTACTATCAGTCACAACTCACTTGTGATCCCAACTTCACTCTTGACTTGAAAAAAAATTATTTCTTCTGCTGTTTCCCTCATGGAATTGTCCCCACTGGAACTGTCACCGCTTTCCTAAGAGGTGATAGCAATTTCTCGAGACTACTCCCAAACTTCGTGGTAAAAGTGGCAACTTTGCACTTTAATTTTTATTTACCATTCGTGAGGGAATTGTATTTATCAATGGGATGTGTTTCATGTTCTGTGAGGTCGATCGACTGGGTTTTGAGTCGGCCTCAAGGAGGACAAGTTGTGCTTTTGTGGCCAGGTGGAGCTGAGGAGGCTCTTGAAAGTAAGCCAGGGCGATATAAGTTGGTCGTTATGAAGAGGAAGGGATTTGTTAAGATTGCAATGAAAAATGGGAGTCCTCTAGTGCCCGTTATTACTTTTGGAGAAACGGATTTGTTTGAGCAAATAGATATAATGTGTTTGAGAAAAATCCAAGATTTTATTAAGACGTGGACGGGTATAGCGCTGGTGTTGACGAGGGGGTTCATTCCAAGACGGAAACGCTTAGTTACTGTTTGTAAGTCAGTCCAAGTTTTAGCCATTTTTCCTTAATATCTTGTTTAGTGGGAAAACCAATCGATATTAAAAAAGTTGAACAACCAACGGAAGAACAAATTAATAAGCTACATGGACGTTTCGTGAAAGAATTAGAAAATTTATTTGAAAACTATAAATATAATTTTTTAGAAGACGCAAACAATACGTTTCTAGAGTTGTAATAAATTGTACTTTTGTTGTTCGTTACGATTTATTGTCCAAGATATGCAGACAACAGTAATGTCTATTAAATAAATTACAAGTAGGTACAAAGCAAATTAACGTTCATTGTGATAATAACACCTTTAACGCTATCGCTTCTTAGCAAAAAATCACAAACAGAAGATATCTACCTTGAAACGTAAAAACATTAAACATTGACGTTACTCCATTACAGTTTGTGTTTACAGTGAAAACTGATATTCCTTGTCTAAGGTTAGATTTTTTAATCAAACCCTTTTTTTATAGCTTATTTTAGATGAAGCTCTTAGGAATCGAATTCCTCCCTTTGAATACGCCCCTAGAACATATAAAACAAAGACTATCAATGGCTATAATGGTTCATGTGCTGGTGTCATTGGGAACAATAACAATATTATTTAACCTTTACCTGCTTTTTACCCGTTTTTGGTGGATCCCATTGTTTTATGTGTGTTGGATTTATTTTGATCGAAATATTGGTGAAAATGGGGGCAGATCAATTTTGTGGGTTCAAAATTGGAAAATCTGGGAATATGGTGAAGCTTACTTCAACGCAAAACTTGAATTGGCCCCCAATTGTACCTTCAACCCCAAACTAAATTATTTATTTGCTTGCTTCCCCCATGGAGTCCTCACTATTGGTCCATTCATGACTATCAGAAGCCTTACGTCTCCATTTCACCATTTGTACCCCGATTTCGATGTTAAAATGTCAGCCTTGCCTTTACTTCTTTGTGTTCCTGGTACCCGAGAAATCGCTTTGGGTTTAAAATACATTTCATGTTCTGCGAAATCTCTGAGTTATGTTTTGAAAAGTCCGGAAGGCGGAAAAATCGTGACTTTATTCCCTGGTGGTGCCCGAGAAGCTTATAATAGCAAACCCGGTCTTAACAAATTCATTGTTTTAAAAAGAAAAGGTTTTGTTAATGTGGCGTTACAAAATGGGGTTCCACTGGTCCCTGTTATCACATTTCGAGAGTGTGATGTGTACAAACAAATTGAGGGACCCCGTATTAGACAATTTCAAGAATTTGTGCGAAAGAAATTCGGTTTTGTACCTCTTCTATTTTACGGTTGGGGCTTGTTTCAAAATACTTTTGGATTAGTTCCAAGGCAAGTGCCATTGGCGACAGTTGGTAAGGTTTTGATTTGGATTGGACTGTTTTATTAATTTTTTTAAACAGTAGGTACTCCAATTGAAGTAGACAAAGTTGAAAATCCGAGCCAGAAACAAGTCGATGACCTCCATAAAAAGTTTATAGAAGAACTGAAAAAATTGTTTGAAGAGTATAAATACAAGTTCCTGGATAATCCAGAACAAACATTTTTAGAACTCGAATAAAACAACAATAAAACTTGTTCTTTGTTAAACAAATCATAGTTTTATTTCATAATTATCGTCTTTAAGTTTTACAGAGAAGAGGGTCTTTTAACAAAATTTAAATCAATTGCAGATAGAATTATCTCAGAAGCAGGCTCGGGATTAGACCTTCATGTTTGTGTGAACCATGAGAGGCACATTTTTTTTAAATAGGCTAAGTAAATCCGTACCTCTGTTATAATAAAGGCAAACAAAAACTAGCAAACGTGTCATAAAAAATTTATATTGGTGAAGAATTGCCCAAAAAATAATACTTCTATAATAGTATATTATAGTACTAGTTTATAAGCAAGCCTTTAAAACACGCACGACGGGTTTAAGAGCACGACGCGTCAGCGGAGTGCTTTTAACGTCGTAAGTGTTTTAAAGGCGCTTATAAACAAGTGTTATACGCTATTTTTGTTATACCTGCCCATTTACGATCTTTTATCGGCATTGAAAAAATGTGAATTTACACAATAAAATTATCAAAGGTTGTTTGTGAATCGTTTTCGTAGAGACGGTTACTAGTTTACGTTGTTAAGCACATTTTTTCACGTTGTAATTGGTCCAGACATTTCACTATTTCTTGTTACCTAGCAACTTTAAAATTTCAGCGTGCTATAGAGGTCAAATTACGCACGCTGCAGCGTGTTTTAATTTAGGATTATGATGCATGTATAATAAAAAAAACTTTTTTAAATTTGTACAAACAGTAAATTTTATTTTTCTAGAAAACCTTAATAATATGGTTTTTAATTTTGGAGCAAGTGAACCAATAAAGGGTAGGCCAGCTCAAGTTCAGACGGACCGTTGCGTTGCCTACCGAGGCTTACTTGTAGTCATGTGTGTGTTCAAAAGTTTCTACAAAAAGTCTATGAAACATTTTTGAAAATGAATAAAACATGTAACTAAATGCGCAACCACACAATATCACACAAAGTAGGTTTTACATGTTTATTGTTATTAGCAAAATTTAGAAGTTTGTTGTAAAAAAAAGAAAAGATTTTGTTAGGCTGGCCACCACGAGAGAAGCTTCTGATGACAGTAAGTTTCTTTCAAGACATGAACCGTAGTTTGAATTTTGTAGTGGATGAACCAATTGAGGTCTACGAAGTTAAAAATCCAAGTGGTAGAATTGTTCGACAAGTAGAATTATTTTCTGATAATCTCTAGCTAAGAGTCACAAATTGAAATAAAAAAAATTATCACTAAAAAAGTAAATGTAGATATAAAATTTCTAAGGTAGTTATCAACTAATGCACAACAAATGCACAACAAATTAAACAACATCCTAAGTTAAAGCTCATAAAATTTATGCTCTTAGATAACAAATAATGGAAATGCAATGTTAATTATTTTACTATATTTTTATTTACTATATTCTACAAGAGTCTCTTCAGTTAAAAAGCTTGCCTCACAAAAGCGTTTAAGTAAAAGATGAGAATTTTGGGTATAATTTTTGATCCTTGGGACACCCCGTTTGAACAAAGACTTCAAATGTTTGCAGCAGGTGCAATATATTTTGGTTTCATTTTTATAGGACCTCTTCTTGTAATTTTTTGCTTTTATTTGTTATCTACTTCTTTGTGGTGGTTGGTTTTACTATACTTTGGTTGGTTCTATTTTGACAAACACACTCCTGAGCGAGGTTCACGACCATCACAATGGTTACAAAATTTAAAGTTTTGGAAATACGTCCATGACCATTTCCTCATAACACTTAGACTCGCCCCGGGTTTTGAACTAAATCCATCCAAAAATTATCTCTTTGCTTGTTTTCCTCATGGAGTTCTACCTATGGGAGTTTTTTCTACTATCGTTAACTCCTATTCCTTATTTCATAATTTGTACCCAAATTTTCGAGTAAAAATCGCAACACTCTCTGTTATCTTTTGGTTTCCGTTGTTACGAGATTTCGCAATGTGTTTAGGGTTCATATCGGCTTCATTTAAATCTCTTACCTGGGTCTTAAGCAGACCCGAAAAGGGAGAAATTGTAGTCTTATTTCCTGGTGGTGCTGTAGAATGTTCTTATAATCAATTTCAACCTGAGCTTTACAAGTGTTTTGTAAAACGTCGAAGAGGTTTTGTTAAAGTGGCTTTAAAAACCGGAGCTGCTTTAGTGCCGGTTTTGACTTTTGGTGAAAACGATTTGTTAGCCGTTGAAGGAAGTTTTTTACAAAAATTTCGTTTTGTTACTAAGAGATTTCCAATACTTGCTTGTGGTCTTTTTAATGGAAGAGGAGTTTTTCAAAATTCTTTTGGGATGGTTCCAAGAAAAAAACCTATAATGACCGTTGGTAAGTATCCACTGTTTTAAATGAATTTTATTTAACGAAAAACGTTGTAGTTGGTAGACCAATTGAAGTTTCCAAAACAGAAAACCCAGGTGATGAAGAAATCGATAATCTGTACAAGAAATTTGAAGAAGAGTTGTTAAAGCTGTTCGAAAAATATAAACACAAATTTTTTGATAACCCTCAGACTAAATGTCTAGAGTTGGAATAATTTTTTAAGTAATAATTTTATTTTTAAGTAATTTTTAAGTATTTTTTCCTTTAATTTACACATTTGTTAAAAATGATTTATTTGCTGTTGAAGGAAGCTTTTGGCAAAAATTTCTTTCCTTGTCTGAGAAATTTTCAATATCCTAAATTGTTTATTTTATGAAAGAGCAGTTTATCAAAGTTTTTTTTGGGATGGTCCTAAAAAAAAACAAAAATTCAAGTGAGGAACAAATCAAAAGTCTTCACCAGAAATTTCTCCAAGCATTAATTTAATTGTTTGAAATGTACAAAAGCCAATACTTTGAAAGATCCTCAAGGAAAGATTTTAAAACTGTTATTATGTTAGCTTAAATCTTGAATACCCATACTCGTTTAATAAAGAAAAGTCTCATACTTAATAAATTAAACTGATAAGAGAAGCAAATAAAAAATAGTTAATACAAGCAAATTCGTAATCCATATGCAAGCAGTGCGCTAGTACCCAAGCCAATCGTCCAGATAAATTTTTGAATAATCTAAAACATCGTGTTTTAAATTGATTCTACTTATTTTTCCACAAACCTTATTTTGCCACTTCCGATTCTCCACACACTTTTTATATCCAATATTCGAAAAGGTGACCGAATTATACAACGGGATCCATTTCTCCTTCATACACTTAAAAAGTACATCATCAAAAAATTTCCTTAAACGGTACGAAGACCTAGTCACAAGATCCCTCATTTCTACATAATTATACATCGCCAGTTCGCAAATAGCATAAGCATCTTCAACCCTTTCTCTACTAAAGTCCTCAATAGACCCCGAGATATCATTACTTCTTCTTTCCAAAATACTGTCCAAAATAAAACAATCCTCAAATCCTGCATTCATTCCTTGCCCATAAAATGGAACCATAGCATGCGCTGCGTCCCCAATTAGCAGAAATTTGCCACCCACATGGTATGGTTTACACTTGACCGAAACCAAAGCTGATGGCTTCACTTTAAAGAAATCGTTGACAAGGAGATTTTCACCTATGAGGGGAACAGCGTCAGGGAAAGTATTGTAAAAAAAATCTTTTAATTCCGAAGCATTTCTCAAACTTTCAAATTTTGCAAAAGGCATAAAAAGAGTGACAGTCCAGGAATTGTCCTTATTTGGTAACGCAATCATCATGAATTGTCCGCGAGGCCAAATATGTAGATGATTGAGGGTCATTTTGGGGCCGTTTTCGGGAGGGATAACCAATTCGAGGTAGCCGTGCTGGATGTATGTTTGACTGTATTCGAAAAGAGGCGTTTGTTGCATGTAACGACGAAGAGTACTGTACGCCCCATCAGCTCCTATTATTAGGTCAGCTTGGTGAGTCTCAATTTCTTGAGTTTTCAAACTACAAAAATTTTCCAATTTGGTTTATTACAAGAGTTGTTACCTACTTTATAACCGAAATTCTTTCGTCTTCAAAGCTCACGCTTATTAATTTGTGATTGAAGAAAATTTTAACATTTGGGTACTTCTCTAATTCAGTTAATAGTACGTTATTTAAGTAGTTTCTGCTGATGGAATAAATACACTAAAATTTTTATCAATAATTTTTGCAAGCTTTTCATAAAATAACTACGTACTTGTCCGGTTAAAGCATCGTAAGGTACACTAGTAGTTCGCCCCTTCAAATCATGTAAAAGTCGCCCTTTCATTGGAATTGCTGATTCAAGAATCATGTTTTCTATTCCAACAGCACGTAAAGCATTTCTACCACGATTCGACAAAGCCATATTTATCGAACGACCTCGAGCAAACTTTGCCGTCCTAATATCTGAATCAAATTTTAGACCTAATTTAAATCTAATTAAAAATTAATTTACCTTCCCTAAATTCAAAAAGTGTAACATGGTAGCCTCTCTTGGCCATAAAAATAGCACACAAAGAACCAACCTTAAAAAATTCAATGTTATTTTTAATCATACTACAACTATAATAATGATGTATCTTCATTAAAAAAAACTCGTAATTAGCGTCGTATGTCGTTGTATGTATCGTCCACTAATGTATTTTAATTAGGTTTCATCTTGACAAGTGGATAAAATAAAAGACATGCAAAATATTTGTCAAGCACCTTTAAGTTTTTTTTAATAAACATACGTTATTAGGAATCATACCAAACCACCGCCAACCACAATAACTGAATTTACATTATTACTACCCATTTTTACACAAAAACTGCACACATAAGACTGACTTTAGTTTTAAAGGCTTCGTTACAGCTACTTGATATGTAGAATAATCGTGTTAGTCTGTTGGTATTGTATTACATTTCGGGGTTTGCTCCTTTTTCTTTTTCAATGCTAATCCGAGTAATTCTATGATAAGTTTCTTATGTAATTGATGGCAAAATAAATAGGAAAATTCCACTCATTAATCTACTGTGATTTCTAAATTGTTCAAAATTAATAAACAAGTTTGTTATCTTTTATTTACTTAAAACATTCAAAATTAATCAAAACAATGAAATAATATTTCAAATCAGTAACAGTGTTGTAAGTGACGATGTGACGATATTGTTTATTTATGTTTGGTGTTGCTGGAAAACAAAAATGCATAATTATCCCAACAAGTAAAAAATTATTCTAACTACGAACATTAAAAAATAAGTTTGCTATTTACGTTACTGTAGGTACTTATAAATTACACCCGTGACTTATCATAAGTCGCTAACGACGATTTAAGTCGTCGTTAGCACACACAGATCTGTCGTTTCATTATTGTGTAGATATTGTGATAACTCGACTTGCATAGCCCAAAAAAGCCTAAAACTGCCTAAAATTTTAAAATGGTTGAAACATCGTAATTATCAACACTGGCGAATTCGGAAGTTATTCTTTTGCAAGTTAGTCAAAGTTAAACAAAAATGTTCAATTGTTCTTACTAATAATAACAATTTCAAAAAGTAAAACTCGACCAATACAAAATGTCCTCGTCCAGACTAATAGAAAAACCAAATAATGGGGAATTATGTTAGCTTTTAGTAAAAAAAATCCCTACTTTACAAAAGTGAATCGTTGAAAGAAGACGAGCTTTTAGAGTGGCTTGGTCACCAGAAAAGGAAAGAAGAAACGCTGAAATTACCAATGAAATTATGGATCTTGTATTCTTTTAGACAATAAAAGTAATAAAAAAAGGCAGATACGAGTAAGTGACCGAGCTCGGAAACATTAAAAAAAAGAAGTACCTAATAGTAATCGTCCGTATTGTCGTTTGTGAACATATGAATGAAGACAAAGTTTTCCAAGAACAAATCTAATCCGATAATATTGAAGATGAAGAAAACTCCTACGGCACTTAGAATAACACTAGTCAAATTCTAGCAACAATTGAAAAAGTTAACTTGAGGATGTTGGATAACAATAATCACGTCGTGGTGTATTTTTGTAATTCGAGTAAAATGAGACACGTTTAAAGTATCTTTTTAGCAAAAAGTGTAGAAATAAAAATATTGGGTTAATAATGGTTTTTGAAATGTTATATCTTCTGAGGATTTAAAAATAAAAATTTGGATATTTGGTTGCCTATATTTGAAAGTTTTTTCTGCGTTTCTTTTGGGTGTTCGGCGGTAGTTATCTGTTGGTGAAGATTGTGGAACGTGTATAAAAAATTGTTTTGAGACGTTGGGATGATGGTGATGTCCAGAGATAGGTCCAGGTTGCCATCCCAAGCCGGGCTTGCGGTGGTGGGAGTAGTTGGCGTCGCGACGCCGATTCCTTCACTCAGTGGACGGCAGCATGTGGTGGTGGCTGGTGCTCGTGGCGCTGGCGACGGCCAAGCGCGCCCCGTCGACCCAAGAGCCCGTCATCGAGGAGGTCACGGCCAAGCAGCTGGAGCGCGTGTTGGCAGAAAAGGACTTTGTGGCCGTGTTCTGGTGTAAGTACCCTCCTGTGGAGTTGCTGTTAACCGCCCCACGAAGCGGGTCATCTAGAGTGGGGATCGTGACAGTGAGTGTAGAGTGTCAGTCCGGGAGAGGAAATGCCATATCCCGATTTGGCGCGCCTCAGTGCCCTGCTGGACGTCCACTACGACGGATCTGCACGTGCCATCCTCCCGCACTCTGTGATGCAACCCGAATCTCTTTGCCGACCGTAAAAATAAATACAATCTGCATAATGAAGGCATTATAAATAGGAGGCGATAGCGCGGATCGGCTAAAATTGGGTCGAGATGCTTCATCTCATCCCGACACCCACAACAAAAAAGTGCTAACAAATCCGCGAAAATGTGCTCGAAATACGAAAATCGGACTATTGTTATATTTAAATAGTCACCAGACACGTATTTGTGGCTATTACAAAATATTTCACCAAGACAACAGTCTGCATATTTTTAGAATTTTTATTTCAGGCTTTCGGTTAAAAATTTTGAAATAGATGTAGGTGTGTGGACCTACCCACAAAATTCCCTTGTTTTTCATACTATTGTCATTGAATCACGAGATTCTTAAAAATCAAAGATCCTCTGTTACACTGTTAACTTTTTTATTATAATTTTCTAAAGACACAGGTTTAAGAAGAAATTAATAAAAATAAATTGGTACAACAGTTCCAAATAAACTAATTCATATCTAAATAACCAAAATCGGAAAATTTTAATAAAAACTAAGTATATTAAAATAAATTTATTATTCACTTCTTTTTTCCTTTCATTAAACAAAAATTCATTAAATTGAAAAGATACAAGCCGATAAATTGAATTTGGAAGTTTTGTCCCTAAAAATAAAAAACACATAAACACAATATTCTTTCATTCTTCCCTATGAACGCAGAAAGTTCACAAATTCACACACTCAAAAATAATTTTTACATACATATTTTGATCCACTCAACTAATTTTTTTTTAATAGAGTAGAAATAGATAGATGTAGGTGCTTAGAGCCACCCACAAAATTCGTTGTTTTCATTTCTACAATAAGCATAGAACATGAAAACAAGATTTTATGCACTAGAATCCTCTATTTATAAATTTTGTAAAAACAACATATCAACAAATCATAACATACATAACTAACTTAAAGTTTAACGTAAATGTAGGTATATTTTCTCATTAGTCATTACCATTCGTAACTTAATTTTGTCTTATTATTAATTAAAAAATGTTTTAAATCTATTTAGATAAACAAGAAATAAATAAAAAATACATACAAGTGCGCCAGAACTCGCGCCCCAGAAAAAAATTTCAAATAAGGTAAGATACCAGGAATATGGAAAAAATGTTTAAAAAATTATTTTCTGACATTCAATATTTTTTTATGTCTATTTGATGATCTTGTATATGTTTTTTAACAATTATTTAGTAAAGGCGCAAAAATTTTGCCAATAAAAGCCACAAATAACATTGAAGAAAATTATAACTTAGGATACAGCTTCCTTGTTTCCTCTTTTAAAAGACTATAGCAAAAAAACTTGGAAAATTATTTTTCCAACAGAAATAAATAGAGTCAAATTGCAAAATTTAAACCCTCATAACTTGGAAATTTTTATAGATATTTTTTTTAAACATTTTTTCCATGTCCCTAGTATCTTACCTTATTTTTCTCTGGGGCGAGTTCTGGAGCACCCTGTATTGAAGAATATAACCGCCAATTTTTATTTTACATTTCAATTAACTGATTGTGAGTATTCACGGCAATTTGAAGTAAATGTTGTAGGTTATTTTGCAAATCCTCTTCCTTTTTCTACACACTTACAATCCTGTTTCTTAATTTTTTCACGATAAGAAAGTGGAAACGCAGATGACGACCAAAATTTTCCGCTTTCATTCATTAAAACCCACAATAAATTTTATAATAGCAACTTGAAATTTTTCGCAAACGCCTTCCAAATTACGCGTAGCCAACTAAAAATACCAGTAATATGTAACTCAAAACGTCCTAATTAAATTATGTATCATGAACTAATGTTTTGGATTCGAACAAGATCAACAAGAAGATTAATCTCTCTCCCGGTTCCAAATTGTGCAACTTTTGGCCACTTTCTTCTTTTGGCGTTTCTGTGGTTTTTAGAAGTTATCAAGCATTGGCATATCGAATACGCGCTTCCGCGTATAAAACTCAGGTGGGCAATAGTTTGGCTGCAAGCCAAAGCTCCGACCTTCACTCAAAATTTAAATTAATATGTTGGCATAGATTCGAAATGCAGTTTCATTATTCGCCATTGTTTTGAGGAAGACATAATTATTTTTTACAGATGCTCGTAGCTGCACCACGTGCGACCGCGTGCTGCAAGAGTTGGAGCAAATCGACGACGATACGGACTCGTTCGGAGTAGACTTCGTCAAGATTAACGATAAACGACTGGCCAAACAGTATGGCATCACCAAATTTCCTGCACTTACCTACTTTAGAGAAAAACAACCGATCATATACGAAGGTGCGTCTGATCGAAATATTCCAAGCGAGAATTTTCCGAAAATCTGTCATATCGTCTTAAATTTAGAATGTATTTTTAAATAAGTAATCAAACGGATTAAAGAGCTGGATTTGTTTATTTTCCAAACACTACGGATGTGTTTAAGCGAGTTTGATGGCAATCCATTATTCGTTGCCACCAATTCGCTCGTAACCAGAAAATCCAATTCATTTTACGAGAGTTGAGAATTCTGATGATTCAATTGAAGCGAATCAAAAGTAATTTAGGTCATTTCGAGGCGATGAAAAATTTCGGTTAGACATTAAAACTGTTTGAGATATAAATAGCTCTCTCACTTGGACTTGGGTCATGAATTCTCGATGGAAATTACAAGTTGCTAAAAATACTTTAACATAAGTTGAAAATATCTCCAAATTTTATTGCAGGAGACTTGATGGATGAGGAGAATGTCTTGGACTTTTTGACGAGCTTGGAAGCGATGGACTTACCCGATCGCATAGAAGAAGTCAATTCGCGAATTTTGGATAAAATCGTCCAAGAAACCGATTTTGTAGCTGTTTTATTCTGTAAGTGTTTTCTAATTGCATTTTTTGGAAAATAGATAATATACACGAGCCACTCCTTTTTGTCTTAACAATTCTGGGGAAAGATGTATAATATCTAGGAATGTAATAAATGTTCAACCACTTTTTTATCAAGTGTGTGATGTACAGGTCCTGATGCAAGTACGTGTTCCAATAAAGGAGTCAGTAAGTAGATGTTTCCCTTTGGTTGTTTAAGCAGGAACGTCTAAATCTACACTTGATTCATTAGAAGCAAAAATCTCATTAAAATTATTTGAAACTGAAAGTGGAATGATTCAGTGTAGTTGCAGACGGTGTTTTGCAATATTTACGCACTACGCATGCGTCTTCGTCTTCCAGCACCGCTTTATATTATTTTATAACTTTATAAAAATAACCCCCACATATTTGCATTCTGCAAAAATTTTCTCAGCGCCACCATGCAGTATATTATTGGCCCTAAGCATTCCTCCCCCGGTCATCTCAATTCACTTGCATATCCCTCTTCAAAAAGTGAATCGAAAAAACTATTTTATTTTTAATTTAGTTGCCCAAATTTCACGCAAGCTCTCGGGAACTGTAACCCTTGATCTTTGCCAAATCATTTATACATAATTTAGTCTAATTAGACCATTCCAAACTCGTTTTGTGTCATGGTTCCGTTGTTCTATTTTCACGCGTGGGCGTAATTAAGCCAAAATATATCTCCAAGTCTTCAAAAAAGTCGCATTTTTAATCCCATCTATTGCCAATGCCCAATCAACTCAAAGCGTTTCTCTCAGTCCTGCCACACAAAAATACTATTTTCCCCAACTCATGCAAACTTTTGCTCTATAGACAAACCAGAATGCAAGAAATGCTCAAAAGTTCTCATGGAATTGGAAAATATTGATGACGAAGCTGACCAACTTGGAATCGGATTTGTCAAAATCAACGACGAAAATCTTGCAGAAGAATACAATTTAGGGCCTCTACCAGCACTGGTCTATTACAGACACCAAATCCCAATCATTTATGAAGGTTAGCTCTAAACATTCATGAATCAGTAAATAATAAACTTCGTTTAGGCGAATTAACAAAAGAAGAAGACGTTTTGGAATGGCTCGTCCAAAATAAAAGCACCGGAGACGAAGACGACGTCATTGAAGATGTAACGCTTAAAACTCTCTCAACTCTAATTTCAAGTGTTGACCATTTGGCAGTACTTTTTTGTGAGTTTTTCCAGTTTTATTTACTTTTAACTAAACTAAATTTATTTAGACGATCACGGAGATGAAGAATCAATGTCGGCGTTAGAAGAATTAGAACACATTGATGACGATTGTGACAAATACGGGATTCAGTTTGTAAAAATCGATGACGGAGCAGCAGCTGACGAATACGGTTTAGATTCGCTTCCTGCAGTTGTTTACTTCGAGAAAGGAATTCCAAATGTTTATGACGGGTCCTTGGAAGAAGAAGAAGAATTTTTAGAATGGTTAGTGCAGCAACTCGAGAAGGACGAAATCGAGGACGTCACTGATGAAATGTTAGACAAACTTATAAACGAAGGAAAAAATTTGGCAGTTTTGTTTTGTATGTTTCAAATTGATTTCGTCTAATTGTCTTGATAGAAGTTTTATAGATAATGAAGATGATAAAAAGTCACAGCGAGTCCTCAACGAATTAGAAAATATTGACGACGAATGCGACCAGCTCGGAATCGTTTTCGTAAAAATTGATAACGATGAAGAAGCTCAAGAATATGGAATTGAGAAAATCCCATCTCTGGTCTATTTCGAAAATGGAATACCAACATTGTACGAAGGGAATTTGGAAGAGGAAGAAAAAGTTTTGAAGTGGTTGGAACATCAGGTGAAGAGTGACGAAATTGAAGACGTTACAGACGAAATGCTTGATCTGCTTATTGACAAGAAGCAGTACGTAGCAGTACTTTTTTGTAAGTCAATTAAAGATAGTAAAATAAATATGTCACTATTCATTTTTAACAGATGATAAGAATCAGAAAAAAAGTCAGAAAGTCTTGGCGGAATTAGAAAACATTGACGATGAATGCGACCAAAACAATATCGCGTTTGTTAAGATTGACGATACTGGAGAAGCAAAAGAATACGGTATTGATGTTATCCCCAGCCTAGTTTTATTTGAGAAGAAAATCCCCCATCTTTACGAAGGTGATTTATTAAAAGAAGACGAGCTTCTAGGATGGCTCATTCACCAAAAAAAGCATAGCGAAATCCCTGACGTCACTGACGAAATGATGGATCGTCTAATTGACAGCACCAAATATCTCGCGGTCTTGTTCTGTAAGTAGCTCAAATCAAATATCCCGATTTGATCAAATTCTTCCAGACGATAAAGATGACAAACAAGACATCCGAGTGTTAAACGAGCTCGAAAACATTGACGACGATTTGGAAAAAGAAGGAATTGTAATTGTTCGTATTGACAACGACGCAGAAGCTAAAGAGTTCGGAATTGACCACCTCCCAACTCTGATTTACTTTGAAGACAAAATTCCTTCGCTCTATGAAGGCGATCTAATGAACGAAGACGAAGTTCTCCAGTGGTTGATCGAACAAAAAACTTCCGCAACAATTGAAGAAGTGACTGATGAAATTTTAGAAGATCTTATACAAGAACATGAATACGTAGTCGTCTATTTCAGCGGAAATTGTGATGAAGGACAAAAATGTGACGATATTTTAGACGAATTGGAAAATATCGACGACGAGCTCGATGAAACTGGCATTATCTTCGTCACAACAGAAGATTCAGTAATGGCAAAAAAACATGGAATTAAGTCTTTCCCAAAACTGGTATTCTTCCGTAACAAAGAACCACTGATCTACTCTGGTGACATTGAAGATGAAGATGAGGTACTCGCGTGGCTCACTGATGAAGACACTCTTGAGATTCCTGACAGAATTGAAGAAGTCAACTCGAGAATGCTAGACAAGATTTTGACTGAGAATGATTACGTTGTGGTGTACTTTTGTAATAAAATAAATATTGCGTTTGAGGTTGCTCTAAATGTGTTACTTCCAGATAAAGAAGGTGACAAAAAGTGTCAAAAAATCTTGCAAGAGTTAGAAAACATCGACGATGAGTGTGAAGACAAAGATATCGATTTCGTCAAAATCTCCGATGAGGGTATTGAAAAAGAGTACGATTTGCCGTCACTTCCGGCCTTGGCGTTCTATAGACATAGATTCAGAGATATTTATTCTGGTGATTTGATGCATGAAGAAGCTATTCTTGACTGGGTGTTGAACTTGCGTGATTCCGCACCTGACGTCATTGAAAGCGTAGATAGGAAAACACTTCAAGTAAAATACGAATAGTTAGTTGCGTTTGTTGGAGTAATAAATTTTGTCTAGGGGCTTATAACTGATGTTGAACATCTGGCTGTCTTGTTTTATACCGATGATTGTGAAGAATGCGAAGAAATTTTGGAAGAATTGGAAACGATCGATGATGACGCAGACAAGCACGGGATTCAGTTTGTTAAATCAAAAGATCAAAAATTGGCTTCGGAGATTGGTATATTTAGTTTTCCGGCTTTGGTTTATTATGAAACAGGAGTGCCGATAATGTATGATGGTAAGCAAAATTTGTGTGGTGTTTATTTTGTTAACAGGATTCGCAAAGTATTTTCGTAAGTAATTTTGAGATTGGTTTAGTGATTAATTTAGATTTTTATAGGTGATCTTAGTAACGAGGACAGAGTTCTGGAATGGCTAGTTGACCAGAAAAGTAAGAAAATTTCTCTCATTTCTCTTATTTCTAAATTTCTAAATATTAAATTGTAAACGCGACTTAAATTCGTTGAAAAAATTATTGGCTTATGCTTCGGTCGCGGGCGTGTGTGTTGCATGATTGCTGCATGTTGCTATGATGTCCTAGGTGATGAGGATTCGGATGAGGAAGATGATGGCGACGAAGACGACGATGATGACAACGACGATGAAGACGACGACGACGCTAACGACAATGACGACGATAGCCAAGAGAATAATTTGGTTAAGGGAATATTTTCAGGTAAACAGGAAGAGATAGTTTTGAGTACGCGGACCGAGACCGGCAGGCCTGGAACGGTGTAACAGAGCTTCTGGAGTGGGTGTCCTTGTCTGTGCATGTGTTTCCCTTTGATGCTGCATGCAGGACATAGTGTCAGACTCACTCCTCTCTACCTCTAAGTTACTAACAGCTAAATGCTCCTAATATTACCTCTATTTTGAGTGAATTCTGACATTATGTTTCCTGCTGCAGGGGATGGTTGCTTCTACATCGGAATGGGGGGAAAAGGCCAGCTTCCCAATCCTTCCTACGAACCCTACCAATGCTGTCCTAGTAAACCGGCTCAAGGAAGCAAATTTGCAAAACTAGCCGCTAAAGGAGCTAAAACCACTAAAAACCGACCCTTACCTAAAGAAATCAAAAAGCCAGAAAAATCCGTACCGATGAAAACCATTTCAAAGGCTAATAAACCCACCAAAACTAAGGATATAAAAGAAAAAATTTTACCGGTCAAACCGGAAAAAGGAAAGGGAAAAAAAGGCTTTTTCGGGACCGGTAAATATATATGGTGGTGGTAGGTAGCGGATTCTAATCAACACTATTTCCATGTGAAGCGTGAATCTTCGACGCAGACTATTTATTATTTCAAGCGATCTACGACTCAACTATTTTATTTTTCTGCTCTTGTTAAGGCTTTTTGAGTGACTTGTTTTGTTTTAAAAAATAAGAAAAAGTAATTCGTTCTGTTAAATTGTTGATTATTAAGTCGGCTTACATATTTGATTCTTCAACTGTAAATATTGTTAGAATCTCATTAACATTTGTATAGAACTCGTATTAGATGTAGCATTTTTGAACGCATGACTGTATACTTCTGTTCACTGTACAATAACAAACGCCCTGAATACACCTGAACGGTAATATTTCAAAACGGCTCTACGTATTTGCAGTTGCATTCGGGGATGTAACGTTATCATCGGTGTCAGCGCTAAAATCACTGCCGAACACCTCGCATGTAAATAACATCACACACATGTAAACTTTACGTTAAAATAAATTGTTTTCTATTACTGTTACTTTATAGTTTAAATGCAAAAACACGCCCTAAAAGAATCCGCTTAAGTGTACGCATAGTCAATAACCCGGTAAGTTACAACGAGCCATTCCATAATCTGTCTCTCTCCAAAATACGGCAAATTAAAAAATCAACAGTAATTTCCTCACAGGAAACCTACTGGATGAAACCGAAGTCCTAGACTGGATGACCGATCAAAAGGACGACGAAAGTATTGAAGAAATCGACAGAGACACACTTTTCAAATACATAGAGACAAAAGAGTTCCTTGCTGTCATTTTCTGTAGGGTTTTTGACACAATTTACAATGTATATATACATAAAAAAACTTATTGTAGATAAGGAAGAAGACCCAGACAGTCCTCGAATATTGAGACACTTGGAACTAATCGATGACGAAGCTGCAGAATATGGGATCAAAATCGTTAAAATGCGAGACCGCCTAATGGCCAAAAAATACGGCTTCAGGGACCCCCCTGGAATAACCTACTTTCGCAAAGGCAAACCAATCAAGTATGACGGCGATATTGACGATGAGGAAGAAATCCTAGATTGGCTCAACGACCCTGAAAACATGGAACTAACAGATCACATCGAACGTGTGAACCGAAAAATGTTCGAAAAAATCCGCCAAAGGTCGGACTACGTCGCCGTTTTCCTTTGTAAGTCCGAATCCGGCCCCAACCTTGAACTAACTGACTTTTCCAGACAGCAATGACTGCAAACAGTGCCCAAAAGTCCTCGTCGAAGTGGAACACATCGATGATGAAGCCGATGCAGCCGGAATCAATTTCGTTAAAATCGACGACAAGCAAATGGCGAGACAATTTGGAGTGTTTGCTCTCCCTGCTATCCTCTTCTTTAAACTAGGGTCAAAAGAACCGGTCATTTACGCTGGGGATTTGTACGACGAGCAACAGATCTTGCAGTGGCTGCTGACACAACAAGACCCTTCAGGTGATGTGATTGAAGCGACTGAAGGCAATGAGTTATTGCGGTTAATTGAGGAAGAAGATGCGTTGGCTGTTTATTTCTGTAAGTAGTCGAGTGTTAAAAAATTTTGCTTGGCTAACCTTTGGTGGCGAAAACAATGTGCAGGGAACAAGACTCTGTGTGATTTGTGCAGTGCACACGAACAGCAACATGGGAGAAAAGCGCACAAAGTTAGGACGACTTCGGATGAAGAAGAAGATACGAAAGACGGTACTTTTTACCCGTAGTGTTGTATTTATGCCTTTTCCTTGTACAGGGACACTTTTCCTACAAGTTTTTCTTTCGACGATCAACGACTAGAGTTACTTTAACACTACACGTACATTTAACACCCTTTAGTTTGTTTGTAATGGATTTTCCCCAAATAGTTTTTTTTTTATTTCTTATGTCAATATGTCGTAGATAACGATGAATGCGAACAATGTGTTCACATTTTGGAAGAGTTGGAAAATATCGACGACGATTGCGAACGCCACGGAATCCTCTTTGTCAAGACCCAAGATTTAAAAATTGCTGAACAATACGGAGCGACCGACTTTCCAGTTTTAATGTATTTTGAAAGTGGAGTTGGTGGTGTATTCGAGGGAGACCTTGAAGAAGAGGAAGAGGTCCTTCAATGGCTTATCCAGCAGCGAACTGAAGATCGAATCGAGTTAATTACAAGAGTCATGTTGGAAAATCTAGTCCAAGACACACAATACTTGGCTGTCTACTTCTACAAGCAAAACTGCCACATTTGTGAACAAATTTTGGAAGACTTGGAGAAAATCGATGATGAGTGTGATGTCTACGGAATTCATTTGGTCCGGATTCAAGACCCGCAGTTAGCAAAACGCTATAGTATCAAAACATTCCCAGCCCTTGTCTATTTCAGAAACGGCAATCCTTTGCTGTTTGAAGGTGACCTCCAGAATGAAGATTCAGTCCTTGAATGGCTAATAGACGACGATAATCGGGAACTCGCAGATGAAATCGAATCAGTTAATGAAAAAATGTTAACACGACTGCTTAACGAGTCTCCATTCCTCGCCGTCTTCTTCTGTAAGCTCTGCTTTTGTTGCATAATATTTGTAATTGTCTTTTGGCTTGTAGACGATGAAGATTGTCCCGAATGTGACGAAATTCTAGAAAATCTAGAAGAAATCGACGGGGAAGCTGACATGTTTGGAATTGACTTTGTCAAAATATGCAGCGCTGAAGCCGCAGCTGAACAAGGATTGCACAATCTGCCTGCATTGATGTATTTCCGAAAGAAAACCCCGATGGTCTATGAAGGCGACTTGACCCAATCGGAGAAAGTGCTCGACTGGCTGACTTCTCAAGATGTCTTCGAAATCAAAAATGAGATCGAAGAAGTAAACAAAAAAATGTTGGAAAAACTCTTGGAAGAGAATGAGTTCGTCACTGTATTTTTTTGTAGGTATAGTTTTAGCAACTAGGCCCTAAATAAACGGTCTGTTTTAGATGAAATCAATTCAGAAGAAAGCAAAGCGATTATGGAAAAGCTGGAGAATATTGACAGCGAAACGGACAATTTTGATATCACCTTTGTCAAGATGGCGGATCCTCGGTACGCCAGAAAATGGGGCGTCACGAATTTGCCCGCCATTGTGTATTTCCGAAGACGTTTCCCGAGCATATATCGCGGAGATATACATTCCGAAGCTGATGTTTTGGAATGGTTGCGAAAGAATCGCTTCCGACAACCCGAACTGAACATTTTCATGTATGCATTATTCGCCATCAGCATCGCTTTCGTCATTTACACAGCGTTTCTTCTTCAATGTTTCAAAACTCAACCGCAAGCTGTTGTTGTCCATCCCAAGCAATCCTAAGTCTTGTATGAAAGTAGCATGACTGGACGCATGGTCTGGAAGCATTACCGGCATCCTTGTATGAAGGGAACGTTAGATAAACTCATTTGGGTTTAGTTTTTTTATTTTTACTAATTGAATTCCCTTTATTGTTATAAGTTGTAATCCATTTTGTCATATCCTGGACCAAAGAAAACCATGATACATCACCATTGAAATGTTCATCTAGATAATTTTATTTGTGTACAGCAACTGTACAATCATTCCCAAGAGAATTTATGGACAGGAAAGTGTAGATAAATTTAAACGTATTAATATAGTTATCTACTTTTAGGTGAACATTGTAAATACTCTTGTAAATAAATATATTAAGTTTACGTAAATCGATTTTTAGTTATCCCCCCATCATGGTCCTTATGACAAGTGTCAGCATTTTTCAAAGCTTTTGACAAATGCCTAAATTCCAGTTCAAAACCAAATTCAAGCTTTGTGACCAACACAAAGACAAAGTGCGGTAAGTGATCCACCAATCAAATTCTCTTTGTATTCAAACTCGAAGCGCAAGTTGTTTCACTCCGACTTGCGCAGTCTGTGGACATTTTAATTCCCATTTAAAAATTCTTCACTACTCGCGGTGTGTGGAACAGAAAGAGCAAACACAAACAGTGCTGGGTCATATGTGCGCAAGGTGTGCGTCAAGGTGGTTTTATCATAAGTTGACTGTAGTTTCTTAAAAAAACGTGGAATTAGCGGAAAACAAGTAGGTAACAATCTATTCTCAGTAATTAGAGCCCGCTTAATTTTCAATTAAAGCAATTTCGGTTTGTCAAATTAAAAACCGTAGCTTTATCACTGATAAGAGCACTTATTAAATTATTATAATCACAAGCCACGTTTCAGTTCACACACCACTATCACCTGTTATCAACGTATAAACCGTGCCTAAAATAGGTATGTCGAATTTCTTTTTTCAATTAGCACTGTTACAGCCTGATTATTTCCTCAAAATACGAAATTTTCCTACTTTCTAATAGGGGAAACAAAGCAAAGCTTCATTAGTTTATCGAATTTCAAAAAGGGGTACTGTTTGGCGCAATTCCGGTGACATTATTGTTGTATAACACTTCCGGTGACAAGATTACCGGAACTACACGTCTATAACATCCCCACGTTCATAAATAATGACCTTTCAAAAGTGAGCTTCTACCTACGATAGGTAACAATAGGGCGAGACTAGAATTCGAAATTCAACACTTCAAAGAATCATACTTTATAACCGTGACATTTCAAGTCCTGCTGATACAATTAGTCGCCTTTATTGTTCATTGTAATATGACTCATTAAATAATTATTGTTGCAAGAGTCTGCGAAAAGCTCTGCAACAGTGTTATCATTTCGTAATTTTTACTTAAACTGTTTTGATTTTTTCGATGGTATCTTATCTTTAGTAAACTTCACTTAAGATAACACCTGAGTTTTTTCAAAAGAGTATTCAAGGTTTGAAGGGAATTCCAACAGAAGGTGAAGATATACCTATAGGTACTCTAATAGCTTTACTGGCATAGTTCAGTGATCCCAAACCAACTGAAACGAGACTATCATGAAATGCTGAAAACAAGTTAACTAGCACTTGACAATGAACTTAATAATTAATCTAATTTTTATGCTTCGAGTAATTGATGGAAGATGCATAGACGTAGCTTAATTTGCATTTAAATTATGCCCCATTTGTGTCGAAAGTGTGGAAGACTGAAGCTCTTAGTAACAGGAAACGTTTATTTACAATATTTTCTTAGAAAGCACATGTCGTAGAGTTTTGTCCCACTGTTTATTCAATTAGCATAATCAAAGTTGATGTAGCAAATGAATTACCGACGTAACATCTTGTTTAACAAATCATATCCAATTAGCGAGGGAGAAATTCGTTGAAATAAATTGTTTGTTTGAAAAATCAATCGAAAGTGTAGGCCTAGACCTTGACTATAAACACCGTATGATTAATTTTGAAGACCTTGAACGGATGTTCCCATATTAGTGCGGTTTTGCTACAGTTGACTATTTCTAAAATGAAAACTTATTCTTCGGTTGATTAATTTCCAGCAAAATTCGACTTTCGTATTGTTTTTGTTGGATAATAAAGTAACGGAATAAAAGATCAGCTACAGTCAATGTAATTACAATCGGGTCATTCTTCGCAAGTCTATCAAGAAAAATAAGGAAGTAACAACGGTTAGAGCGATTTTATAGTGAAAAGTAGCAACAGATTTGCATCGGTAAGATCTACAAATGACGTAAATTTAAAACGGATTGTAAAAAGTACATTAACTTATTCATTTTAAACTCATCTAGCGTGAATTTTCAAGAATGTGTAATTTGAAACTCCGTTAAGTGAAATGAGCGAAAATTCAAAGTTGTGACACAAAAAATTTTACTAACATCATTCGCTTTGTGCAAAAATTTTATAATTTATTTGATCATAGATATTGTGTATATCTGAGATGTTATCAGTGACATGATTTAACGCATTTATCAAAGTCTATTCCTGTTTCAATAAAATTTTGTTTTATCGATCACTACTCAAAAATTGTATAATCTATCAAGCAAAATAATGCTGAAAAAAAGGAAAATTTTCACTTTCACTTCTAAGTTTCTCCCTATTATAACTAAACCAAAACATTTATTCGTGAATACAATTTTACGCTATTTGACTAAATTTAAAACAAACCATTAAATTTACAAATAAGGTCTCGTAAATCATATCATTTGGAAAAAACAAACTAGACAACGTTTAATAACACTTAAACATTGTTCCAATTTGACTTGAATTTTTTTGCTTCACAAATCTACAATCAACCATCTGTTTGGTGTAAAAATTAAAACAGTTCTTTTACGACCTCCTCGTGACACCGATTCAGCAAATTCCAATTTCTGGGAACCATATTTTTTTATATTTCAAAATTACAGTAACAATACTGTGAACGTTCACGTAACCTTGCCATTATCATGTTGCAACTGCAATTGGGTATAATTCTGGAAAAGCCGAGAGAAAAGCACTTCCACTTTTTTAACTTCTTGCAACAGAATAATCAATCAACCAAAGTAATCTAAACAAAAACCTTGCCATTATCATGTTGCAACTGCAATTGGGTATAATTCTGGAAAAGCCGAGAGAAAAGCACTTCCACTTTTTTAACTTCTTGCAACAGAATAATCAATCAACCAAAGTAATCTAAACAAAAATCTTATAATAAATTCTATTCTTTAAATACTTGTACCTACAATTCGGATTAACCAATTGAAATGTCAGATTTTCGGATTAACCAATTGAAATGTCAGATTAATTTCAATTTTTCGTCACGATATAAAATTCAGTTACAATTCTCATAATAACAAACAAAGACTATGATAGTATAATCCTACATTTTATTAAAATAATCATTTTATTTTTGTTAAAAAAACGTTTCTTTATGTCTGGAAATTTTGCGTCTGAATATTTGAAAAAATTAAATAAATAAGTATTCTAAAATTTTATGAATATTGTAATATTTACATATTCTAATTCAGTCAGTTGAAAAATTTTTCGTGATACTTGCCTAGTTTGCACCTAATATTTTTTCCTCCCAACAGGGAATAAACTAATGCTTTATTCCCTCGTTTTTGACTAATAATCTCACTCGGGAGTAGAATAAGTGAAATACCGATTTTTAATTTTAAAATAAACTAGAATCGAATGAATTGAATCTTTTAGGTGTTTCTAAACATAAACGAACTCCTTAATCCCATTTTTCTTTTAAAATTAAGCAATTGAATAAACTGAATATTTTGACAAATTATTTGACATTTGATAAATTTATCATTTTGTTAATTATGTTATTATTAATTTAATCTGTTGGGAGGAAATTTTTGTATGCATCTTTGGAATAAACATCGTGAATCCCTCGAATGAAAATGCCCTCGGCTCCCTTCGGTCGCCTCTGGCATTTCCTACATTCTCGGGATTAAAATACAACGTTGTTTATTCCCTTGACACAGAAAGAACTATTTACTTCAATTTATTCAAAAAACTTTCTTTATAACTTTTCAAGATTACAATCATTTTATAGTTTCATATTTTTTCCTGATGTTGAATGCCTAAATTAATCTAATCAGAGTAATGCTTACAATTTTTTATCATTATCGTAACAAACATTATATGTAACAAACGTGTTTTGCTTGTAAGTACAGGTAATTGATATTGCAATCTAGATGTGATGTAGGTGCAACAACTAATAAAGTTATCGAAAATTTAAAAAATTAAGTATATTTTCAGAAATAGGAATTTGATTTATGCTTCTAGAAAGAATTTTGTTTTGTTTTTTCATTATTAATATATTTATTACTCGTTACACTCGTGGTTTAAAAATCCACACGGTGAAATAATGCGTCTGATTTACACTCAAACTCGTAGAATAAAAAACTATTATATGCTAAGTTACTGAAAGATAGTCAAAATGAACCTAGACAGTAATGCGGTTATAGATTTTTTCTCCCGTTACAAACTAAGAAGCAGTTGAACGTCTTCTTTAGTCGATTTCGACATAAAACGCCGTCTCATATTCTAAAGAATAAAGCCGTTTAAATAAATTGCATTCGATATAACATGAGGCAAATCTGCTCTCCTCTGCCATCAAGTGGGTCACGAGTACCGTATATCCCTGTGTAACTGTACGTGGCATATGGTCTTTACAATTTTCACCGACACCGTTTTAGCGGTGTTGATAAAAAAAATATTTTTAGAGTGAAACATGGACACGGTTTGGGCTCGGGACCCTACCGAAGGGTTCATCCTTGCCCGAATATCCGAGCTACTAGTAGACGGTGCTGAAGTAATCCCCGTCAACTCGAAATTCCCCAAACGGGTCTTGCCTTTCAGCGACATTTTCAAAGCACAAGAGGATGACGTAAATAAAGATTACGATGACAACTGTGAAATGGTTTTCCTAAATGAAGGATCACTTCTCAATAATATCCGTATCAGATATTACCAAAATAAAATCTATGTAAGTCCTTATCACACACAAATTCGTCGATAATAACAAATTTTAGACCTACGTGGCAAATATCTTAATCGCCGTCAACCCTTACAAAGACATCCCCCAACTCTACGCCCCCCAAACAATCAAAAATTACCAAGGCAAATCTTTAGGGCAAATGCCACCTCATGTTTTCGCTATCGCCGACAAAGCTTTCCGCGATATGAAAACTCTGAAACAATCACAGTCGATTATAGTTTCGGGGGAGTCAGGAGCTGGGAAAACCGAATCTACCAAGCATCTCCTGAAGTATCTGTGTGTCAACTGGGGGGCCCAAGCGGGTCCCATTGAACAGAAAATCCTAGACGCGAATCCAGTCCTTGAAGCTTTCGGTAACGCAAAAACGACACGAAACAACAATAGTTCCCGATTCGGGAAATTCATGGAAGTACACTTCGATAAAAATTTCCACGTGGCAGGTGGGCACATTTCTCACTATCTTCTAGAAAAGTCGCGGATTTGTTCACCACAAGGTGACGAACGAAGTTATCACATTTTTTACATGATGATGGCCGGGGCTCCCGAGGGATTAAGACAGAAACTAGCCCTGACAAAACCCGACGATTTTAATGTATGTTTAACACTTGAATTTTTTCAGTAAAAAAACAACAAATTTTTAGTATCTTAAATCAGGCTGTACCCGTTATTTCACCACTGCCGCCAATGAAAAAAAGCTAACTCCAGGTCAGAAAAGCGCAGATCATTCCAAAAATGGTCCTTTGAAAGACATTCTGATCGACGATGTTGCTGATTTTGTGACTCTTGATGGTGCTTTATCACGTTTGGGTTTGACTGATTCCGACCGGTTTGAAATCTACTCAACTGTAGCAGCAGTTTTGCACCTTGGTAATATTCAGTTTGAGGACAATCCTGAAGACACGAGAGGAGGTTGCAGAGTGTCACCTACTAAAGCTAAATCACTTGAAATTGCATCTGGACTTTTGGGAATCGACCCAACCGAGCTTAGACAAGCTTTAGAAGCTCGAGTTATGCAAAGTAGCCGAGGTGGAGCCAAAGGAACAGTCATTATGTATTGCTTTTCTACCCCGAAAATGCGTAAAGTGTTAACTGGTCGATTTTAGGGTACCTCTCAAAGTCTATGAGGCCAACAATGCTCGCGATGCTCTCGCTAAAGCTATCTACAGCAACCTTTTCGATTACATCGTGAATCGAATCAACCAAAGCATTCCTTTCCAAACTTCCAGTTACTACATCGGTGTCTTAGATATAGCTGGATTTGAGTTTTTCACTGTTAACAGTTTTGAACAATTTTGTATCAACTACTGCAACGAAAAACTTCAACAATTCTTCAATGAAGTCATCCTAAAAAATGAGCAAGAATTGTATAAACGTGAAGGTTTGAGTGTACCCGAAGTGAACTTTGTGGATAATCAAGACTGTATCAATTTAATTGAAACTAAAAGTAACGGAATTCTTCAAGTTCTTGATGAGGAATCTAAACTGCCGAAACCTTCCTACAGTCATTTTACATCAGAAGTACACAAACACTGGCCTAACGAATTCAGAATAGGTTTACCAAGATCGTCCAAATTGAAATCCCATCGAAGCCTAAGAGACGATGAAGGATTTTTGATCCGTCATTTTGCCGGAGCTGTGTGTTATCAAACTGTAAGCATCTCAATCAGCCGTGAAATTAGAATTATTGTATTTGTTCCAGAAACAATTCATTGACAAAAACAATGATGCATTGCATGCGTCGCTGGAAGGGATAGTGCAAGATAGTAAAAGCAAACTCATCCAAATTCTTTTCGCCACATCAAATGCACAAAAAGGGAAACTTACGTTTATTAGCGTCGGTACTAAGTTCAAAACTCAATTACTCGAACTGATGGAAAAGTTGAGAAAAAATGTAAGTAAGGCAAAACTTTTGGATATTTTTCCCATAACTATGTTTTCAGGGGACCAATTTTATTCGCTGTATCAAACCGAACAATAAAATGCTTGATAATCAATTCGACGGTGCCTTGTGTTTGATGCAATTGAAATGTCTTGGAATGACTTCAGTTTTAGAACTCATGGAGCATGGGTACCCTAGTCGAGCCCCATTTACCGATCTATACAATATGTACAAAGACTATCTTCCACCAGAATTGAAGAAACTCAATCCTAAAACGTTTTGTGAAGTATGCAATTGTATTGCAATTTTTGTGCAATTTGTAAATTTGATTTTCAGGCAATGCTCCATAGTTTGAAATTGAAAGATCGAGACTTTAAATTCGGAGTCACTCGAGTGTTTTTCCGGCCGGGAAAATTTGCCGAATTTGATAAAATCATGAAATCTGATCCTGAAAATTTGAAAGCTATCATCGCTGATGTTAAGAAGTTCCTTGTCAAGTCGCGATGGACCAAAGCACAGTTCTGTGCCCTCACTGTTATCAAATGTAAGTTTTTCTGCATCACGATTTAAGATAATAGTTGCTTTTAGTGAAAAACAAAATTATTTACCGGAAACGTGCCCTTATTGTCGTTCAAAAGACTGTCAAAGGTTACTTGACTAGAAAACGCCACGGGCCGAGAATTAAAGCTTTGACTAAGATTAATGGTCTTGGTGGTAACTTAAAGAAGATGGAAGCAATTGCTGGTCAATTGAAAAAAGAAAAAGAAGCTACTACTAATGAAATTAATCAACTTAAAAATGAGATAAGTGGAACAATTGGACGTATTAAGGTTTGTTTTAAGTCACTTTGGGTTTTTTGATTGTATTATTTTTGTTTGATAGAAAGAGGAAAAAATGGCAGCCTCCGTTGTGGATGGTCTTTATAAACAGTTGGTTGCGAAAGTCGACAAACAAATGGATTTGTTGCAGAAGAAATTGCTAGAACAGAAGAATGCAGAAGAGCAAGCCCGACTGAGGAAAATCCAGGAAGAAATGGAACGTGAAAAGAAACGTAAAGAGGAAGAAGAACGTCGATTGAAAGAAGAAGAAGAGAACAGGAAAAAGAAAGCCGAAATGGAAGCACGACGAAAGAAAGAAGAAGAAGAACGCAAACGCCAAGAGGAAACCGATCGAAAAACAGCCGAACTTCTTCAAGCGCAACAAGCAAAGGATGCAATGGATGAACGCCGTTATCAGGAACAATTGGAGCAAGAACGCCAAGATCACGAACTTGCTCTTCGTCTAGCACAAGAAAGTAACGGACAACTCGAAGAGAGTCCTCCCATGATCCGAAAGTATGACTTGCACTATTTTTATGTTTTATTGAGCATTGCTCAACACTTGCTTTTTATTGTAAATATGTATATTGTGGTGGCAGCTCAATATCAATGCTTCTTGTTTCCATGATTCAGCGGTGGAGCGGACACGGCCAGGCAGTCTTTCAAGCTCAACAGGTATTATTTGACGTGATTTTTCTACTAACAAAAGATTACTAAAAACTTATCATGGAAGCAAAAATTGTGCTTAAGTGTTGTCTCTCGTGGCACTTGTAAATCTCGCACCTTGAAACACTCCGCAATTTTAGCTGTTTTAAGTGTTTATATTTCGCTTTGTTCATTTCCTAATTTATTTTCGAAAAATTTAGATCAGAAGCTGTGAAGAACCAACAAGCGGCTCTCGCCAAAGGCAAGTACGACCTAACCAAGTGGAAGTATTCGGAATTACGTGACACCATTAACACTTCCTGTGATATCGAACTGCTGGAAGCTTGCCGTCACGAATTCCACCGCCGCTTGAAGGTGTACCATGCCTGGAAGGCTAAGAACCGCAAGCGTACCATTATGGACGAGAACGAACGCGCTCCACGGTCCGTCTTGGAATCAGCCGCGAGGACCCCAAAACTCCAACAAAAGGCACCAGTTTTGGACAATAATTCCCAGAGGTACTTTCGTATTCCCTTCGTACGTCCAGGAGGGGATAATAGTAAAAGGGGGTGGTGGTATGCGCATTTCGATGGTCAGTATGTAGCAAGGCAAATCGAGTTGCATCCGGAGAAGGCGCCGATTTTGCTGGTTGCAGGTAAGCGGGAAGGTTTTTTTGATTTGGTACCAGTTTAAAGTTTTAGGGAAAGACGATATGCAGATGTGTGAACTGTCTTTGGAAGAAACGGGATTGACAAGAAAACGGGGCGCAGAAATTTTGGAAAGTGAGTTTAATAAGGAATGGGAGAAGCACGGTGGAGCCAAGTATGTGCGACCGGCTGATCGGAAACAATAGTAAAATAGAGCTTAAGTTTGTTAGTTAAAGGGGTTTTTGATAATTTTGCAACAGGTAGCTTTGCAGTATTAAAATATACAGCTATATTGAAATGTAAACAGTAATAAATTATTGATAATAAATTATTTATCGTTAAATCGAATTTCTTTCCAATTCGTTCATGACTTGATAGTTGTGGCAAAGGGGTGTTTTAGACCAAAAGTCTGAAAAGTATTCATTTTTAGCATTTATTTTATTACTAATTTACATATTATGTACTTTCATAAGGAAAACTACTGTATGCTTCTAACTTTCCTCTTTTCTTTATAGACACATTCTTGCTGAACTAAAATTTATTTTAATATTACACTTCAAATATTGAGAAAAAAAGGATTTCACTTACTGTAAGGATCAAAACGAACAACTTCTAATTTATCAGCTAACCTGTCTCTAATCTTGTTAAAACTATGTCCACTAATTACACTTTCCATTTGTACCATCAGTCTCCTGTAAATTCATTATTATTACATTTGATGAAAAAGAAGTGGTGCAAACTTAATTAAAAAAAAACATATCAAGAAAGTGAAAAGAACAAAAAATTTTAACATCACATAACATATTAGTTTTAACTTTTAGTAAAATATATCCTTCACATAAACCCAACAAAAAAGAGGAAGGTTCCTAAGCCAGTTTATGTTCGTTTTTAGACAAAAATAAAGCAATTACATGCAAAAATCGAAAAAGATACTTACTTGCTTTTAACTTTCTTGAGTAGAATTCGTGTCAAAAACATGGCTGTGGCTTTTCTCCAAGATTGAAAATACACCTATGAAATACACTTTATATGATTTTTGTAACCGTGAAACTTTTTTATTTTTACTGAAAATAAATGAAGAAACTTAACCTACATTTATTATTACACAACTTTTTTGACATCTGTGCTTTGACAGTTTACGTAACGACCTTGACAGATTGGACACGTGCCAACTTCGATCACTCCTGCTATTCCTGCTGGCGGGATCTCACCTTGGCTGTGTTTGATTAAAAACTTGACTTTTTCAATAAATTATGACTTAAACGAAACATCAGTTTATTTATTATTACAAACATTTGATAAAATTATTTCGAAATGCCTTATAAATTTCACGTTTCAGGAATCTTGGTGTCCTTAAGGCCTGGAATCGAATCACGCATCCAAAGTTAATTTGCTTCCTTACGTCACTTTGCCCTATTTATTTTCACGCATTCATTCAGACATCCCCATTACTCATTCATAAGCTATCTAATCAAAAGCGACGAGCTTAATATCCGCCAAATCCTAGTCCAAGGTGATTCGGTCAGACATCAGTGCGATTTGTGCAGTGCAAGACCGCGAAATGGCTTTTAAAAAAGTGACACACGTTATTTTCGATATGGACGGCCTCCTTATTGGTAATTCTCAATGATTTGATCGATTTTTCCCTTATTCTTCATAGCTGACTTGCAGAATCTGAGTCAGCGTACGACAAGGTCATCAGCGAAATCGCCGAGGCTTTCGGAAAGCAATACACGAAGGACATCAAAATCAAAATTCTGGGAACTCCCGAGCCCGACACTGCCCGAATTGCGGTCACTGAAATGGGGCTCCCGTACACAATTGACCAATTCCTCGAAATCTACAGAAGTAAAGTCAGACAAGAATTACAAAATCCTCCACTCATGCCGGGCGCTAAACGCCTTGTGGAGCACCTCCACAAGCACAACATCCCTATCGCGGTGGCCACCTCCTCCTCCCAAGAGTCCATGGAGATGAAAACGAAAAACCATCAAGAAATGTTTAAATTGTTCCACCATATCGTATGCGGCACTACCGATCCTGAAGTAAAACACGGCAAACCCGCCCCCGATATTTTCCTAGTCTGCGCTTCAAGGTTCCCCGATAAGCCCCAAGTTGAACAGGTAAATAACAATTATTGATCAGTCCCGATTATAACGTTTTAATAGTGTTTGGTACTCGAGGACGCGCCCAATGGGGCTAGAGGGGCTATCGATGCAGGGATGCAAGCTGTTCTAGTACCTGCCGCTGATGTTCCCGAAGAAAAAAGAAAGCCGGCAACTCTTGTTCTAAACTCATTGCTGGAATTCAAACCGGAACTTTTCGGACTTCCGGCTTTTGAGTGAAGTTTTTAGACAAATTTTTAGGCAATAGGCGAAAATGCACCAATTGTTGCATGTTAAACATATAGCTAAATTATTTATTTTGATGTATCGTGTTACACCATGATTAAATAAATTATTTTACTATAATGAAGGTTTTTATTGCCCTATTATAGCAGATAAAATGTATTTAGCTAGCGATAAAAACAAATGAATTTTCCACAAGGACAATGGAATTAAATTCGCATCAGGAGATATACCAATCGCGCGTCAATTGTTTCTTATCCAATTATCTAACTAAAAAATCAGCATCTTATTTTATTTTATTTTTACCATACAATCGCCAATAAAGTGATGCTTAAGTACTCATGTTGTTTTTGGAGTGTAATACATTGAATCTAAAAATAATCTTGTAAAGTCGGTCACGATTGACCTATCTGGTAAACTTTGGGCCACCCCGTATATTGCCATCTGAAAATCAAAATTAAGATAAAATTATCAACAATTTTTGAACGTACTCTTCCTTCGACAGGAACATCCGGTTCTTTCAAAATTTCAACAAGACTGTTTTGGACATCATTCAAAAATTTATCGGCGACACCCTGTTGCGTATGCATATGTGTAACACATATGTGAATTCTAAAAATAAATTACATGTTACAATTTAACAGTTCCCAGAAAAAAAAAATGTTAATGCCAACTAAAACTCCTTTAAAATTTTGCACTGTATAAGTTACACATTACACCAACAACACCAATTATAAACGAGTTTTAGTCCTAAGTCCACTGTATTACCCCGATGGAAACTGCAAGACGTTCAAATTCCACCCTAGTTTATTTAAAGCCGATCCAAGTCGATAAATGTGAAAATCTTTCGATCCTAAAGCAATGACACTTGTGGCAGGTTGGCCAAAAATGAAAATTCCTTTCATCCTTCTTAGTCTACAATTTTGATTTTGTTTTATTCGTTCGGGATTATTATTTTAGAAAATACCCTTTTTCGATGTATCTTGCGGTATGGATAATGTCTCTAGTAGCCTGTACATAACCTTCTTTTCCGAAATTAAGCATTGCGGCCCAACAAACGGCTATATTGCCCCCAGCTCTTGATCCTGCAAGAGTCGGGGATCCATAAACACCACCGGGCCAGTCAGTAGTAACCGTATATTGATAATGCCTGTACCTACACTCAAAAATCGTAAAAAAAACAACGAAACACACAAAAACCTTACTTTTTATCCCTGTAAAGCACAACCGAAGACCCTTTCGGCGCAAATCCATACTTGTGCGTATCAGCTGAAATACTCGTAACCCCCGGTAACCTGAAATCACATAACGGTACCGGATATCCGGCATCTTGCATAAACACAGTCAAAAAACCTCCAAGGCAAGAATCGACATGTACGGGAATATTATATTTCACACCTAGAGCTGAAATCGCCTCAATATCGTCCATAGTTCCGTAGGGAAAATTGGGTGCGGAACCTACCAACTAAAACTGGAATAAAAGACACTCAAGGAAGATGTCCGAACCAAAATCGTGTTGGAATTAATGGCACGTTTCATGGCCTTGATATTGGCTTTAGTTGTAAAAGGATCAACCGGAATCGAGCGAACTTTTAACCGGAGATATTGGGCAGCTTTGTCAAACGCCGAATGGGCTGTAACCGGAACGATTATTTCAGGTTTACGGATTCCTCGGACTTCACGGGCGTAGTCTCGCCAGGCTTTGCATGCCATAACGATGGATTCAGTGCCTCCGGTAGTCACCTATTTGCAAATATTTTTTTTGAGGAAAAAGAGGTAAATTGGAGACTTACTATTCCACATGAATTTTCGTCACCGTGGAAGAGATTGCAAGACATGCGTATCACTTCAGCTTCCATTTTGCATAAACCGGGGAAGAGGTCAGGATGAAGGGGGTTGGTGTATGATGTTAGGCCGTAAACATCGGTGACAAGTTTTATTAATGCGGGATTGTGGTAGTACACGGCTCCCGAGACGAGGCCCCCTTTCCAGTCGTAGTCGCCTAGATTAAAATTTATTTTTAATCAATATTAGCTCCCAATTCAAAAAATCGCGCACTTCCTTGAAAGGGAGTAATTGGGTAGTCCTCCAGAGTACTTTTAGGATTAAAATGTTTTAGTTTTAAAATGTTAAAAAAAGTCTATCTGGCAAATCTGTAAGGTACAAAAATTTTGTCATTAAAAGCCACAAATAACACTAAACAGAATTACAATTTAGAATACAACTTCTTTGTTTCCTCTTCTAATAGCCTGTGGCAAAAAAACTTGGAAAATTATTTTTACATTTTTACAACAGAAATAAATAGTGTCATAGTGCAAAATTTAAACTCTCATAACTTCGGAATTTTTAGAGATAGATTTTTTAAAACATTTTTCTTGCTGTCTTGGGCACAGCCCGATGACACAGTGTCACGGAAGTGCGCGATTCTTTGAACACCCTGTATGTATAAACAAATATTATGTTATATAAAAATTCATTACTTTACTGTTGCACTTCTCGTAAATTACAGTTGCGGATTACAGTTACCTACACATTATTCCTTACCCACTTTTAAATTTTCCTCAACACAATTTAAGATCTGCTCTGCAGTTAATTTCTTTTCAGGCAATTTAGTGATGTAGGTCAAGTGCTTGGTCTTTTCCACTATGTCTTTCTCAAACGATTCGGAAACTTTGGCCAATTCGGTTTCAAATTTCTCTCTAACGCTCGGTATCAATTTGGCTAACTTGAAAACAGTCTTTTTGGCCCTTTGAGTAACACCTGGAAAAAAAAGTTTAAAATTAAGTCTTTCAAAGTATATAATCTCACTTTCTTCTTGATTGAAAAAGTCATGAAGCCAGACTAAAAACAACACACTTGTCGTGGTTATTGTGACTATTTGCCATGGTTCTTTCCCAGCAAGAGATGCGTTAACCCCTGTTTTTAGGGTAGTTAAAGGTTGGAGTATAGTATCCATGGCGAAAGTTAAGCAAAGAATTGAGCGATTTCATAAAAAACACTAATCAGGCGTATTATCTGATAAGGGTACCTGAAGTGAATCACTTGAAATACAACTTGTTGCTCTCGGATAGATAAAAAATGTTAACGTTTAACGTTCACTGCATAATACTACGTAATATGTTAGTGTTAACTGGTATAAATATTTATTACAAACATTTTTGTGATGATTAGAAAATTTAGGTTACACATTTGACGTTTAATTGACAGCCATAGAACAAGAGAGATAGCTGACAGCTTGCTTATTCATGCGAATCTTCTAAAACACTAAAAATATTAAAAATAAATATTGAAATCCAGTAAAATAATAAAAACAATTATTATTGTTTTAATCAAAAAAGATTGGTGGTCATTCCGGCAAGAAACTATATTTCTATATACCCTAAATAGGTAAATCTTTTTCTTTCCAAAAATGAAATTAGACCAAAGCGAATGTTTTTTTTTTTAGTTAGACCCTCAACATTATAAATAACAAAAGGCCACGAGTTATTAATAACTACGAAAAAAAAATTTTGGTTTCATAAATGAAGAACAACCATGGGCACCCAAATCCTCACCACATTTAAGTGGCCATGCCACAGATTACCTGTTTATAAGAGTGTCTTATCTGTGATTGGTCCAATTTAACAAGGTGGTGGCGCGAAAATTTCAATTCGTCCTAATTTAAACACATGCTTGGACCAGTCTTGCGGAAAACTCAACATGCGCCTAACCAACTAACCTGAAATATGCACGTGCATTATTTGTAGTAGTAGTATTGTATTAGTCTTGTTTTCGTTAAAATTACAGTATTACACGAATCACTAAGAACAAAAAAGTGGTAAAAGTGAAATTTCTAGTCAAAATAAAAAAGTGAGTAAATGATGTAATACCGGCTTTCTTTTCATTATATCGCTTTTAGGTACCAAAAATGCCTTCAAATAATACCAAAGTGGTGAAATCTCCAACAGAGAATATGTTACTATCACCTGTTGAAACCCCTACTCAGGTTATACCAGAAAAGGTAAAAATGAAGAAGCAGCTAGGCTTGCTTGAAGGAGTTGCGATTATTTTAGGAATCATATTTGGATCAGGTAGGACATTTATATCTAAAAAAATCACAATTCTATTATTTCCTCCTTCAGGTATTTTTATTTCACCAAAAGGGATAATTCAGGAAGTAAACTCTGTTGGATTTTCATTAGTAGTATGGGTTCTTTGTGGATTATTATCAATGATTGGAGCTCTATGCTATGCAGAGTTGGGTACAACTATACCCAAATCAGGGGGCGATTATGCTTATATTTATGAGGCTTTTGGCCCTCTACCTTCATTTTTGTATTTATGGGCGGCAAACCTAATTTTTGTGTATGTTACTACATTGTTATTAATTTTATCCTAAATTTTATTATTCTAGACCTACAACTAACGCAATCATGGGTCTTACGTTTGCTAAATACGTTATTCAACCTTTTTTCCGTTCTTGTGATATACCAGAGGATGGGGCTACAGTTGTGGCCGCTTGTACAATATGTTGGTAACTTATTTTTTACCAGTTTCATGCTTTAATTTGATTCATATAGGCTTCTTGACTTTTTTAAACGGTTATAATGTGAAAGCCACCACTAGGGTGCAAAATGTGTTCATGTTTTGTAAAATTGGGGCACTCGTACTTGTCATTATTATTGGAGTTGTTTGGATGGGTTTTGGACACGTGGAAAATTTTCAAAGGCCTTTTGAAGGAACAACCACCAATGTAGGTAAAATGTCCAAAGCTTTCTATTCAGGAATCTTCTCATACTCTGGATGGTATTTTCATTTATTACTAAAGTAATTCGATTAAATCGCTACTTATTTCAGGAATTACTTGAATTTCATGACAGAGGAACTAAAAAATCCTTACGTGTAAATATTTTTTACCCATAATTTAACACTTGCTATACACTTTTCTTTCAGTAATCTACCACGAGCAATTTATATTTCAATTCCCCTAGTCACACTAATTTATGTTTTGGCAAATATGGCTTATTTATCAGTTCTTACACCAGATGCTATGATATCTTCAGATGCCATAGCTGTGGTAAGTATTAATTCTTCCGCTTATTTCAATAGACTGTTTCAAAATCAAATTTTAGACTTTTGGTAACAACGTATTGGGAAATTGGGCGTGGATAATTCCGGTGATGGTCGCAATCTCAGCTTTTGGGGGCCTGAGCGTCCATATCATGACGTCATCACGAATGCTCTATGTTGGGGCCAGAAATGGTCATTTTCCAACAATGCTCTCTCACTTGAACATTCAGAAGTGTTCACCAATGCCTTCACTCGCATTTCTTGTAAATATTTAAAAACCAAATCTTTTCCAAATCAAGTTCATATTTTCAGAACATCCTTTCACTCTTCATGCTATGCACCAATGACATTCACACTCTTATAACATACTGCACTATTGTGGAATCATTTTTTGTCATGTTGTCGGTGTCAGGACTTTTGTACTTAAGATGGAAGAAACCAGATATACCAAGACCTATCAAAGTGAACATCACGGTTCCAATAATCTTTGTTTTAATTTGTGTGTTTCTTATCATTTTGCCATGTTTTGAAGCTCCCTATGAGGTGTTAGGGGGCGTATTGATCACTTTATCGGGGGTACCTGTTTATTTTAGGGCTGTCAGACAAAATAAGCCTTTGTTGCCTCAAAGTTTCATGGGTACGTGGGTTTATTTCATTTATTTTCTAAATAAAAATTATTTTTCAGACAAATTGACTGTAATCTGTCAGAAAATATTTATTTCTGCTCATGAGGATGAAGACGTGGAGGAATAACTTCTTGAATTTAAGTATTTATTTTGTTGTAGTCGTTGTATTTATTCTTTTAGGTTTTTGTTCATAAAAACACAATTGGATTTGGATCTCTTTATTTGTTTTGTATTTAGGATACTGTGATTTTTTACTTCAAAAAAATTGTAAGACATGTTTAATATGAATAAATTTTACAAGGAATGTATTTACACTTTTCTATTTTTTCTACATGTATAATACAACAAGTAACAATACATAAACAATAAGTTACATCATTTCATCAGGATTGAACATTCCCTGAAAAACAAATAATTAAAATATGATTCAGTTATAGAAAATTTCTTACCTTTGCACGTCTGAGAATGGAATCTTTGCTGGCATCATATGGGTGATCCTTTGATGGAATTTCCAGGACAGCTGGAATTGGAGAAGTGTGACCATCAATCACATGCCTAATCAACTCAGCAATATTCTGATTAATCAAAATAATATCAATATCGTCTCTTTTGATAAATCTCTTGAAACACTCTTCAATTTCACTGACTGGTGTACCTGCAACCCAAGAATAAAACCAACAATTCATTTGCAACAAAATTTTACCTTTATCAACCACCAAAAAGTTGGGGTGGCGATTCTTGTTAATTTCTCCAACTCCACCCAAAAGAAACCCAACACAAGTATCCTAAAAATAGACAAACTATAATACTTTCATGGTGTTTTATTAATATAGTACCTCGTCTCCGATCACGGAAATTAATTTCCCTTTCATAGCAGAATGTAAAGCCATTTTAATAAATTTTTTGAAAGAATAAAAATATTCAGGACTGTCACCTGACTAGAAGCACCTGACAGTAGTGACAGCTGGCTTTGACGTTAGTTTAAATAGCCAACAACAGGAAAGACAGAAATATGCTGTTTTAAATGAGCTAAAAAGAGATAATTTATTAATTGTGTTGGTGTCCCTGTTGTTAAATTTCTCCTAAATAAAGAAAAACAATATGCTTTTCTTTAGAGCAAAAGAGAGAAAAGATTTTCATTTTTTGAGTTATTAGCATAACCTAAAATATAAGTGATTTTGAATTTTGAGGTAATTTATTCATTTTTTTTCGTTTATCAAGCTTTATTTGTGTTAAGAGGGGCTTTAGTTCGTATCCTCTGTGTTGTTTTAGATGTCAGAGAGCAAAGAAACACGAATTAAAGACGCTAAAGAAACATTCCAAGCGTTAATGGAATTATCAAATTCATTATGTACTGGACTTGATTCTGAAGCTTTGTCTATTTGTGTAAGACTCTGTGAAGCAGGTGTTAACCCTGAAGTTCTAGCAACAGTTGTGCGAGAGTTACAGAAACTGGTTGCTAATGAAAATGAGACTTTAAAGGCTGACTAAACACATTCTTTCTTCAAGTATTTATTTAAAAAAATGTAACAAAAATATATTAATAAAGGATTATTTTACGTTATAGCTCTTCTTTAACATTTGAGAATTCCCCTGGATACTCCTTCCCTTCTATAGTAACTCCCTTACATCTTTCCTGTTTTACAAGATATTCCTTTGCAACCCAAGCTTGGGACCCATCTTTAAACAAAAAAATCGCCCTATCATCATCTACTAAGTATCTGCAATATAAAAGCGTAACACGTGTTAAAAATTGAAATTATATTGAACCTTTCTGCTTGAATATGGCTGTTCCAAAGACTAGTTTGCCACAATTTTGTCATTTCTTCAGTTTCCTCCCTTGTAGGATTCCCGGAAACGCTAACAAACGTCATCAAAGTCCTGCCTTTTTTTGAAGCTTCAAGCAAGCTTTGAGGGTCATTGGGGTCCAATTTGGTCATGTCCAGTTTCGGCATTGGACGTAAATGCTCTGGTAATTCGTCTTCTTCTAATGGCTCGTCATCTTCCTACAATACAAAATCACAATTTTCTGTGAACATTTTCGATAATTCCACTTACTTCCCATTGTTCTAGTAAACGTTCCATGTCTGCTTCGGTGTAGTCCCTAATATCTTTCTTAGCCCACTCTGGTTTCTCATTTTCTTTAAATTTTTTAGCGATTGAAACATTTATCAAAATCAGGGAAAGGAAAACGATGATTATTTTCATTTTTATTTTAACACTTGGATCAATCAACCATATCATAACCTACAACAGAAAATCAGAGACTTCTCCGAGATCGACAATAACCGACTTTTATATTTAGCGCCATATTTGGCATGTCCGCCAACACAAAGAAGCGATAATTCAAATACAAATAATTTTTTTGTATTATTACGTTATTCCTGATGAAGACAAAATAACAGTTTTTTTTTTCATTGTGCTACATAAGTTGCAAGTAATCATTTGCTGAATAAACCCAAAGAAAAACAAAATCTTTTATTTTTGAAAAATTTTATCGAAAATCTTTTAAATTGAATTATCTTTGCATACTTATTTCATAAAACAAATTATAGCTGAAGTAATGTTATTTAGTATTTACTGGTGTTTCTTATAGTCAATATACTCTATACTACAATTAACGTATCAAAAAAAAAAAACACAAAAATATAAAAAAAGGAGTTTATTCAGTAAAATAACAAGTAAATATCTCAACTTGATTACTTGGTTTTCTTCATAAGAAAAGCCATTCCATGTATCCGGAAATGTTTACTCAAAGCCAGCGCATCTTCAAACTCTTCTAAACAAACCGAACACTGATTCTCCTTCACAGGTCCTTTATGTTCCCCCGGAACTAGTCTCAAATTATTCTCAAGTTCTTCAATTGCAAATTTATCGTAACAACTATTCTCGGCAAAATATTGCTCAGAGTCTGTAACTTGATGGAAATGTGCCAAATGTTTAACTAGAGAAGGTTTAACAACGAAGCATTCACCACATTCCATACATTGATACGCGGTCGAAATATCTCGATGGGTTTTGACATGGTTGTGAAATTCAGACCTTTCGGTATTTTTGTAATCGCATAGTTTACAATAGTAAGTTCCATCAAATGAGATCGGTTTTTCGGCTTGAAGGTCGTTCTCCTCGGCAGGTTTTTTACTCTTACTAGGGGTCGAGGAGTTTGAAGTACGTTTTCTTTTTTTGGTCTTGGAGGTTTCTTCAGTTTTGAGAGAGTCATTACTTGAGTCTAGATTTGACGGTTCACTAGAACTGGTCTCATCCGAGTCCTTCGATTCGTTGATTGCGTGGATTGTGACAATTGGATTGTTATATTTGCACAAATTCGTGTGTGATTTGACATTTTCAGGTAGCAAGTCTTCTTTACATAGCATACAGGTCGATTTCTTCTCTTCGTTACTTTTACTGGGGGTTCCTCGAAGATGATTGATTTGTTTGCAATTGGTGCAAACCTTAAGTGCATCTTTCTCCTTATACTGGATTTTTTGAGAGCAAAACTGACAACTGGCTGTTATAATATTCGACGTTTTCTCATTTTTCAAACACCTCTGTTTATGTACCGAATAAGTGGTAGTCGATCGGAAATAACTCCGACAAGACCGACACGTGAAAATATAAACACAGGTCTCTCTATCTCTCAAATGCCAATTGACATGTTCTGTTGTTTTCTCTTCACCTAAAGTCGGCATGTTTTTACAAACCGTGCAATTGAAAGTTTTGAACGAAGTACAACTCTCGTGATTTTTCGCGTGATCGGTGAAATCCGACTCGGTAAAAAAATTCGAACTGCAAACACTACACCTGAGTATCGATTGGAAATGATTGGCAAAATGTGAGGCATAAGTATTGGGCATGACGAAAAGTTTGCCGCACTTTAAAGCCGGACATCTGAACCTCACTTGTTTACTCAAATGGAAGCAAACATCCTCCATGTGTTTGTCAAGAAGTGTCCAAGTGTTGAATTGTTTGCCGCACTCGGGGCACACATGAGGAGCAATATTCTCGTGAGTTCTCACGTGCGCTTTAAGGGAACATTTCGTCGGAGCCACGTATTTGCAAATGTAGCAACACAAAGACTCGTCTAGGGGTTTATTGGCACCTTGGAAGTGCCCCACTAGAGGGCCTTCAACAGTAGAGTTACACTCACTGCACTGAGGTAGTGACTCGATTTTGGAAATTACGGGTAGAGTAAAATCTTCATCGATTTCTTGCTTTATCTCAGGCTCGAGGTGACCGTTAGTCACTTGAACGGTTTTCGCTTGCTTGTCAAGGTTTTGAGGCACGAATTCGCATAGAGGAATGTTTAGAGTGAGTTGCTTGATGACTAAAAGTACATTATTTGAACCTTCCGCGTAGTGAAAAACTAGATTAAAAGGCCGAAATGTGACCATTTGTTTGCCTTTATCGGCATCATCAGGCGTATAAAACTGGCAGTTGACGTAGGAGTTGTCACTTGGGTATTCTTCCTCTTCGTCGTACAAAAACGGTATGCTTTCGTGTCTCGCAAACCCTGCAAGGTCTACCGGAAGGAGGAAAATGTCAACATTCGCTAAATTGATTTTTCCTTCGCCTAGACTAAAGTGTTTTCGAGCGTGGAGAAGGAGAGAACAGCGATTGTAAAATGTAAAAGTGTTCGTGCACTCCATGCATTTGTATTTGATTATTACTACACGACGGTTGATGTGGTCTTGGAAGGTCAGTTTTGACGAAAACCTGGAATAAATAGTGTGAAAAAAAGATAAAGCCAAAAGGGAGCTTTACATATTTTTGCATGAATAGCAAGGATAGACTTTCAAACCCAATTGAGGTTTGAACGAAATCCATTCCGGTGATTTGTCAAACAGGATGTTCCATTTTGAAAGGAGAGAATGTTTTTTAGTCTAAAACATAAACAGTAATTAGAGAAGAAGCAAAATAAAGAATAAACACAATAAAAAAAACAGTTATTCAATGCTACAAGTGTGCCAATCCTTCACTTGTTAATATGAATAGATCACGTGACCCGCACATCTGACGTACGAGACGTTCTCCATCTAATTCGTATTATATCTGAATTTAAATCATTTACATCCTTCTACGTTCATTACGTAATAAGTTTAGAGAATAAAAACATCTTAATTTCGCTAATAGGTCATTTCCGGTTCCGCCTTTTCACCTTACCCAAGACACACTACTGTTGGCAGACAACATGGTGGATGTTTTCCAGACCTGTAACTGAAACAAAACGGTTATATTACATCTAAATTACTTGAAACCAGTTACCAAACATGCGACTAAGAAATTTGTACTTGAGGTTTTCTATTTTCTTTTTCTTCTAGGGGTGCACATTAGCGATGACAGTTGCCGGCCTGGCTAGCGCCACTGACCCTAAATCCCGATAGTTGTAGCGCAGATGGCGCTAGTGTCGCAAAAGCAAGGTCATTAATGTAACTGTGTCACTACTTACTTTTTATTAAAATAAATGTTTGTATAAGTACAGTAAGATATGTATAAACGTTATCACACAATACATTGGTTCGATTTGTAAATTTGAATACAAAAATGCCATTTCTTTGCTTAATAATTATAGGAAACTGTAAACAATTACATTAGATGCTTCAATTGTCTACAGCAAGTTATCACAGGTCGTACAAGAGTCCACACTACGGCTATTGAAACGAAAGCTAAACCTAACAGAAAAGTAACAATATTTCCATTGGAATGCCTCTCAAACCATTTCGTGTAAACACTTAAAATCAGTGCAGCCCCCCCAAAACCAAAACTAACAATTCCACTTAAAATATGTACGAATTTAATGATTTTAGGTCTAACAAGTTGTCTCAAACTCCCATGGTAGAGTGCGGCAATACCGTTGAGACAACTTGGGATACAAAAAATAAGCCCAATCAGCCCTAAAAGCCCATGCCACGTCATAAAATGTTGCTTATTTAGGTAATCCTTGTTGATATAAACCACCACAAACCCTATCGTTATTAAAATACAGGCGATAGTTTGAAAAATCCAATGGAGGCGTACTCTAATACCCTTTGGTAACGTCCCCGTGAAAAGATTTTCTTTTGAAAGCGACAAAATAGCCTCAGTCATCAAGAACATCCACTAAAACATAAGAAAACAATGACGCATCGCGTCAAAAACTAGGTTATGTAATAATACTCACTCCCACTGACAAAAGAAGTGGATGCCACGTAAAGAACTGAAAATCTGCTGAAAAACTGAAATAAATTATCAAAATTACGTATAGGAGGATGCAAGCATGAGCTGTTGTTGTTAAATGTTGAAAAAATGTGGAGAATGCGGCTTGTTGTGATGTAGGTTTTTTGCGACTGTCCATTGTTTTCGTGGGTGGAGTGATTCCTGCTGATGTAAGAGACTGCAGAGTAGTGGTTTCGTCGTTGTCGCCGTCGTCATCAGGTGTCAGATTCAAAGCTGAATCGGCCATTTTCAACCTTGGACCCAAGAGTGGCTCTTGCAATGGGTCGTAGGCTTTTTCACGATGGGAACTAGACCACGGTGCGTAGAGCCGGTGAATATACATCATCGCAGCGGCTGATAATAAACAAAGAATAGATAAACCGGAGGGCCTTAGGGGTCAGAGGTGGGATTCGAAGACTACGGTTTTTCCTAATTGCTCGATAAATGGTTTATTGATGAAGCTTATTTGATTTTTTTAGAACCATAACGAAACTCCAAAAGCACATTTTTAGTAATTTGTATCTTATAATTTTGGCAAATTTTGACAACATTAATTGTTATCAATTTTAAAATCAATTTGTTATCAATTAAAAAAATGATAACAAAATTTTAAAATAAACGTCCTCGATCTAACATTGTTGTATTACGTTTTTTTTTTAATTTTTGTTATATTTTTAGAATAGGTGAAGTGGTGTTTTGTATTAATTAATTAAAATTATTATACACTCTTGAGCCAATCACCAAACTTGATTGCCGATGTTGGATTATTAAATATTGCTTGTCGCAATTATTACTTTCTGGGAATTACAATTAAGGGATATTTGGTTTGTCAAAAAAAATCACTTTTTTTTCAAAAGTTTATTGCAGACTATAATTTATACAGTGAGCAAAAAAATAGGTAATAAATATATTATAATAAAGTTTTTGTATAAATAAAGACATATTTCAAACTTATCTTATTCTGACTTAAACATTGTTACCTCTTAACTGAGGTCATAGTGACCATACTTGTGGACATTTGAACAAACCATTTAAACTAAATGAAACAAAAAACAGAGTGTGTTACGCACTACACCCTGTACTTACATCCTGTTCATTTCAACTTTGGGAAAAATCACAAATTGCTTAAATAAGCTTTTAAATACCTAAACCTACCTACAAATGCAAAGTGCACATGTGCACACAATAAAAAATAGTATAGGAACTTAGGTAAGTCTAATTATTCTGATAACACAGTCATTGAGAGATTTTTACCACAAACGGTTAAAAAATAAAAAGTGCCTGTAGTCCAGTCAACGAACAAGTTGTAAAATTTTGTCGAGAACAGAATTTTTGTGGTAAACATACTGAAAGTTCTCGGTCGTCCGTGGTAAGCAGGGCGCAGTTGGGTGGCGTTTTATATTTTTTTGCTTATATCCATAAAAATTACGAAAAATGTGTTTTGTATACGCTCCCAAAAATAGCTATTTTACGAACTCATTTGAGTCCTCAAAATGAGTCTTTTTCGAACTCAATAAAATAGTCATTTTGGGTCTTAGTACCTAAAATACAGTTTTTGTGGAAGAAAAAACCAATTTGGTTACTATAGTGGTTAAAATCTGGAGCTCACTATTTTCGAGAAATTTTTGGTCTGAGATGACATTAATCACAAATAATAAGAGGTGTGAATGATGTGTCTTTGGGAGCTTTAATAAAAAATATTGTTTGTAACATGTATCTACCTAAAACTTTTTTGCGGACTCATATACTATTCCAGCAACGATTCGTCCGCAAAAACTGGATTTTAAGACCTTATGTAACAAAAATAAGTATTATTCACAAAATAATAAAGCTTATCTACAAGACGGTCATCTCGGATTTTTGTACTTATCTCAAATAGTTTTCGAGCAAATATATCCCACTCCCTAAAAAATTATTAGAGAATTAACGTAAAATTGTTGTAAAAGTTGTAACGTTGTGATTGGATAGTTTATGATCGGCCATTATAATAATATAAAAAACCAATCACTTTAGATTTTTGGATTCATTCAAAATTAAAGGCATATAATGATATAATTGGTCCGTTTAAGGTCGGCCATTATACCTAATAACGAGGGAAGCCAATCATTTTAAACTTTGGATTAATAATTCATAAATGTGTTGGTTAATTGATTTTTTATAACATAATAATTAAATTAAAATGAGAGTGCTCTTCATGTGCTATAGGCTCTCTTTTTGACTTTTGTAAATACTGTTAGTATTGTCATGGACAATTTGTACTTTATTTTTCGTTAGACTTGATTGAGAAATAATATAAATAGGAATATTAGTGTTTTACCTATCCTGTGTGCTCACAACCACAATATAAAATAGCAAGGATACATTTTCATGCAAGAAGTGAACGTAACCCCACTTTCCTAGGGAGTGACTGAGTGAGATCACATTCACACAATCTTCACACAATCAACTTTTGCTGTAAACTTGGCACCATGGTGCAAAGGGGACAAACAATTGTTTGAAAACTATTTAAGATAGAAAAAAAAACGAAAAACCAATCTGTAGGTCTGTTTATAAGCTTTAATTTCACACCTGAACATTTTTTCGTAACACGCACCGTTTTTGAGATATAAGCGAGAAACCATAAAACGGCACCTCCCCGTTCACCTCGGAGGACTGAGGACTTTTAGTACGTTTACCTTCCTACCATTCCAAACACAGCTGTTAAGTCAAAAATTCCTTTCCCAACCATGTATTCTACAACCCCTTTTTGGGTGTTCATTGATGGGACTACTATTCTATGACTCGGGCCCATGGGTGTTCAATATGTCCATATTGTATTGCAAATAATTGTTCTCTTAGTTTCTTATAGAGTGGTTTTTCGTGTTCGGTCGTTGGTATGTTCAAAAGTTCGCCCATATATTCTATGGATCCAATAGGACTAACTATACAAGCTGTTCCCGAACCAAACATTTCGAGCAACTTTACCAAAAATAAAAATGTCAGAAAACAAGCCTTTTTTTATTATTATCTTACCCTATCACTACGTAGCAACGTTATCACTTCGTCCATAGTGAGTATCCTTTCCTCAACCCTAAACTCCTTCCATTCTTGTGTCATTTGTAAAATCGATTGTCTTGTAACCCCCGGAAGAATCAAACCGTTCAAAGGCGGCGTGGCCAAAACCTTTTCGCCGTTGTTGTCTATATAAAAGATGAAAATGTTCATGGTTCCAACTTCAGTGACTTGATGGTCGGGCCCATACAACCATAACACCTGTTGTCGCCCTTTGCTGTTAGCTGTGCTTTGAACTCGAATCGTGGGACCATAATTGGAACCCATTTTACGGTCACCAACACCGCCAGGCCAAGCTCTTGTATACTGGGGGTCCGCCAAAAGGGACACTGATTCAGAACCCCCGGAAAAGTAGTTGCCCACTGGGCACAAGATGGTGAAGAGTAGGGCTGACTCGGATTGGGCAACACCCAAAGTGCCCTAAAATTCGAGATCGTGTTATACAACTTAACTTATCAATTTTTTATTATCGGGTTATTTCGGAGTTGTGCAATTGTTTTACGGGTCAGTAAGGATCATCTAAATCTAAAATTTAAATTAGGAAAGTCAATTAAAAATTGTTTAGGTTTTTGCAATTGTAAATGGGCCACTGCCGACTTACATCAATCCCGATAAGTGTGGGTCTGATGTAAAGACTCGAACCCTCGCTATGTGGGACCCACTCTTGGTCCACTTGAATTAACCGATTGAGGCACTTAGTGAGTTCCTCCCCGTCGAAAGTGGGCAAACCGGCCCTTTGCGCCGACAAATTCATCCTTCTCATATTTAAATCCGGTCGAAAAATCCGGATTTTCCCATCCACGCCTCTGTAAGCTTTCAAACCTTCAAAAAGCTGTGAGTAAGGCAAAATTAAATTACAACTGAGTCTCGGAAATTCGATAGAATACCTCAACGGCATAGTGGAGGACTTTGGCGGCTGGGTGAAGCGAGATATTTTCAAATGGAATAATCACTGGTTTCTGCCAACCCCCTAGTTGCTTGTGGTAGAAGATTTTGAGCATGTGGTCGGAGAAAATCTGGCCGAATTTTAATTCGGAAACGTCGGGTTTGGCCCGGAGTTGGTCCGGTTCGGCCAATTTCGTTGTCAAATCTCTGTGCTAAAGATAAAAGAGTTGGTAACCAGATAAAGCGTGCATTGAGAGGTCAAGTTCAGTGTAAAAGTCCCGCGATTTCTAATTTGATAATTAGCGATAAGTTTAATTAGTTGGATAAAAAAATGAACTATACTAAAAACAAAACAATTTTTCTAGCCCTGTCATTTAAATACAGTTATTTGAAAAATTTAATAAACGTTAATAGCGTCGTAATAGTCACTTAATTATTTCCCTCGTTAATCTGTTTTAAATTACAAATAGGCGCTCCAAAAAGTGTGCTGTGTAATTAGACTCAATTAATATAATTTCGCAATTTCTCACTTACTCGAAAGGTATATTCGGAGTCGTTATACTGCTCGTAGGTTTTTAGTTCGTCGAGTCCTAAAACTTCTTTTACTTTTAGACTGCAAGCTCTTGCGGCTTGTTTTAGTTTGTGTTGATGTTGGAGGACCCATTTGCAGGCGCACTGGAATTGAAAAAAATACATTTCAAATTACTCTGGAACAATGAATTGATTCATGGTCGATGTTTGTTTCTATTCAATTAAAAATTGCAGTATTAACCTTGTTTTAACCAAAATTAATAATTTATGATTCGATAAACAAAGTAGTCAAAATGAATCTCTTGTTATTTCTATTGTGATTTTTATGCATTTTGAAGGTGTGATTTTGACGTTGTTTCCTGCTGAAGTTATTGTTTCAATTTTCCTAATCAAAATTCAGTGTTTTTAATATTTATTTGATGGTCGATTCTATTATCAATTTTGGAGATTTGCAAATTTTAGACACGTGTAAAAGCATTTTTTGATGAATTTTATCAAGCTTAAAGCAACAAACATGTTGTTAACATGCACAATAACAAGATGTTTTTCTCTTGCATTGAAAGCCACAATAATAGTTCAGTATTGCGTCAATTTTCATAAAAAAATATCTAAATAGATTAAAAAATAAAATTTGTAGCAGAAATTTCTTCCAGAAGTATGTTGAAACTCAATAGTTTCAACATTGTTGTTTGGCAAATTTAAAGATGAAAGTTTATCACCAAAAACTAGCTCTTTCCAGTTTCACACTTTAAGACGTATTGATAAGAAGAAAAACCAATATTTTCTAATTGTTAAGGTTTCAAACTATAGGACAACAACCATAGAACAAATATTCTAAAACAAATAAAAAAACAAAAAATACCTGTTTGGTTGTAATGACTGACATCTTCTTTTTGAATATCACAACAAAACACAAACGAGACACTCACTCGGAGATATTTGAAATAATAATACGTAGGGAATACTGCTCGCTTTAAATTGAAATATTGTTATAGTTTGAAGTTTGTCGCTCAACTGGTGTATTGTAAGCTTGAACGCATGAATATTAAATACATAAATTAATAGTTATCGCCGGTTATTTTATAAACGGGAGTATATTTAGGAGAAAGAATCAACGTCTTATCTTTCGCAATATAATAATAGAGTTACAGATGACGCAAGAAGAATCTCGAACAAGAACTCTTGTAAAAATAAAAACAGTGATGGTGAACCATTGATTTCAATCATTATTGTCGTGTCGAAATATGATAATGAAAGATCATGACCTTAACAAAACTTTTATGTTATCGGGTGTTATTATTAGGCATTCTTTCCTTTTGGGCGATTTAAACCAGTATCAAACTGATGAGACTCAGCTAATTAGGAGCTAATCGGATTATACTCTATAAAGTCCAAAAGGAAATTTAGGTGTAAAATAACTAACGAACTAAGTTCTAAACAACTGGTTACATCGAAATACTTAAAAATATAGCTTATTCAGCTGCTTATTAATTACATGATTTAAATTTTGAATTCCCGCGTGGTCCCGCCGAAGGAATATTTAATTTTGACAGATGACATAAGCGGTGAGAATTTTTGTGTTTTTTTTAGCTCAGATTTAATAAAAACTTTTGTAGATTACCCTAGAACTTGTTTTTAAGTGTTAGTGTGATGAATACTTTAAAACTTGTCAGCAATTGCTTTTTGGTAAGCACAATTGGGGCTTTCAATGTGACATAACCACAAAGTTTCTTTTTCAGAGACCCACATTTCGACTTTGTAGTCTTACAAATCGCAATGCAACCACAGTAATTGACCCTCCCGACAGTCCCGATATTAAAATCCCTTCACCTAAAGTACGCGATAATGAACCTTTGGAACAGAGAAGGGCCAGGTGGCTATTTACCCCTTTTAGTATTTTAGATATTTATGTAAAATTTTAGGCTCTTGTATCAGTCACGTAAACGGGGAATGCTCGAAAATGATCTCTTATTAAGTACTTTTGTAGATAAATATTTGAAAAGTTTTACTGAAAGTCAGTTGGAACAGTATGACAAGTAAAGCAAGTCTTAAATATTACGGAACTGTTACTATATAGTGTGTTTTGTAGGCTTATAAATGGGCCTTCAAATGATTGGGATATTTATTATTGGGCCACTGAAATAAAAGAGACTCCAAAGGAATATGAACATGAAATTATGAAACTGTTGAAGGAGCATTGCAAGAATTTGAATAAGGAGTCAAGAATTAGACAACCCGATCTCTAGTTGTATATTTTTGTTAAAAATTATTGTCACGTTATGTAAATAAATTATACAAAATATTTCTTACAAATTGATTATTACGAGTAGGCAATTTTGAGGTGTATATTTGGTTGCCTATGGTAAAAAATTGGGAACAAATTAATTGCACATTATATTATACAGGCTGATTCCTAAATAGACCGACAAAATTTTATCCTTGGTAGTATCAAATGAGAACATGCTGGAAAACTTATTAAAAAAATTCTTTGTTCAATCGTTCTCCAAGTAAAATTTATTAAAATTATTTTTGAGCTAAAGCGTACGCGACTGATGTGTTCGTAAATAGTATTACCACAGATAGTGGAAACCATGGTATTAATTTGATGAAAATGTACTTGATCATTGCAACAACTCATAAACGCCGTAAGTGGCTCGGATCAAGGGGGTTTTGTCCCTAAAAGATATAAACGTAAAAAGGGTACAGTTTGTCTCCATTTATTCTTGGGAAGCTGTGATAATATTTTGTCGGTGTATTTAAGAATCACCCTGTATACGTCAAGTATTTTTGTCCAATAAAAATAATAAATGCTCAGTAAAAATAATAAATGTAGAGTAAAAATAATAAATGCACAGTAAAAATAATAAATACACAATAAAAATAATAAATGCACAGTAAAAATAATAAACGCACAATAAAAATAAATGCACAGTAAAAATAATAAACGCACAGTAAAAATAATAAATGCACAGTAAAAATAATAAATGAACAGTAAAAATAATAAATGCACAGTAAAAATAATAAATACACAGTAAAAATATTAAATGCACAGTAAAGAGAAAAAAATGTCCAATAAAACTAATATCCCAACATTTAGTTTTCAAGAAAATGTTTCCGAGCAAAATCGAAAAATCGCAAAGAGTTCAAAAACAAAATCGTGGTATCAGGAGCATAGCAGTGGCAAAGGCTGATCATCATTTGTGCACTGCTTCCAGCTCTTGAACACTTGCTAATCATTCTTGTGTAGGGGCCCTTGCTAATACATACATATACCATACCACCCTCCAATAATAATAAATACTCAGTAATACAATAAAAAATAACATTCTTGTGGAGAGGCCATACATATTGTTGTTATTTTACTAATTTTGATTAAACTAAACATTTATTATTTTTACTGTGCAAAATATTAGGAGTATATTATACCAAACATTTCAATTTTTTATTGTGCAAAAATTAATTAAACACTGAACATTTATTGTTTTATACTGAACAAAATCAATTTTTTTTTCTGAACGCTTTATTACTTACTACCCTAAAAAAATTAGGATCTAATGCAATTTTAAGAGGTTGAATTAGACAATATTTACTACTTCGCTGTTAAATTTAATTTAATCACTTAATTAATGATTGGTTGATTGGTTGCAATTTTTCTACCACTAGTTTAAAAAGGGTATGGTTTGTGATAGAAGCGGTTCCGGTAATTAATGTAATTACGTCTTAATGGAATTACGCATCTCAAGTCATGTCTCTGAATTAATTACACTAATTAGATTTTTTACGCCCAGTGGAATTCAATTGCAACATAATCATTGAGTGAATTTTTATATTTTTCTCAATGTAAAAGTTAGAGTATCATTCCTCTCAATGTAATTTCATCCGGTGTCGGTTTTTAAGCAGCTGTCTAGCATCCAAAAGTTATTTAAAGCGCCCCGGCTGTTAAAACAAAAATAGCTAAGTTCCAGACGCCACTACAACCAACGACGCCTAATCGATCTTTGCATGAGGGTACGAAAATAATAAAGACTAAAATCACGCAATCGACAAAAATTCGAATCAATACTAAAATAAGTGCATGATCTCTTGGTAGACGTCACGCGAACGGAAATAAGAATTTTTAAACAAATATTTGCACTGAGAGAGATTAAAAATACTTCATACAATTCAGTTTACTTTTACTGACTTTCGACCTCTTGTTTTTCCCACTAGAAAGTTTGCATAACTTGAGATAAAGTAGCAAAGTGTTTTATTATTTTAATTGAGTGCTACCTAAACTGTATACGGCACTACAAGTACTTAAAGTTTAACAATGAAACAGATAAAGAGCCATCAGATCATTGACTCCTATACTTCCGGCAAAGCCCAAGCCTATAAAAGCAATTCGATCCCCTTTTCTGACTTTTGTTTGATTCTGAATTGACTAATGAAGCAAGTTTCATAAATCTACCCTCCCTTTTAAAGGTGATTGTGCGGTTTGGGCACCCTTTGTATTGTAGGGCTAAACAGATGTGACCATACGTGACGAAAATTCAAAAGTTACGAAATAAAAACACACGACTAGGATTACTATAAATGGTAAGGTTTGATAATGAGAGGTGGGTAGGCATGACCTCTGACTACGTCACAGCAAGTTCACCCACTTCGTTAAAACAGTAGGACGAAGAAATGGTCTAGCGACTCACTAGAAGTCTAAATATAGTTTTCCAGGACTATAAAATCTTCAACGTCATTATCGTTGATGAAAAGTGGAAAATTTGTACAAATTTTGTAAATCAAAGATGAGACAATCCCGCAACCTTTGATCTCACAAGTGTTAATTAACAGGACCTCGTTAATTCGTATTTTGGTCAAAATATTTAATTTACGAGAACAGATTCAATGCTATCTATTATTTTGTAGCTAAAAGTGTGCAGAGGACTCCAAATTTAGCCCAACTTTTACTTTCAAACAATCAAATTTTTACGCCACTTTGCGGGGTCGTAGATAATTGTGCGTAAAAAATTTACCGTTACATTTTTTATTATCGCAATTTTCCGTCAGTGTTTTTCCACAAAATAGTGGAATAGTTTCGCTAAAAATTCTTTTGAAAACGTAATAAGACCCGATCGAGGCAGAGCCAAAGGCAATTTATTATTTAGTCGAGTGAAAATGTTCCATTTAAAAAATGGTACGTCATAAAATGACCTCAGAAACTTGAGTAAGGTCGGGATTTTTATTCTGGACGCTTCTCTTCAAGTTCCTTTTCGCATGCGTGACTCACTGACGTATTGATTTACCCACGGCATAATTCTAATATCCATCTGCCAATATTTTTGCCCTTTTAAGACGTTGGCATAAGAGTGCTGAGAACCTCGATTTGTCGGAAACTACTACTGTTATTACGAATTGCGATAAACATTCAATTTACGCATGTTTACATGTAATATTTTGTTTACGAATTTATCATATAAACACCGGAGATAATAAAGTTAAAATTTTGCCACTTGTTTTTAACTATTTCGATTTATCGAAGGTATTTGAAATATTCCAATAAGTTGTTCTAGAAATAATCCGACAATGGGCATTAGAATCTAATTTTAACTTGTTTACCTTAGTATCAAATTATAGTTGGCGTTAAAATACAATGTGAGGCATAAAAATTTGTAACAATTGTAATAAACGCTGCCAAAAACTTGGACACGTATAGGTGGTTTGATTTAATTGGCTTAATCAATGAATCATGAGTCATTTTTGGTTCTAATACGAAGTGATAAAATTGCAGTACCTATAGGTATATGTATAATTAGATACTTTCATTGAAAAAAAAAAAAGAAACAAAAACAAAAACAAAACAAAATTTGAGTTTGGAAAATGTTGAGTTCTAGAGTAGAGTAATAATAATAGTTTCCATACGGACTTTGAAGTTATATTGAGTAAATTGCAATAGGTAGGTATTCCGAACATATGGCGACATTCTATTTTGGTTATCGATGAGCATTTGATGATTCTGTAGAGTTTTACTCTTAAAATTTAATTTTGTTTTCCTTAGCTTTTTCTTCAACAGTTTGGAATTTTAAGTTTAAAAATCAGAAAATCAATTATTTTTTTCAGTGTTGTACTCTTGAAATCTTAAATTGAAACAATTAATGTTAATTTACTTAACAAAGAGTGTTCTTTTATGTTTTTGTTAAAATTTAATTAGTCGTAGAAATTAGAATATCTGAAGAAGATCTAAAAGAGCTATATAGTTATGAGTGTGTCTTTTAATAAAATATTTTCAAGGAAGTCTGAGTTTAAAACTTTCATAAATGGATTTCATCTCTTGTGTTAAAATCTTGTAAATTAGATATCCACTTCAAAAAATTTTTGTATTTTAACTTCTTTTATATCTGTCTTTAGTAGTCTCGTAGACTTAATATGTCTTAATTTATACCACATAATTTATTTTTAATATCTGTAAGGCACCTTCGCGAAATCTAAACTTTTAAATAATTCTTTACAAACTATTTACATGGTTTTATCACATTTGAATAAAATTCTACACTTTTTACTTGTTATCTGAGTCAGTCGTCTCCAACCTCTGACCCGCCGAATTAATTAAAATTGTGTTATATTTAGCCAACACGTAGTCCTCAATACCCATTTTTGTCAATGTTGAAATCGTATATCACTAACAAATATTTATCTTGGAGATGCAATATTTGCTTTGATAAAAGTGCATTTTGAAGAGCTTTTGTTGTTCCATAAAAGGCGCAAAATTTTGTTTGTATCTACAGTAAACGTAGTAACATTGAGCGTCTACTCCAAGTCATCACCACCTACAAGTCCCATGAATCACTCTCCAAAAACCGCTCTCCACGTCACAATAAATTGTTCCTCCAATGTTTACGCCTAGGAACTCATCGTAGGTATAGTTTTTGAATTAATCAAGTTGATGCATCTCGAACATTCATTTCTTTGGCCAAGGTATCGCCGGCGTTGCGCAAGTCCCCTTCTCATCTATTTAAAACCAAAAGCCCCGTTCGCGGCAGCAGTCGAGTTGTAACTTCCGTACTACAACGAAATCGTGTCTGAAACCCCTTGTTAAGTGTGTGTACATTGTGATTCCAAAATGTCTGAAGGAATTAGACGTGACATCCCCATCAAACTGGGCGACTTCAGTGTTATCGATACCGAATTCAGCAGTATTAGAGAACGATTCGATGCCGAAATGCGGAAAATGGAAGAAGAAATGAGCAAATTTCGATCAGAATTAATGAACAGAGAATCAAATAACTTCTTCAGAAGCACTACAAGGTACCTATTGGGAATTATATTAATCGGTTGAGGTATTTTAGCTTAATAAAATACTAATATGGGACGTGACCATGCGAAAAAGGACACAATCGATACGCTGTCCCACTTAAATGGACCAATCAGCTTTGAGTGTTTGGGGTAAAAACCCAACAATTGACCGGTGGATTACCGGAAAAGGGTGTCTAACGCTCCATCATTAATTTTAATTCATGTGAAAACAAAGGCGTCATTTAGTAAATGGATTTTACAATAACAAAGTACATATTTACAAAGACTTGACGCAGGTGCATTAAGGCAAACGTCCAGTACTCGGAATTACGAAATATGAGCTTGAATCGTAAAAATAGAACGAGTTATGGACTGAATGATGTTGTAATTTGGACCATTTCAATGCGTTTTCCTGCTGAACTATACAATGCAGCATAATTAAAGTGACTCATTATTCAAGGCTATTTTATTGTAACAAGTATTTACGATATTTTATCAAAGTCGGTGTGATACCTGGCTTTGCAATGTCAGGTTGGCCAACGAAATTTTCCCGCCCACATATGAAATGTTTGTTACGCAGATGCGGTTTCAAGTACATTAATGTTTATCCAAATAATTATCATAAATTTTCTCTTTTTTACGATCACAATCGGCGCTTGACAACTGTGTCCATTTAAAGACGCCACGTAACATTTGGATGATGTCATGAGACTAAAATAGAAACCTGTTTAACGCTGCATTATAATCGGGCCCTGCAGGAATGTGGAAGGAATATCCACCCACCCATGGTCACGTCTCTAAAAATTATTTTCGGAAATTTGATAAATTTTTTAAGAACTTGTTGTAGTTGCCAGCTTTGAACATAACAATCTAACATTGCTTTTAATGTTTGCATGTCGTACGAATATGAGACTGTTTCGGGAGGAAACAAATCAAAATCGTCCAGGTTTGTATCATGTAGTTACACTGTAGTTGTAGTTGTAGTAACAATTCGTAGTTACATAACGTGGTGCGTGAGTCTTGTTTTAATACTCAATTTTTTAGCTCAACGACTCAGTCGTCACACAATTCTGGTTTAGATGTAGCGCAAAGACCGAGTGATGTAAGAACATGGTATGATGATTTAAATTCGCCTCTTATCCAAGAAGATGGAAATAACAAATGTTTAAAATTACGGTTTGATGTCAGTCAATACGCTCCAGAGGAAATTGTTGTAAAAACTGTCGATAACAAATTATTGGTAAGTTTCAAATGTTGTGAGTCGTTGAGATTCTACTTATTATGTTTCAGGTGCACGCAAAACACGAAGAAAAAACAGAATCTAAGTCAGTTTATAGAGAGTACAACCGGGAATTCCTTCTACCCAAAGGAACCAATCCGGAGCAGATCAAGAGCTCTTTGAGCAAAGATGGCGTTTTGACCGTTGAAGCGCCTTTACCGGCAATTACAGCCGGGGAAACCTTGATTCCAATCCAACACTAAATTTTGTACACTTAACTCATGTCCACTGCTTTTTGGTTTATTTTGCAATGTTATTTATGAAAATTAGTGCTAACTCAAATCACTTGTGACGCTTTAATTCATTGTTTAGCTGCAACAAGTGTAGTATATAAACTTTTGTAAGTTATTTATAAACAATAAAAGTATTTTCAAAGATTGAATTTTTTTTATTTCTCCTTAATTACAACTTCAGTTTTAATAATACAAACAACGAGATTCCAAAAGTAAGCCAAAGTGTGGCCCACGGAATGTTTTGCCGCTTTTTCGTAATCTTATCAGCAGGTTTTAAGGTAGAATCCCACTGAAAATAAACAAATCAAAATAAAATCAACAAATATTAAAACCCACCTGTTCAGTCTTAACCACTAGTGACTCAGTCACTTGTTTTAGTCTTCGAATCTGTTGTCTATTTTTCTCTAAAAAAATTCGAATCTCTTTTACCTCGACATTTGTTTCACAATTATTTAAAATAAACTTAAGACTCGCCTCCATCGCAATTATTTGTTTAATACATGTCAGAATAGCAGTTGCGACATCAATGTTACTGAAAAATCAAATTGAATTACTTATACCCATTGGGGGAAATTAGGACACGTACGTGTATAATTGATTTTTCGTTATAAAAGGTATGGATTTCGGCTGAAATTGGTATTTGTGAAACTTGTACAGTCCCCCTAAAATGCGGTTCCTTTGAAACGGGAATTGAACACCGATTTCTTTCAGTTTAGAATCGTCTAGTGTTAAAAATTCAAAGAGGGACATGTTTTTGTCCCTTAGAAGAGGCATTACGCTCTCGCTTCGAGTTCCGTATAAAATTTGACAAACATCGGTGAAAAATTGAGGCCTAAAATTAATTTTTAGAGAAATTTTTACATTGAAGAATATTACTTTTCGTTTGGGGTGAGGTTATTGAAAGTTTCCTCAAAATTGAGTTCATTGTTATTCAAGTATTGATAAAATTCGTCGAATGGGTCTTTTGGGAAGAAGTCTAAAATGTCTTGATATCCCCTACTGTGTGCTAATTCCGCAGCTGTATTTCCTCTGATATCAGTTTTATCACAGTTAAAACCTTCCTTTAGGAGATATTCTACTATTTCAAGATTGTTGCCATTAATAGCCCAAAATAGTACCTATCGGAATCATTATCAAAACTAGAGTAATAACCGAATTAAGTCTTACATTCCATCGCTGATTATCTTCAACCTCTTTATCCACTAAAGGTAATAATAATTTAACAGTCTCTAAATGGCCGTTATAAGCAGCAAACATAATGGCCGTTTTTCTTTTATTATCGACTATATTAACATCTGCTCCCTTATTTAGAAGCAGCTTAATGCAAGATAAAATTTTTGCTTCAGTTGCGTCGTCTTTCGAATTTATATTGCACAATAACATTAACGGCGTTAAACCGTCTATAAATTCTTTTTTAATCAAAATTGTCACTATTTTATTAAAAACAAACCTCGGGGTTGATTAATATTGACATTTTTTTCTACAAGAGTGGAAATAATTTTTTCGTTTGCGGTGGTAGAGGCAAGAAGGAGAGGAGTCCATCCTTGGTCTAAATCCACATTTGGGTCTAGACCTGAATAATAAAAAATATTTGTTAATTAAAACGTTTCTTCTCATTTTATTGAAAACTACTTGCTTACCCTTTTCTAACTCTGCAAGAAATACATCTTCCCTTTCATAAGCAATTGCTGAAAACACTGATTTTAGCTGCTGTTTCTGTTTGTCAGCTTCGGTATCAGCTTTCAGATTTGCTTCTCTCTGGCTGGCTTTCAGTCTCTCCTGAAATTTGTCTGTTTTTGCTTATGCTGAAAAACTTTTTCTTTTACCTTAAACTCGTAATAATCATTATCGTCAGATAACCCGTCTTCATCACTACTCAATAAGTCTGGCCCACACAACATTTTACATATTTCATTAGGAGAAATATTGAAAAAAACGTGTAGAGTGTATTCTATGAAAAAAATTAAAGAAAATGTTTTTTAGGTTATGTGGAAATTCGGAAATTTGAAGGGTGCGCACGCCACTGGTTCCTGTATTGTTAGTTGCCTAGAGTGAGGAGTGGGGAAATAACGTAAAGAATGATTGTGCTTTTTGTTATCAAATTTTATTTAAAAAATTACGTAATCTATTTCATAATGGTAATAAATTTGTTCTCGTGGTATAAATTTCAATTTCCTATGTAAACCATATAGCAAACAAATTCGAATTAAAATGGGACACACAAACTGAATTAAACATTATATCACATGCATACACAATGTATAAAAAAGAATGTCCAAACATAAAAAATACAACTATCGTTACGTCATATCAGAGTCTTGTAACATTATTTTTTAAATAAAAACTATTCCTAAATAGTGAGTTTTTAAAATAGAGCTGCCGTCAGTTTTGTTTTCAGCTCCCAAAATCATTAGGCACATTTTTATTTCCTACTTTAAATAATTCTTTACTATATTATACAAAAAAAATATTAAATTACACGATTGCATAATTAGGAGCGAATCCCTGGCAAGTCCAGGCTAGTAGTAACTGTCAAAATCCATCCTGGGATTCCTCAAACTTATGATTTTCTCGATTGAAATTAGTGATAATCAACCAATGTTATAAAAAATATTCTTTCTTGTATGTACAAAATATTGATATGCAAAACGCTGATAAATCATTCGAACAACCTTCCTCAATTCCGAAAAGTCCCAAACGAAAAATAATCGACCTGTACAAGTAGTAAGCCATATAAGTCATCAAGCTATACGGGAGTTCATAGGTACAACAGTAATACTACATTATCCCGGAAAACGAGTCTTGATAAGACCCGACTTGGTTCCGTGTCAAACCGAAGTCTGTTGAACACCTCCTAGATAATTCAACGGCTTGTGTTCAGCTTCGCATTCCGAGTCTTCTATTTCGCACAAATTTGTCGATAAGTCGCTGTTACTCCCATAACCACCCAAAAGAGAATTCCTCTCCTCTGCAACAACGAAAATTATTTCTACTAAAAATAAAAAAAAATACCAACCTAGAGTCGTAATCACAGATCCAATGTCATCATCACAGTTTTTCCTTCGGTTGCGATTGCTGGGAAAGCCGTATGGTTCAACATCGTCCGATTCTGCACCGGGACTTTGCAAACACTCGCCTTCCGACTCGCTAGGAATATTGTACCCATGGCTAGGAAGGTATGAGTTGGGATGACGTATATAGCTATCCGCTATAAAAAGACAACAATCAAAGAAGAATACTACAATGGAATAGAGATTGAAAACGCTTCAATCATGTTGTCTCATGCCAAGCGTTGCTAAATAAACATGCAGTATTCACAGTTTCATACTCACTTGGTTTAACAATAATTAAAGGCACTGCGTTACAAAAATTACAAAAATGTATTAGTTATCAAGCAAAGGATTGTGATTAATGAATATTTTGTATGTAAACAATTTGTCTAAATTTTTGACTAAAAATTAATTATAATACAATGCGTCTATTGTTAGTAATAAATCAACGATCAAGTTAGTGATTGCTGGTACACACTTAAAATCCACGCAACTTACAAATTTGTAGTTAAATGTGTGTTTCTTTCCAGCCTATAAAACATTTATGTAGAGCGCGGAAAGTTTGATTGGGAAAAATACGATATGTACCTGTGGTAAATCGAAATTCTTCGTTTCCACTATCGAGAGCATTGAGACTGGGGCTCGCCCCATGCACATCGTATTCAGTGTCAGCCATGAATTCCGATTCGGCATCTTCATTGAGTGTCTCAATGTCTCGATGTGGGTCAAGTGGGCCCAGCACCGGAGGAAGATGGTGGCAACGAGATTCGTTACTCTCATTACTATGAAAGCTGGAGGAATCAGGTATTTCACTGCCTGGTACCTCCGTTATGTTAGGCAGTGTTTGGCTATGACGCGCCCAATCTGAGCAGTCCCAATGATAACCTAAACAAGCAACGCATTAGAAAATATAACAAAATGATAACAGAAGAAGGTCTAGTAACAAGCCGAGGAAAGTTAAACAAAGCACGAAGATGGGATTAGTCAAAGCGAGAACACTTACTTCCAACGGAACGTTGGTCCTCTTCCGGACACACCGAGCCGTTCGACTTGACATAGTTCATAGTATTACTTCGTCCTCCATACAGTCTGTTTGGAACATCACAATTAACTGGACTTGATATTTTGTAGTCTGCAGGAACAAAAAATAACGAAAATAAAACTCCGAGGAAAAAACACTATCTTTATCCTAGTAAAGAAAAATTCAAAATTTCTACCGCTAAATAAGAAACGCTCAATTATTTGCCAAAAAATCTAAATAAAATGATAATATTGATGTGGTATTAGGGAACACCAACCCAAAAAATTAACACGCAAAGACTTGAAATAAAACATTTCTCCAAAGTATTTTTTTGTTGAAAACAATAATTTGTTTCTTGGAACCTTTTTCATGTTGGTATTTGTAAACTTTTAATGATGAAAATTACCAATTGAGTATTTTTTGTGTTGGCAAAACTAAACCTGAATCCGTAAAACACACCATTTCCACTTACCATTTTTGACTTTGGATTTATCGTTCAAACTCGACGCTAGATGCATCTGTTCAGCCCAGGTGGTCTTCTCCGGCTCGCAATGATTTGAGACACAATTTTGCCCCGTATTCCTATTCAAATTTCGCACATAATCTGGTGGAACGTTCTCAAGTTCATCCCCAGCCGATCCGTAACTTCTCAACGTATCTAAATTATTCAACATCATGGTCGTATTATTACAATTATACAAGGCATCATTTTGACTGGTGGCTGTATACGAGACTGGCCGTGGCGGACAAACGGGAATCTCCCTCTGATTCACTTCTAAATTACTCAGTTTTGAACCTCTCTTAAACTCGCTCATCTCATGAGGCCTCGTCGAGTTTAACACGATGTGGTCTTTTATGTTCTCATTGTTAATATTTCTGCGACGTCTTGCACGTTTGGTGTAGCATCTGCGACAGATGATGAAGAGGATCACCAAAAGGAGAATAAGTACGATGCCCACGGCAATTGCCACGAGTTCCTCCCAGGTGATATTGTAGATACTTGAAGTGATAGAAGTGGAGTGTAGTTGGCTACCACAGTAGGGTCCTGTTGTGTTTTGGGGACAGATGCAATGGAACGATCCAACATCGTTGAAACAAGTGCCGCCATTTTGACACGGTGAGGACTCGCATTCGTTCAAATCAAACTCGCAGAAATCGCCAACGAAAGCCCGACATTTGCACAAAGCTCGGTCATCCCCTTCCTCACACACTCCGCCATGTTTGCATGGATTCGGTGAACAGTACTTTCCGTACTCGCAACGTTTTCCCGACAACCGGAACAAACACTCACACGAGTAATCACCCGGAACTGTAGAAATACATTTACCGCCATTGAGACAAGGAGCTGACGCACAAGGATCCATATCTAACTCGCAGAGAGTTCCCGTGAATCGCGTGTGACAACTACACTCATAACCCGTCGTTGTTTCATGACAAGTACCACCATTCATGCATGGTTGAGACCCACACGGGCCTGGTGGTATTAAGACATTGTTGACATCACAACTAAATTCAACGTTGGCAAAACGTTTAAGAACTGCGACTGAGTTATCACCGGATTTGTGCAAAGGTACTGACATTCGTGAGATGCGGATGTCGTCCATGCATCCCGAGAAACCACGCTGGATGTCCTCAAAACCCAAAATAGATGGGTGTTGGTGCACCTCAGCTCCGAGATACATTTCGTCACTTTGTAAATTGAGGATATCGGAAATTCCGGGGGCGGAGCCCTGCGCGGTGTGTAACCCGTCGACTGTGATTTTGGCACTGTTTCTGTCGCGTTCAAGTTTAACTTCGTGCCATCGTCCGTCTGAAATGTACACTGAAGATTCCCTCACAATTCCCTCACCGCTTCCAAGTTCAAACCGGTACTGAACCGCACCATTCACAATTTCAAGAATGTTGTAATCGACTTTCCCAGCGGCGTACATCAGATTCCCAGTCGGTTGCACCGTTCGAATCCTTAAACTCAAACTCAACTGATCCTCGATCGACTTTTTGTTTATAATTCTATACTGGGAATAACTCTTCCCACTGAACGAAATGGGGTTCCTCGCGATGTAGCAATTCTGGTCGTGGCATTTAGAAATGTCGACGTCACACATAGCACCAGCAAAACCTTCGGGACATTGACAAGAGTACCCAGCTGAGGACGCATCAGGGACACAGTTTTTGTAAGGAGGGCAAGGCTCACGGGCACATTCATTGACGATGGTATCGCACTTCTCCCCACCGTAGCCTTCCTTGCACACACATTCGAGTTTTTGGCGGTGGTAAGGGGAAACAAAACTTGTGACGTCAGTTGCAACGGGGTCTACACGACCAGGGTCTAGCATATAGTGGTCTTGGCACACTCCAAAGGTACAGTAGGTGTTGCTGCACTTGAATCTGATGATTTCTTCAACTACGAGTTTGGTACTTTCTTCCAATTCTTCGAAATTGTCGTTCAGAGCCTTCTTGATGGATTCAGAAGAAAAAAAGCCTTCGTCCGGTTTTCTGACCGTGAAGAGGACATCCAAATCTTTATTGACGATATATCGCTTCGACCTGAGGGAAATGTCATCATCACTTGACGGTTGGACGCTGATAATAATCACGTCTTTGAGTCGACAGTTCATCGCGTTTCTGACAGCTCGGACAAAACCCTTCCGGTGGCTCAAAACAAACACTTCTGGACTGACTTGTCGGAATCTGATGGCGACTGAATTTTCCAACATTTCTTCAGTTATGACTTCAATGTTGATTTTGACGATCGAATGTGTGTGGAATTTGCCATCAGTCACGGTTACGTTGAGTCTATAATCACCAACGTCGAGTCGTGGTAACGCGGTTAAAGTACCATCGGTTCGGTTAATTTGGAACAACTCATGTGTCGGATACGCAATACCCACTGTTGGTGATAGAGAGTATGTTAAAGTGTCGTACTGGTCTTGATCGTTGGCATAAACTTTCCCAATGACACCTCCAGGGTATTCATCCAAGTACGAATTAATGTTGATTTCAAGCGGAGTGATAATTGGAGGATACTGCGACTCTTCGATGACCTTAACCACGACCCAAGCATCGGAAAATAGCGGCGGTATGCCATTATCAAACACTCTAATTTGCAACAAATAGTAATCTTGGATCTTGTGACTGAATTTTGTGGCGGTTCGAAGTACCCCGTCTTCCTCTAAACGGAAACTATTCCCCTCGTTGCCACGCCGGATATCGAAAGTATAAGGTTCCGTGTTTGGAGCCGTGTCCGCGTCGGTGATTTTAAACTGGATGATGGGATAACCAATCGGTTTGTCTTCTTGAATGACTGTAGTATAGTTCGTTTGGGAGAAAATAGGAGGGTTATCATTGGCGTCCGAAATTTCAATGTTGACTAAAGTTTGGCGGGAGAGTACCGGAACTCCGTTGTCTCTCGCCAAAACTTCGAGGACATAGTTAGATGTAGTTTCTCGGTCAAGTTCTTCAGCGACTGAAATGTATCCGGAATCTGGATCGACCTCAAATTGTTCGCGATCGTCGCCACGAATTATGGAATAAGTGACTTTGCCGTTGCGGTCGCTGTCGAGATCGGTGGCGATCACCTGCGAAATGAGAGACAAAGTTAGCGCTTTCTCATGTCCTAATTGATATATTGTTCCTTGAGGTAATTATGATATTAATAAAGAAATGAAGACAGAGACTAGATAGTTTTATTATTATTTTTCATAAAAAATATCTCGAGGAAGGTTTTGAAGGAAGATTCTTCGTTTTTGTGGTTTTGCTAACTCTTCCGAGTAGTAAGCAAAACCACAAAAACAAATAAAGCTTAAAACGATGTCTTGAAGTCGGGCAAAAATAACACGTTTTTTTTACAATATTAGAGAATTATTTTCAATTATGGTTGCACAATTAAATCAAGTGCGTGGAAAAATAGATGCTTTTAGTAGAAATTATTTGTTATTAAATTTAATAAATAAAAGATTACACAAAAATCAACACAGTGATTTAAAAATGACCAGTACGGTTTTAAAAATCAAATTATTTGTAATATATCCGTTTGGGAATTAATATTATAAAATTAACAAAAACAACGAAAAATACAGAGAAAATCGATGTATTATTTAGTTACAATAATGAGCAATGTAATGTTCAAAAAAATCTGTTGCGATACTAATTTAGCAGTGACAAATTTTTGTAAGTGGTCACTAAAAAAAACCAGTACATAATAGTTAATTATGTATCAAGGCACTTAAGTCTTATTTTTTATTACAAATGTGTATTTAGTTGTAGAGACTATAGTCGAAATAGCTCAAATTATAATAACTAAAATACTAACTAATATACAATATATAATAACTAATATACATTAGTTTCGATGAAATACGTTGATCTACAACACTTTCTCACATAAAAACGACAGGATGCAGCCAGTGATGACAAAAATATTGCGAGAAATGTTGCCAAAAACAGTTACGAAGTTGCATTTTATGCGACTGTTTTCAGTTACACAAAATGTTCATTGTGAAAAAAATATTTGTAGAATTAAAAACCGATACGTATGAACAGATTCCGTTAGCAATACGATTATCTCTTTATTTCAGTTTACATTAAGACAATAATTTGACAATACTGCTATTAATGTTTGCAACTAATAACACACAAAACTAATGAATACCTTTAGTGTTGATTTTAGACTCTTTAAGTCTTTACTGACGCCTTTATGTGACTTTAGTGTCGATTTTAGTCTAATTAGTCTTGCCTATCATAAAACAAAAATAAAATTAGGATGATTGGACCAGACTTTTGGTCAAAGTACATTTGCATTTTTGCCTGAAAATGTATTTTTAAATTTGGACAGACACAACTTTGCAACCAACTTGCTACCTTTTCCATTATTCACGCTTAACATTTTAACGAATTTATTGTTGTTAATTTCAAACTTTCGCGTACTTTTATGTACATACAATGTACCATTATTTAATTTCCTAATAAAAAGTGTATAAATTGACAAAAACGTCTTTTTAAAAAACATCTTTCTTTCTCGGCCCGCTTTTTCCGAATGTTTGATTCGAGCAGTATCGCCTCTGAAATAGAATCCGTTTTACGATGCCCGAGAAAATAAAGTTGTCTAAATCCCGTCGTTTACTTTTTTGCATTCTCCCGTGGTATGTAAGTTTGTGCTGAAAGGAATTTATCTAAGAATAGTCTCGTTTCTATTCTCTCGAGGCGCGAATACGCCTCATGTACAAATTACAGAATTTTGAAGGGCGTGGCTTTGGAATTTAGACATTGTGACTCACCTGGAGGATCTTATCGCCAATTTGAGCATCTTCTCGAATCCGGGCGCTGTAGGACAGCTGGCTGAAGACTGGAGCATTATCGTTACAATCCGTTACAGTGATATTCACCGTTGCGACGTTACTGAGAGGTGGGATTCCTCCGTCGACGGCTTGAATAGTAAGGAAATAGTCTTTGGCCCTCTCGTAGTCTAACATATCGGCGATCGATATAACGCCCGTCTTGTTGTTAATTGCAAATTTCTTGTGCTCGTTTCCTCCGATTATTGAATAAGTGACATCGGCGTTCACACCGGTGTCTTTACTTGTTGCAAGAACTTTAACGACTTCCGTACCCACAGCATCGATTTCCGGTACGACCGCGAAGTAATATTTGTTGGCGAATTCCGGGGGATTGTCGTTTATGTCTTGAACGTTCACTGTCAAGGTGCTCACGCTAGACAATTGGGGAGTCCCCTGATCCACAGCTTGAACTGTCAAGTTGTAAACGGCGCGGATTTCACGGTCTAAAGGCTTAGCTAGAGTCACTATACCACTATCAGATGACATTTTAAAATGATTGTTGAATGAATCAATAAATGCGTATTTGATTTTCCTGTTTATACCAATGTCGGCATCAGTGGCGTGGATTTTCGTGACTAAAGTCCCAACTTCGACATCTTCAGGTAAAGACACGGAATAAAAAGGTAACAAAAACACCGGCGGATTGTCATTAAGATCAGAAATGATTAATTCAATTTGTGACGAACACTTCCAACTTAACCTTTCCTTATCATGGACATATGCCGTTAAAGTATATTTTGATTGCTTCTCTCGATCCAAGTAAGTTACAGTTTTAAGATGGCCGCTGTCTTTATCCAATAGGAAATTATCCATACCGTCGCCAGATAAAATATATCTCAGTTTCGAATGCTCAGGACCATCATTATCAGTTGCCAGCACTGACAAAACAAATGATCCGGGTAAAATACCCTCGGAGAGTACCTGTCTGTAGCGGTACTGAAGACAATATGGTGGATTGTCTGTTGAAAAATAAAGAGTCACTGAAACACTAAAACAATTTGTTACTTACCATTAGCGTCCAGAATACTGATGGAAACATTGGTAACATCCGTGAACATACCATCAGTCACGAGAACTTGCAAGTCATAATGTGGTACTTTCTCCCGATCGAGGCCTTTAGCAACGTATATTTCCCCAGTTTGGCGTATTTGAAACTGCGAGCTTGGGTCACCCGAAATTATATAAAACTCAACCGGAGTTGTCAAATCACTATCAGCATCAACTGTGTCCAAAGTTAAGAGTACTGTCCCAGGAAGAGCGTCTTCATTAACTGAACTTTCGTAAAATCGTTTCTTGAACAGTGTTGGACTGTCATTGTAGTCTTTCAAACGAATTATCACTGTAGTCCTTGCTGAGTGTTTCGGAGTGCCATTATCAGTCGCAGTTACGTAAAACTTGTACTCCATTTTGGCCTCTTTATCGAGTTTAACCAAAGTACTAATCCAGCCAGTGTGAGAATCGATGGCAAAAATATTCATCATGTCGCCTAAATCATGGCTGAAACTATACCGGACTTCACTGTTGGCACCTTGATCCTCGTCGTGGGCCACAACTGGAAAAAAGGGTCAACAAGGGAAAGACACTCGGAGTACAAACCTTTCAAAATCGAAGTCCCTTCTTCCGTATTTTCGGCCAGATAGATAATATAAGGACTACTTTCGAACTGAGGAGCGTGGTCATTTTCATCTAGAACTTTCAATGTTACTTCAGCTAGAGCCGTCATTGGTGGACTTGAATCCGACAGGGCCAAAATACCAATTAGGTGCGAGTCTTGTGTCTCATAATCGAGAGGTTTGGCCAAGATAACTTGACCCTGATTGTCGATTTCAAACTGAGGCTTTTCGTCAAGTTCCGAGATGATTTGATACGTGGCGCTCACGTTTGATGCCATTTTTAATTTCGTAATGATGGTCCCTGGAAATTTTAGTCAAACAATTTTTAGATAATGATTAAGTGATGTGAGTACCGGCAGGAGAATTTTCTGATAGGAAATACTTCTCGTCTTTCCTTTCGAAAACAGGAGGAAAGTCTTTTGGTCCCATTATTAAAATATTGACTGGAACGTCCGAATGTTTTTCTTGTTGGCCTTTGTCAGTTGCTCTGACAAAAAACTGAAATACTTCACCAACTAAAAAGTTTTTTTTTTGAGTATTTTAGAAATATTAGTCAATTTTCGGCTTACTCCACGAAGTTGTGTCTCTTTTCAGCAAGAGGTCGCCCGTGTCCGGGTTAATTTGGAAAATTTCTATAACCTCAGAGGTTTTTTTCTCGTAAATTTGGTATTTGATTTGGGCCGCAAGCCCCTCGTCAGGGTCTACAGCTTTAACTCTCAAAAACGGAACATTGAGACTATAATTGTAATGAATGCTGGTTTGGTACTCTTTGAGGAGGAAATAAGGAGCGTTGTCATTCTCGTCAGCGACTTTGATTCGCACTGTGATAAAACCTGATTTTCCACCGCCATCAGTTGCCATAATTAAAACCTCATACATCTTCTGTTTTTCTCGGTCAAGTCGAACTTTCGTCGTTAATTTCCCTGTGGTTTTGTCAATTTTGAAAATTTCACTTAAAAGTTCCGAGTGAATCGAATAGGTCACTGTGCCAAACTCTCCAAAATCCTTATCTGTTGCTTTGACCACCGTCACCGGAAAACCACTTGGTTGATTTTCCGGCACTTGAACATCGACTATAAATTTGTCGAATTTCGGTTCATGTAAATTCGCCGGTAAGAGCTCCACTTTCAATCTTGCAAAATTTGTATAAACACCATCAGAGACGGAAACGTTCAGTATCATTGTATTTTCATTCCCGAAATTCGCCAAGTTCGTTAGTGTGATTATTCCAGTTTCCGGATTCATCGAGAACGTTTGTTGTTCGTTTCCAGCAACGATGGTATAACGAAGACTGTTCTGATCAACTTCGTCAGGGTCACTTGCTTTCACGATTGTGACAAATTGGTCTCTATTTGCGTTTATTAAAAGACAACAGCTGTATGAAGTTTGCTCGAATTTTGGAGGGTTGTCGTTCATGTCCAAAACTGTACGAAAATTGTGATTTTAAAAAACAATAATGTGAAATGTGTTACCTGTAAGCCAAACATGTGCAGTGCTTGAGAGACTCGGAACGCCTAAATCTTTAGCTACGACAATAAAATGATGCGAACTTGCTTCCTCATGGTCTAGAGATTGTTTCAAATAAACCACTCCTTCGTTTTCATCGATGTAAAAATATTCGCTTGAGTTGTTACTGTCGTTTTGAATCGAATAACTGATTTTCTTGTTAATTCCAGTATCGTTATCGTTCGCGATGACTGTGAGAACGGGAGTACCGAACTGTGCTGCTTCCGATATCGACACATTATAATTCTCTTGAGTGAATTCTGGAGGACAATCGTTGACGTCTTGTAACACTATTGAAACGGGAACTTCGGCATAAACACCAGAAACTGAATCAGTGGCACGAATTAGAAGCTCGTATTGTGGTTGTTGTTCGAAGTCGAGTTCGTCCACGACCGAAATAACACCTACGAGGAATTGTTTTATTTTTGATTTTTGAGTGCTCAAGCAGAACACTGAGTGCACAAAATTGAAGAGTGTAATTTTCATGCGAGGCTACGGCTAAGGGACATGTTAAAAAGCAACAGGTGTGCAAGCCCAAAAGCATAAATTGAAACATTAATAATTTAATGCAAATACTCACAGGGACCATTGTTACTGTCGGGGGCTGCGAAAAGGAAATTCTATTTAATTGTCATTATATTTTACTTCGGAGTCTTTATCTAATGCCATTCTTTAGGAACGACTCGACTTGAGGATAGTTAGGAAATAAACCAACACCGGTTGTAAGAATGGCAATTTTTCTATTCAAAGAAAGATACGCACCTGTGTTAAAATCCAGCGCAAATTCCTCGAGTTCGTTCCCTTTGACGATACTGTAAATCAGTTTTCTCGATAGCGGCGATTCGGCTTCGATGGAAATCGAAAGGGGTGAATGCAGTTCAACATTTTCGGGCACCACTTCTGAATAAAACTGTTTTTTAAACACTGGCATTGACCGATCAATCACTTTTACATGAACGGTCACGTCGGTGCGACAAGGTGTGATTCCTGAAACTCGCAATTAGGAATTACAGGGCAATTATCACACGCACTTGCCTTTATCGTAAGCTGCAATCAACAGCTCGTATTCCCTATTGTGGCCTTCCAAATTCTGTTTGATTTCAATATCGCCGCTCTCCCTTTGAACCTTGAACAATTCGCCGTGGCCCTTGATTAGTTCGTAACGAACTTCGCCGTTTTCTGCACTGTCTAAATCTATAGCGTGCACTTTTGCGATGATACTTCCCTTTTCATCATCGACGGAAACGACGGCGTAGTAGGGCAAATTCACAAACATTGGACAATTATCGTTAACGTCCAATATTGTCACTTTAACAATAACGTGAGCAACTCGAGGCTTCTCCCGATCGGAATAATGACTACGTGCTTCGATAATAAGCTCGTATTTATCTTGAACCTCTCGATCGAACTTTATTCCGGTTGTCCGAATCACGCCAGAGGTAAGCCCGATCGTAAACATTTTCGTCGGATTGAGAATTTTAAATTCTAAATATTCGTTTAAGGCACTCCCGAGAACGTTCACTACACAAACTGTTGTTATTTTGGTTGAATTTTCGATGATTGACCCTTCGTAGAGAGGCTTCTGGAAGACAAGACCAGAATTATCCGATTCTTCCACACGAATCAAAACTTTGGTCACACTTGAAAACTTTCCATCAGAAACACGGACGTGTAGTTTGTAGAAATGTTTCATGTTGTCAGGTTGCAGGACCGTTATTAGACCAGTCGAGGAATCGATACCAAAAATCCCGAGTTTGTTACCTTCGATTATATCAAACCTCAATTTAGTACTTTCGGAACTATCGGGGTCTGTAGCATTGACTTGGATGACAGCTACGTTTTTGTATGTTGGAAGAAGTAAAGTGACGTTGTATACAGATTGTGAGAATTTAGGAGGACAATCGTTAACATCGGTAACAACAATGTCAACTCTTGCAGTCGTTTCTGATGTTAATTTCGGATTCCCTAAATCAGAAACTTGCACATGAAACGTGAACTTGTCATAGGTTTCATGGTCCAAGAGTCGAATCGTTCGAATAGCACCAGTTGTCGAATCAATTTGGAAGTACCTTCTTGGCAAAATATCGATAATATCGTAATGCAAAAGCGCATTCATTTCTGAATCAGCATCAAAGGCTTTAATGACTAGAGGTTCACTCGTGTTTGTTAATATCAACGAACTTATGGGAGCCGCTTCACTAATAGTACCAGAATAATTCGCCTGTAGGAACCTCGGAACGTTATCATTCTTATCCAAAATGTGGATGATAACGTTACAAGTGGCAGAAGCAGAAGCCTGGAATAAAGAATTTCAAAAAAAATTGACCCACTTTTTGGTACTTACCATATTTGTGGTTATTACAGTTAGGTTGTAAAACTTGTTAATTTCGTAGTCTAAGTACTTTTGCGTTGTGATAACACCGGTACTTGGACTGATGAGGAAAGCACCATCAGTGTTACCATCAATAATTTCAAACTGTAGTGATGAGGTACTTCTTACACTCAAGTGAGCTACGTAACTACCCAAAGGCTGATCTTCGTAAATTTCTGCAGCTATCTCCTTCCTTGTGAACCGTGGAGGGGCATTATCGGCCATTGTTAGCATAATATGGGCTGGTACCGTTGAAAATAAGGCCGGTTGGCCGTGATCTACAGCCTTGATTCTGAGCATATACTCCGAATTTGTTGTCATATCCAATTCGCGAGCCACTGATATTATGCCAAGCTCAGGATCAATGGCGAAAACATTCCCGAAGTTACCGGACACTATGGAATAGGTAATTCGGGCATTTTCGCCCTTATCATGGTCGACGGCAAAAGCTCGCAGTACTGCACTTCCGACCACGGCCGATTCGTACACTTTCCCGACTAAAATTTGCTCTGAAAAGTGTGGCACATGATCGTTGTGATCGTGTACGATAATTCTGACCCTGGCGTAATTTCTCTTGGCTGGGGTTCCCCCATCTCGGACCATAACGGTCAAAATATGCTCGTCTAAGCTCTCCCGATCTAAATTATCGGTTAAATAGATGACTCCAGTAATGGAATCAACTTTAAATGTTTGTAACGAGATTATGTTTCGAGCCGAGTACAGACTGTATATGAGCTTGCTATCATCATCTTTGTCGGAGGCTCGTAACCGGAGGATTTCTGTGTTCACAGGCACGGCTTCAGAAATTTCAACTTTGTATGTTGATTCAGAAAATTCAGGCCTGTGGTCGTTTATATCAATTACTGATACATTCAACTGCGTGTAAACAGTGTGTACAGAATCGCTGACGCTTATATTGAGACTGTACTCGTTCTGAGTTTCGTAGTCGAGCTTTTGTGCTAAGAGGATATTTCCGGTCTCTTTGCCAATGTAAAAGTCGTTTCCGGGGTCGCCACCTAGAGTCGTAATTAAGTGGCTTGCAAAACAAAGCCGGAAAGTGTGACTTACCAACGATATCATACCACAAAGTGTCGTTATCTTTGTCGTGAGCTTCGATTAAGGCAACTAAAAAGCCGATTTCGTCACCTTCCGTCAACTTGACGGCTTGAGGAGGCTTCAGAATAACAGGAGGATGTTTCGATTTTAAAGGCACTGAAATAACGTGAACCGACACTTTACAGATGCTGCTCTTTGAGGTGTTTCCACCGTCGGTTGCTTTTATCTGTCAATAATTGCAGTTAAATCCCTGACTTAAAGAGTTTTAAAGCTTACGTTTAACTCGTATTCTTGATTGGGCTCGAAACCCTTCTGCGCGTATACCATTCCGGTTGTATTGTCTATTTTAAATTTTGATTTGCCTTTGCCCGATTTTATGCTGTAGTGGAGCTCGGAGTTTGGACCGGAGTCTCGATCAAAAGCTAGAACCTGAGGAAACACGTGACAAAGGTCAAAATAAACTAAAGTCTGCTAATTTTGAGCTTTGTTAATTGAGACTTGCAGCGTTTTTCGGCTCAAAGCGATTGAAATGTCTTGAAAAGAACCGGGAAGACAATGTGTGAACGAGAATTTACATTTGCTGGTCATTGACATTTTTAGCAAAGTAAATTCAGTTCACATAAAACCTTGCCCCTTATTTGAATTTGATTAAACCTCGGTGACAAAACTTAAAACATTCTGATTGAATGATGGTAAACCTTTTTGGGGTATCAAATGTGGTGCACGTTGCATGCTGCACTTGGTCATGCATTAAGTTGATGCAATGTGTGAGTTATTCCAGTCGATTTAGTAAAAAGTTCTGTAATCACAACCACTCATGCAATAGGAACACAGACAATCTTCTAGTTAGTTTTCACGTATGATGAATGACAATCCCTCTTACCCGGAAAACCCGATCGAGGTCTGCAAGATCTGCAGGACTATGTGAATCCCACATATCATCGTCAGTAGCGGCGTCGGCGCCGTCGAAATCATCTGGGCTGTCATTCTAAATCGTTAAGAGAATTTTAATGACGACTCAACAAGTTGTGCTTGTTTTATCGGTATTTTCCCCACGAGAATTTGGCATTAAATTTCAATTGAATCGACGCAAGACGGGTGATGGAGCAAAACATTAAAACAAACAACGAGGAAAGTTGCATATGTCATGTGCAATGCACAGCTTACAAGTGGATAATTCGTTATCTACCTAGCAGTGACATTAACATCTAGTTCAGTCTAGAATATGCCATGTGAGATAAAATATATAGAGGAGGGAAATGGACACGACTAACGACCCGAATTTATACAAATCGAATCGAAAAATGTTAAAAATGTTAAATCAAAACAAGTTAACCTGTCCAGAAAACATACTTTGGCATAACCAAAAACGAATTTCTCAAATGGATAAATTTTATTTTGGGAAGGAAGTAAACAAGTGTTCTTACCTGAAAGACAGCTTGATTGAAATCGGCGCTCGCAGGTATTTGAACGTTGTAAGAAATCTGCTCGAATTCCGGCGCGTTGTCGTTGATATCGTCGATTTTGACAAAAACGTATGTCGTTGACGACAATGGAGGACTCCCATTATCACTTATTTGAACCTACAATCCAGTAAAAAAGTCATATTCCCACTTTTCCCCCTTAAAACGGGACTTAAAAAGTCATCAGCATTAGACTTAATGTTCCCAAGTTTTACAAAGAGCGTTAAGAGAAGCCGACAAGGATCACAAATGCCAAATGATCCTTGCATATTTTAAAAAGACGCTGTTTACGACTCGAACTAATCTTGTAATTATCAAAATCTAATAACAAGAAATCGGTACCGCTTTGACGACCTTCTGAATATGTGCAAATACGAAATAAATTATACACAATCAAACGTAATTATCTTAACCTTATCTCTACTTAATTGGAATTACCTAGAACTCGATAATTTAGCGGAGAGATTTAGAAAGCACGAGGCGAATCATGTAATTCGTTAGAGTGACTTAATGCTAAGCTTAAAACGTGTCTCAATCAATCTACTACACATATTTGGGCTTTATTAAACTCGATCAAATTAAACACAATTTACTGCTTGGCGTAGCTGTATTTTCGACTTGTGTATTTAAAAAAAAAATGAAAAAAAAAACTCAAGAAACTCTAAATCTAAGTCTTAACAGAAAATTTGTTATATAAAACCCCCAAAATAAAAATAAAATGACAGGTCTATCCTTACAATTAATATTAATCGCCGAATGTTTCCGTAGAAGGCTATTGAAAGCAGCTAAAGTAAGTTTAATCATCCAACATCACCTCCACCGGAATTCGGTACATTAATCTCGTCAAATTTAAATTCAGACGGTCGAGTTTATTTCAGCCTCTAGCGGTTAACGTGTTTGCCAAGTTTTCTTTTTCGAATACAAAGTTAATTCAAATGAAAAAGTTTCCTTTTGAAGTCTTAGAATTTTTCGCCCGGCGCATCCACCAAAATTATGGTTACTCATAGTTGCGTTTTATTTTATTTATCGGTTGACAATCTCAGAACGCACGCACGGCATCGTGTGGTTTTTAGGTCGGTTTAATGATGATCACCTTGAGTAAAAATATTAGCAGTGATTTGTCAAAAGTTGCGGTTAATTGAGTCGAGGATCGTTAAAATATCAATCAAAGGTGGTTTCGGCGAAATGTGCTCCTTAAGGACCGGAATAAATTGGGCAATAAAATATACAAAGCTAGCGGTTTACGTGACTCAACTAATTAAACACATAAACAAAATAAAACAACATCCTCGCCGAGAAGACAATTTAGTGCTTACCTCTAAAATGTGCTCGTCGAGAGTCTCTCTGTCTAGTTTCCTTGAAGTTGTTGTGATAAGACCTGAAATTCAACTTCGAATTAAGGCAAGAATTAAAAATATATTGATTTAGTAAATTTATTGATAGATAAAATTTTCAACTTTAATTAATTTGCTCAAGCTACAAAGCGCTAAGTGGATTAACATCAAGACGAAAATGTTCAAAGTTTTTTCTTCAAAGCTAAACGCTCCATTAATTCCCAAATAATAACAAAGAAGATTAAATTTCCAGTGTTTGAAACAATTTCAGAAAGTTTGTCGTGATTTTGCCACAAAAAGATCGTCGCAAATAATCCAACTTAACCAACATTTCATTTGAATAATATAAATAATATCAATGCTTTATAAACGTACTAAAACAATGAGATTTAAAAAATGTGGTGTGAAATTACACTCGATTCGTTAAGACTTATAAGGAGTTGATTGAAATTAAACGTAAGTATTTCAGTCGGTAGTTATCCTGTTTTCAGTGTCTATCCTATTTCGCACATGGCTAAATCCTTCCAGTTGGAAATCGCGATATAGAAAGTGAATCCGATGTTTGTCTTACATGCTGCTACACGATCTGATGTGTAATTTGTTATCGGATTGCGCAAAGTCTAATTAAAAGGCTTCCAGTTATCTCGTGACACAAAGTACGTGTTCATGAAGCAACCGACAAACACCTCAACAATTTGTTTGTAAATTTGGTTTTGAGATGCAACTTGGGGTGAAATTGAGACGTAAAAAGACAAACAACGAAAGTGTCAGCATCAATTGTGGGCGAACTAATACGAGTTCTGTGAAAAGCGCAAAAACCGCAGATCGCGGCAAAGTTAACAAAAGAAGAAAACCCTAAAAAGTAACTTGTCTGATGGTGTCAGGAGCAGGCAGGTTACACAACAAGCTTTCATAAGTTTTTTCGGTTTTCCTTTTGTCGTTCTGTTATTAGTGAGTTTCGTGAAGAGTATAATTATGAATGAAAAATCGAGGATTCGTTTCATATTAGATGACTGTAAAGGGGCCAACCAAACCACTTTTGAGGCGTTTATAGTAATCATCAGATTGCGTGATCGATAGCGATAGTTTTTCCTGAAACTCCAAATCCATATTCCAGATTTCTGCACATTAGGTAGCGAAAATTTTATCGTTTCACCGATTTCAATAATCAAACAAAGGGGTCACGATAATCGGGAAAAATTTAATACGTTATGTAGATTCGTGCGATTTTTTCATTAACCACAAGAAAATCTTAACACGAAAAACACAATGTTAAAACGCCGCAATAACCGAGATTATAGTTTTATTACGGACTAGCTTGTAATCTAGGAACGGACTATGAAAAGCGAATAAAACTTTACAGAAAGAATAGAGCTGGCGAAATTAAACCGAGAATATAATTTTCTAAATATGAACATTAACTTTTACAACATAATTAAATTACTGCAAGTTCCAGACTGGCATAAGACACAATTTGAGAATCATCGACAAATGAAATTTTAAATTTCCCCAAGTTTTCTTACAAGATTGAGTTACAGCAAACTTTTACAACCCCGTGTGTTGCAAGCCGACCTCTATTTTTGAAAATTGACTCACGTACACGTGTCTGCCCTCTGGTAACAACACAAAGCATGTTAAAAAATTAAATATTTGTTTACCAATGTTACAAACGAGTGACACCATTTCAAGTCGTGTGCATTCAAACTTTTGCATAGGAAATCCTTTCAATAGCTTATGTTATTGTAGGTTTGCCGATTTTCAAGAAACTGATAAATTCTTGATGTTGGATTTTTGTGTGGCTTTGTGAGAAACGGAATTATATTCATGAGGTAACAAGAAGTTACAGGAAGCCTGTAACAAGGTGGTATTTGTTAGCTTGGCGATATATTGACGTATGAACTATCAGGAGGATCGGAAATAATTAAATGGCTGAACGGTGAATGTACTATGATCAATAATCAGAAATCTTTTTCTTCGTTTGTGTGCTAGAGGTAGTAAGTAGAGAAGTCGCGCATTTCAATCGTCTCCTATTCATTGAATTTAAATCGTAAGTCAAGTCTTTATTTCAGTGCACTTCAATCAAGCGTATTATTCGCACGAAAAAAGCCAAATTTTATTTTGCATCATAATAAACGGAAAGAATTCACTCGAGAAGCATGTAAACAAATTTATTCGTCAAGTTGATTTTTCCGTCCTTGTTGAATAAAACACCTCAAGCGCTAAGTAATAAAATTTTTATTATTTTATTTTAAATTCTGTGGCACCGTAACAAATAATTTATCTAAACGCCCAAAATTAAATATTAAGAAAATCGTTGGATAGTACGAGTAGATATCATGTATCGCTTCAACTCGCTCTAACGGTGTTTTATTAGTCTCACTCAAGCTTTTTAATTATGCCACTAGGCATGCATCGGTATTCGAACGGTACAAGAAAATTGCATGTCGTAATAATAATAACAATCATCCCTCTTTTATGAAACTTGTATAGCTGTCAATCAAAAAACATGCGATCTCGTGAGGAGTGCAACATCCTATGTAGACATTATAGAGGTGAATTGCGCTTGATGCATAAAATGTTCTAATTTCAAATTTTGTGGATTTTTATGAAAACGTAGAGTTAGTCAAGTCGCGATAAAGCGTTAATTATTCTGAAACCGGAAAGTATCTTTTGGTTGTGTGTATGCACGCGTTAAAGCTGCAACAGCGCTTTTTGTTGAGATATTTGACTTTAGTGCTCGCTTCATTGCAGTTTCATTATATTCGCTCGTTTATCATAAAGTTTTGTTTTCACAAAGGTAATTTCTAAATACCAGACATGACAAAACCTGTATACTTATGAAATCGCTAAATTGAATAAAGTACAAGTTTATTGTAGCTTTGTTGTCAAAAACAGAGGAGCTTTCAACGTCTAAAGCTGGCAATAGTCTGCTAATTTCGATTATGCCTTTAGTAATCACGTGTAGCTTTCAGTTGCGTTTGTTTCAGTACAAAACTTCAGACAAAGGCGATAAATAATTATTAACAAAAGGTTCGGCGAACGATTAGAAATTTTCAAGTAATTAACTTGAGGGAGGGAGTTTATGTAAAGTTTGAAGGGTGTATTTTAGAGTTGAAGAAAATGTTGATGTATGAGACTAAGTAAGTGACCCGAGAGGAACCGGCCAAATTATCTCCCATTCGGAGTTTGTCGGCTGAAATCATCCCTCAACGGTGACACTGCAACTAAAATATATCATTTCAACTCAGACAGATGTTCCCCCATTATCACTATTGTTGTAACACTGTGATCAATATCGTATTTCTTACACAGTTTGTGAAAGTCGCTTTATAGGTCATACATTTAACGACTCCATATAAAATTATATTTTCATATCTCTGGCTTAATATTTAAAATGCCATAACTTGTTTATCACCAATAATAATGATACAATATAATATTCTCTCCCATAAAATTCCAGATAAAACGTTCTCCTGCTACTCATAACAGTATTAAGATAAATGAGAAAACCAAGAATCTGTCAGACGATACGACTTTATTATTTCTTCTATCAATAAAATCGATTTAAAAAGTTCGGTTTTTAGCAGACCTCGGCCGGAATATCTGACGTGTGAATGCTCGAAATATTGGAAATTTTGCCGGTTTCTGCATTTTCCAACAAAATTGAGGAGGTTTTCATTTGATTTATTTGCGGTTTATCGGGAGGTTTAAACACTGCTCTAACAGGCTTCCTAAAAAGTTCAGCGTGTCCTGAAGAAGGTGTAAGGGTAACTTAATAAGCTTACACGAAAGTAATGAACCGAACATTGGCCGAGATAAAACCCGGGTCCTGCGTAATCCTGAGTGTAAGTTGCTGTTTCATTTGCATCGAGGTGGGGCTAAAAAATTGATCGGAGGACAAAACAATTTTAATTTTAAAAGTATTCCACTTCCGAAAAAGCACTTTAACTTTTAGCAGATTTCAATTATTTATACATCACCCGTAAGTTAATTAAAACAACAAGAAGCGATTCGTTTAATTCTGAACAAGATAAAAATCTTGTAAAAAATTACCTGTTGAAGAATTTATGGAAAAGAACCTCTCTGGACTTCCCGAAGTAATTTTGTATGTTATTTTCTGATTAGGGTCCTTGTCCTTGTCGCTGGCTCGTATTTGAAGGACCGAGCTTCCGGCTGGACTATCTTCAAGGATTGTAGGATAGTAAACCGCTTCATCACTTAGTGGAACGTTGTCGTTTTCATTTAGAACTTCTATGTATACCTGAGAAAAAAAAGAAAAAAAGCTTCAGTTGGGGGAATAAAATTAATCGATTATTTGATTGAGCTGAAAGAATCGTGGAGTTGGTTCGTTCATTTGCCTTGGTAATACATCCGCCTCAAGAAGAAAAAATTCAAAGAAATGTTTCCAGGTCATAGAGTATGAAACTAGAAAAGCAATAAGGTTCAAAAGCTCACTTCCTGTTCCATCAGGTAACAAAGGCTGTAATTTCCTCGTCTAATTCAAGTTGGAAATGTAACGAAAGGCCAAACAAAGTATGCGGAGGCACCGTTTGCGCGGTCTACAATTTAACCAAGACCTATTCTCTCCGAGACGCCCGTAATTACAAAAATCGCCAAACTAATGGAAAGGTTACTTCCCAACTAGATCAAAAGTAATCAGAGTTAAGAGCCTAATTGATGTTTCCATTAACGCCATTTGAGAACTATTTACGATTTTGCACAAAAAAAAAAAAGATTAAAAAAATAAATAATTGTGAAGGTTGAATGGACGATATAATTATGCAAATGTAAATAAAAAATTTGCGTTGGGGAAAAGGAATTCATTTGGGTAAATTTCCAACTAAATTTAAAGAAAGAACTGAGAATATTTTATTTTTTAACCAAACATTTAAGCTTCCCAGCTATATAAAATTTGACGGAGAGTATTTTAGGTTCAATTTTATCACCAGAGGCGGAATTTTTATGCAAATCTTCCTAAATCCGTCCATTCATTCCTGGACACACAACTCTAGCAAAAATTATCAAAAAGTTAATAAAAACATAAATAAATGTCTTTTCGAGTCATAAACTGAGAAAACTGAATAATCAAGATAAAAACACGTGCTTAAAATTACACTAATGACAATCATCCGAAAATCGTGAACGCCAGCTTCCAGAAGAAGCGTAATGAGCCGAAGAAAAATCTGCTTATCATTACAACGGCGCAAACATCAAAGTTATCGACTCGTTCGGTAATCACCACAACGCATTATAAATACATAGCTCACAAAGAGCAAAAAAGTTCCCCTTCAAAGTACTTTACCGCTAATCCCTTTTGGTTATTTCGAAAAAAATTAATTATAAAGCCCCATTTAAGTAGGCAGATTGAGGAAGATACCGAGAAGATAAATGTAAGCTACGGCCACACTTAATCCTCATTTAAGGATGAAATCAGGTGATTACAAAAGTTTCACTCGGTTGAAACATCCTGTCGGCGGACGACATTACCTAAAATTGGAGTACGGCTAAGTAATGAAGTGCTCAGATTGAACGGGTCAAGACGAGGAAAAATATTACGAAAAAGTTTTACAACTTGTCGTATATTTATGTGCGCAAACAGAACTACAAAATATGTCTTGGAAACTTGCAAAAACTCAGAAGTAAAAAATTCATTCAAAACTAAGCCGGATGAAACTTTTAGCTGGGACGAGATGGCAGATGAGTACACTGCTTCGCAATCTTGTTTTGTGCTTCTGCAAACATCCTCTACGAAATCGCAATTTACCCCTGATTATGATATTCCAATTATTGTATTTTTAATTTAGCGTTTAAGACTTGTAACTTTTTGCACTTACAGTTGTGGTTTTAAAACAGCTGTAAAAAGGAATAGCATCAAGATGTAGCATAAACGCGTCGGTCGGTAATTCGGGTCAAAATTACACGTCTTGGTAATTATCCCATTTTCCTAATTACAGCAGAAGTGATGCAAATTCTACGGAATTTTGTTGCTGAACTTGTAGTCTCATTAGGACTGGTGAAGTATATGTTAGGGGTCATTCTTGGGTCATCTTCGTTGTTAACACCCTCGTATTCCGTTCAGAATCACTTTGTAGTTGTATAAAGCTGTGCGCTTGCAATTACTCTAAATCTTAACAAGTCTGCCCCAATAATAAAATTTATATTGTCACATGCTAATGAAGCGTGCAACTTTTGCGAGATAAGGGCGTAATAAAGTGGAAACATGTTGAAGCGTAGGGCACAGAGATATTTTCAGGCACGAATAGTTGACAACATGGGAGGGCGGCTTGGGGAAAGCATCCTGAGGTGCGGCTTCGTCTTTCCCGCGGAATGCGTTTAACTTAATTAGAGCAATTTTCACGGTAAACTTATGCTGAACGGTACATTACTATTTCGAGATATAATTGGTCGGTGATATATCGCGCGATTTGATTTATTTCGCCCCCTTTTGCTTGAGGAACGAGGCGTTAACAACTTCTTGTATCATCAATTAATTAGGGATTAATAAACACTCGGAGAGCTTTCCTCGAGATGTATCGATCAAGGTTTTCGACGAAGTTAATCTTGTAAAAATGTTATTTCGTGTCTAGCTCAACGGTAAAATGAAAATATTTTTTATCAGGGATGAAAGTTTTTCGCCGAGTTCGTTTACAGATAAAAATTTAAGTGGCCGCTGCTAATGTCGTTAAAAAACGGAGCAGCAATAGAAAACTGATTAAAAATTAATCAACGAAAGAAAACTGGTTAAGAAGAATTAAAAGATTTCGGAATTTTAATCAAGTGCATATTTGAATACATTTTAATTTATAGCAGATGTTCGTTTTTAAAAACGGCTGCGAAAAATTACTTTTAATTATTGTTGAAAGAAAGTTTAAAACAAATTTAATTCGTACTCGATGAAACTCCATTAGAAGTCGTAAAAATTTAATTAGAAACGCCAATATGCCCGCTCTCACAAAAATTATCAATTACTGGAGAGATATAAAAACTGCCGGAAAAGAAGAGATACGAGGAATTTTAGGTATTTTACTCTTGAAAAAGATTACAAATCGAATGTTCTTATCAAAAGCCAATGAATAACCATTCAAGCCCGGGCTGCTTCTGCTGAAACTATAAATTTATTGCGAGGAACACGGAAAGAATGAGAAAACACACAAAATAAAGAATTTTTATTAGGCACAAAAGATGACAAGATAGACCCAAATGCTCTCACAAATATCTACGATCAAAAACTAATCGTCAAACTTCCCACAATCAAATAAATAATAATTGATGAGTCTTAAAAACTCAGTCACGTATTCGTTTAAAGCCAAAATGTAGCCACTCGAATGTTTAAAATGGAATATCCGAAAAGCACGAACGTTCGTGAAATATGAAAATATATAATATAAATTCTTTTAAATTCGTTCAAAACGAATTCGTGGTTTCTATTCCCAAAATTAAAAATCAAATTTTGGAATTTGCATTCCGGAAACTCGTCTATTCACTTATTAGTTTTCAATGAATCCCGAATTTAATTTTCTCGGCGTTGTCCAAAGTCCTGAAAGCAAGGTAGATCTCATTTTCCATATAAATGAGAAAAGTATTGCATTGCCCGTTGAAGAAATTTCAGGTCAAAATTCAAGCACATACAAGTTAGTAAAAAGTCTTAAAAGTCTAATTAATTAAACGTTTAAGGAAACAATTTACGACGCCAGTGTCGAGAATTTTAAATAGTTCCAAGGTTCGTGTAAATCATGCAAGAAATATGTTCAATGTAAACAAACAAAGGTCTTATTTAAGAGAAACTCCCCGAGAAAATTCAACCGACAGGGAAACCTATATTACAATTATGCAGTCTGGCAGAAACCGCGAAGTTTGTGACAAATTCATACCATATATTTGCCTAAGGGACGGATATCTAAAGAGAACGATGCCCATTCAACCGCCAGAACTTTATTTCCACTTTACCGCACAGCCTTTATAGTTCGGTCTTGCCTTGGTAATGCAGAAACAATTGATTTTTACTTTACGGCTAGCTCAAAACGATGATTCTCTCTTTATTAAAAATAATTAAAACGTGTAGTAAATAAAAACACCAAAACATTTTATGTCGCTTGGCTTTAGGTGTTCTGGTAAAATCTTCCTTTTTCTATTCATCACCCATAACAGGCTTCAATTGAAAAAATAATTTTTCTTTCGATTTAAATTGCATTGGGCCGAGCTTGAAACGCTTTTGCCGCCACAATTATGCAAATACTATTAAATTATTACGTCACGTAACATCGCAAACCTTAATGCGGTTTGTTATAATAAGCATTTAAGCTTGAGAGCATTTGAATGCATGAAAGGTCGAGCTTCTATTCATCCAAAAACCACCATCATGTAAACTTTTCACCGTGTGTTGCTAATAAAACACAATACTTTTAAAGTAATTAACCCTTATCAAACATAAAAGCAACCTACATTAAACATGTATGTTCCAAGAACTAACAATTACCTCAACACTGGAGTACAAAGGGACAACTCCATGATCCTGTGCGAAAACAGTGAGCCAAAAATGACTTTTCGTCTCGATGTCAAGGACAGCTAAAGTCCTGATGATTCCTGAAACAGAATAAATAATGTTAGTGAAAAAATAATTAAGTGTAGAGTTTCTCCCAGAGAGAGGAATGTTTCAAGAGAATACAAATTTTATCATAGGAAGATGCTCTTGTACGAGTATGCAAAACAAGATCGAGAAAATAGGGGTTTAAGAGGATGCGAGCATTCGTCGCGGCGCGCATATCCTGTCTTTGTGATAAATGGAGTTGGGGTGTATCATTGTTAAGTGATATGTTAAAGTAATTTAGCGAATCGATAAAATGTTTTTTGTCTGAAAGTGGAAAGCTTCAGTCGTGATTGTTATAAATCCTCTGTTGGAAATACGTTGGAATTCCCTCAAAAACTCCTTTGAGTGCGTTTAAAACATTAAAAAGGCAATTGAAAGCCATTAGTCTCGAGCCTTGGCTTGTGAAGCAATTTTAAGGCGTACAAACATGTTAGTTCCGCACACACAGATGAGTTCAAAGCAACGTTACAAATCGAATTAACCCCGTATATGGAATATAAAGCGCACACCTATACGATGATTCCTCCAAGATTCACTTATTATTTACATAAACTACAATCTGCATCTGTTTTGATGCAACGATGGTTATTTTACAGTTCCATTAAGAAATTTCTGATCTAATGTTGTATACTGTGCAGTCATGCGTTTAATGACCGCGCGGTATTCCTCTCATCAATCAAATTTCCCGATGTTACCCCAAACAATGCTTGCATCCTGCAAAGCAAGAAACCGCCGACTCAGTCGAAAAAATCACACAAAAAATTGTGACACTGCAGCGTCTTCTGATAGCAGAAAGCTATTGTGGTGATTTATGGTTCTAGCATAAGTTAATTATCATCAATTAGTGTTACAGATACGCACAACATGCATTTCGGTAAAACGAAAGCCATTTGCAAAAACAAATAATATTTTTTAAATCAAGAATTTGACATTTTGAATATGTTTGCTTCCCCATGTCTAAAATAGCAGGCCATAAACAATCTAAAATGTGTCCCTCGAGACAAAATTCTAAATATATTTAGAAAAAAATAGCTCTCCCTGGCTGATCCTCTTCTCGACTAGTAGGACCTTCTTAGTTTCTCTTTGTGTGATTTACAACCGAAAACTTTTATATTTTATATTTGAAATTAGTTTGTGGTTCACTTCACCTCGTGGAGAAGTCTGATAATTCAGGTGTTTCATGCAAAATTACGAATCTGGAATATCGTGCACAAGCAAAGTTTTATTGTTTTCTTGTTGTTTGAACACAAACTAAGAAAGGTATAGCAAGTTGTGCAATGCATCACGTTTTGAAAGACGAAATATGATTCGAGACAAATTTATTATAGTCACAAAGACATGGGTTGTAGTTGAAATTAGGTGCAGCAAATTGTAGAAAAAGTGTCGATCCGAAATCTGAGGTAATCTTATTCGGAAAAAAGTCCGGGCATTTGAAATATATCCGGAAAGAAGCATGCACTAATAGAGAAGACGACAGATAAGTGAGTGTAATCCAAATCGGAGAAGAGGCGCCGTAAAATACGTCCTCTTCTCTTCTGTGACGAGCATACGCAGGGAATAGCACCCCGGGGACAGGTACAGTGTTGCAAACCGCAAGAAAAGTTACAGAACAGAATGGTTTTTCGATAGTGTCTGCTGCAGTGACGTTCTATTTAAAATTAATCGGACTGCGAATGTCATAAATATGCTCGTGTGTGTTATTGACGTGAAATGATAGGCTTCGAAACTTCTCGAAAACTACTTTGCATTATTATCCACTAAATTATCCGCCCGTAAGAAAACTTCAAAATGGGTGCCTTGTGGCGTGACTGACGGCTGTGGTAACGTGTTGACAACTTGCTTGTTCCGCAATGTATACGTGCTTCCTATTACCTCTAATCGCATTTGCCGAGCCCAAACTTCAATCAAAATCATTACTGAATCAGCATCCAAATAATAGGGATGGCGCATTAACATCAAGACTTAACAATATTGCCACTAATAACCCCTTCACGGACCCAAGAAAACATCGAAATTTAATCTTGTTTGAAATATGGCGCTGCAGATTTCATATTTCAGCATATTTTTTCCACGGGGTGAGGCTGGTGGAAGCAATAAGATTTTTTTAATTCGGACCACGTCCCTCTAATTTCGTTGAAGACCAAATTGTCTATGTTCCCTTGTAACCCGGGTATCCTTTCTTTTTTAATTAAAAAAGTCGATAACCAATAACAATATCTATTAAGGTACGCCGGAACATCTCCAAGATTGACCCAAACCGAAACTACTTAATGAAACCTTCAAATACAATCTTTGATAAATTACTCAAAAATCAAATTACAATCTAGTGGAAGATACTGGTTCTTAAAATTTGATTCTAGTAGATAAAGCTAAGAAAATTGGAAAATTTGAATGCCTTTTCTGTCAGTCTCCAAACAGCGGTTGGCTTCCCTTTCAAAAAATCGAAGTGAAGCGAACGAGTTATTTATAAAACCAGGTAAAAGGTGAGTAAAAAACACAAATGATCCAGAACTAAGCTCTGTTTTGTTGCTGACATTGCCATTTCATTCAAAGTTGCGAAATGTTTGGAGTAAGAAAATCCTCTTTTATCAGTGATGAATTCATGAATTCTATTTTTAGTAAAAATATACGATTCCATCAAAAGCAGATGTTCCACTCTCCCATTACAATTAAAACTGATTGTAACAGTGTAATTCAGCAAGTAATTAAAAAGTACAAATAAGAAAGTGTAAAAGTAGTGAATGATAGCCACCCTTAGTGAAAATTTTAATTAAAAAAGAAGTGAGGAGAAGACTTTTCGTTCATGAATCGGTAAATCTTGTCGACTATCTTGTCGGAACCATAGGTGGAATAAATCACCAAGTTGTACGAAATTCTAAGACTGAGGAAATATTTTACAACTATTTAAATACGTTTTAGCTTTATCTAAAAATTGATATTTCCTCCGGAAGTAATTTGATAAACATCAAAATGATAAATGTAGGTAAAGCCAGTTTTAAAAATGTGTGATTAATAGCAGCAGGAGAAAAACGGTAATAAGAAGGGTGTTACTCCTAAACCAGCTCCGTTATTTATAAATCCTGAAAAATGTCGCCTAGTAAATTAAACGTCTACTTGTTCTAATTAGGATCTTAATCGTGAACTATGACACGACAAGAAATGTAAGTTTCTGAGGGATAATACTGTTAGCGCCCTGCCAGCAGGAGAAATTAAAGTAGGCACACTAGCCGAGTATCTGTCAAATCCTGGCCACAATAATTTTTATTTCCTTGGCATTTTAATCAGTGGTAGTGCGTCTTACACCGTTGTTCCATTTAGCAGATGGCACCGTTGTAAAAGTACTTATTGCAGTGCTCTTTCATTATTTTCGCATTTAACCTGCAATTCGTTTTGGACTTGAGGATTTAAATTGCAGGATAATATGACGTGGGCTGGTTTTGCATGTGTAGATGCACTTTGCATGAGAGGGTGGCAACACGAACCGGTTGTTCATTTGAGTGCAGAGTGATTGGCGACAACTCGTATTTTATTGCAGGAATGGCATAGGGTAGAAGATACACAGGAAAAAAAGCTGAAATATGGGCGAGTTTGTCTCACTCAGAGAGAACAATTATGAATTGCAAAAAGGTGGAATTTATTGGGCAATTGTGGGTCTTTATGGCAAAGGTATTATAATATTTTGTCTGTGTTTAAGGTAGGTTCGTGATGGATGGGTGCACTTTTTCTTGGAAATTCCCAGCACATTTTTTTCCAGTAGGAGAATAGTTCACGAACCATTTCACAATAAAATAGCGGGCGTTATTCAAAACGCTTGCACCATGAATGTATTAAACATTTTGATTCATTCAAATACGGAATTTAAGCTGCTTTTGCATTTTCTTATGAAAGCTTCGACTTGAAATTACATGCCTTTTATAGAAAAATATTTCCGTTGTAAGCACATCTCTATGAGAATTCTGACTCAAGAGAGTAATCCTCGTTTTTCTCTTTAATTATTATTAAATCTGATTAATGCAAGCATCAGCAATTCTGAAACGAGACTCAGGCTCAAAAAATTAATTTAAATTCATAGAAAAGTCATTATACCCAAAAGTTAATTTAATAAAGTTTTTTCATTCGGCTTAGATGACAAATTAAAAGTGTTTAAAATTCCGGAACCATTTAGTCGTTGGTATGACTAATTGTTATTGCTTTTAAAAATTTAACGGTCGAGTCAGTCAGTTTGGAGCTAAATTGTGGAAGGTTTTTCCGAAAAACTAAGCTTAATTGCGGTCATAATCCGATATCATCTTGTAATCAACAGCGACAAAGCCGCTTACACCCTGACAGATGAAATATTATTTTTGCCCTTTTTTCCCCCCCAAAACTCTTTTTAAAACACGTTAGTTTAAGCGCTTTTTGACTTATGGAACGGCTCTCAGTTCCTCATCCTAATGTATATGCAAATTTGCGCCTTGTTTTTGCAATTATTTTCTATTCTGGCGAGCTGGCGATGATCTACACAGTTTTGTGTTTGCTCCAACAAACCCCAAATTTACGCGTTATTTCACACTTTTTTTGGGAGATGAAAAGTCGATGAGAAAATAGGTCTCGAAAGTGGTGACGAGTGGAGCAATAAAAATAGAATTTGCAAATCGCAGGTCGGAAGTGACAAGCTTGGGTCAGTTTATCACTTGCATCAGTTCGTGTAGTATCAATAGTGATATAAAAATAAAATATAGGTTTCAGACTGGATCAGCTTAGAGTCCGAAAGTGAAATATTTTAGTCTTATCACCTTTTTATCATTCGGACATCGTTTGACCGGCAGACTCCTGAATCACAGGACCTCCTGATTTATGCTTTGCTTGCGTTTCGGGTAGGACTTTTATATGGGCGCAATTTCCGTTCTAGTAAGCGTGTTCCTGAGTTCTCTATTCTTGAATATTTGAATTTCCATGGGTTGGCAAGCCTGTGCCTGCATAGCCGTAAAGACATTCGACAACGGCGAATCTACAA